CGGTTGGCTTCTCCTTGTTCCCTTTACAGCCGCAACAAGAAGGGGTGCCCTGAACAAAAAGCCAGACCCATGTGGCAATGCCTGTTGGTTTCCAGTGCCACAGGCAAAATATTCCTTGAGGTGAAGCCCCGACTGAACCAAAAGAGGGTTGCTTTGTGCGCCATGTTCATCCTGTGGAAAATTTGAAGAAGTGCAGGGCAAAGAGTCGTGGTGAGGGCCGCGCTGGCGGTGAACAAGTGCACCCGCAGACTTTGGGCCGCCACCTGTCCACCGGAACAAGGGCATCCCAGAAAAGTTGCCCTCCCGATGCCCTACCTTTTTTGGCAGGGCTTCCTGGGCCAACACACGGCCAAAAGGAGTGGGCTTCCTTGCAATGCATCTGGTGAGGCCTGAAAGGTGAGCAACCCAAGACCTGGCCTCATGGTTGTCGGAAAATGGGTTCGGTGACCCATCACTTTAAGTAAAGGGAACTTGGCCATGTTGTCTCAGGTGGCCTAGCTTACCCGACTGCCAAGCAAGCCGAACGCGCAAGCGTCGGCTTGCGGGTGCCAGCACTGAAGTCCATGCAACTTCCTGCGGCTTTGCAGCCGTGACGAGTCCACTAGGGATGTTGTTTCAAATGTTCAAGGAAACAAAACGCCTAAGGCAATATCAGGGGTGGGAAGCAGCTGCTTCAGTACTTGGTAAATCTTGGTGGACTGGCCAACTGGTGTGCCCGGCTTTTTGCAGGCCAAGTACTTCGTGGCACAGGCCAAGACGCATGGGGCGCTTCAGCGCTGACAAAGCATGCCGAAAGCAAGCTCGCTTAAAGCCATCGCTCTATGTCATTGACAGGCCTGCTCCAACAAATTGAGGCTCGCATCCCAGCAGCTTCGGCAAGACTTTGCCAGGCTGCCCATGGAGAACGCATCACAGCGAACCTTGGCACGCTGTGAACCGCAAAGACCGCGTGTACAAAAACAAGTTGCGCTTGGGATGAAGATGAGAAACCTCCCGCCATGAAAGGTACTCAAAATTCACGTTCATACATTCCCTCTCAAAAAGCTGACCAGTTGTTTTGTGTTCTTTGCCCGGCCTTTTGGTATGACTCCAACAGTTGAACAACAGTCTAGTTGGGCCAAGGCCACCAAGGCGCCCCTCTGCTTTGAGCCAACCGTGGCATGCAAAGCACCTGTTGCCAGCTGCTCTGCTTCTCCATGCTGGTGGACATCGCGTTGTATGAGACGGTACCCTTGGCATAGACAGCCATGGGGCCAGTCGGATTGCTGGTAGGGGACCCTAAAATTGGTGGATTTCCTTGTGGTTTCCCTTCAAAATTAAAAAGCAAAGGGGTACCCTCATAACTTGAGGAGCGGGTGAACGAAAGCTAGCAGTTGTTGCATGAGATGGGTCGGTGACAGAGTGGATTCATAGGTAGCTTGTGTACAACGAGAGGCCCGGCAAGATTCGTAGGATGCGACACGCAAACGCACATGGTGGCGTGGCAAACCTTGAAAAAAGAAAACAACGAGAGGCGTCAGAAGCTGTCTTAAAGCACCTCTGGGTTCTGCATGCAGCGTGTGCAAAGATTCTTGCGAGGTGGTTTACCGAGAAGACTGAGGTCTCAAATGAACAAGCTGAATCGGTGGAACATGTAAAAGTTCGTAGCACCAAGTCCAAAACGGGCAAACCGAGACTGCTGAACACTGAGCCACTGCCCGGGGGGGGGGATGGACCAGGGAGGAATCGAGCCTGAGACCCGGGGGGGGGGAGGGGGGGGGGGGGTCTAAATAATTGATGTTTTTCAATCTTTTCGGCTCAAATAATTGAAAAAATCAATCTTTCGGCATTTGAGCCCCTTACCTTGCTTACGCAAGGAGAAACTTCAGCTAGCTAAAGCTAGCTTTCGTGAAAAGACACACCCAATTTAGGATTTACCCTCATCGACATGGAGTCCAAGCCTCCGTGTTAGATGGGAGGGTAGGATTCCAATCTGTTCACTCCCTACCGTCATCACTTGCCCTCCCATCGACTAACAACAAACCTGGCTGGAGCTCCGGCAACGTGAAACGGAACCGTGGGCCCAAATGTAAGAAGTTACCACACAACAGGCACAAGCCAGCCCTCGCCCCTTCTGTCACTTCTGTGCTGAGCTTGCGACGGGCTGGACCTGCCACCGTGGAATATTGCTGAGGATCGCTACCGCGCGAGGCCAGGTGACGGCGCCTTCGCGGGTCCAAACCCCTCCGCCAATCCCCTAGCCCTCCGTGTTTCCCCCAATGAAGGCCCTGAGGCCTGATGAAGCCCTGGGAAAACCAGGGGAGGGCCTGGCGACAACAGGCTGGAGAGTTCAACCGGCTGGTTGCATGCCACAAGACTGACCCTCTTGGCTTCTTTCGCTTGGGTCCATTAAGGTGACATTCTAAGAGGTAGCTTTCAGATGAAAGCGAAGCCAGCCCCCCAAAGTATGTTCTGAGAGGACTGGCAAAATGCCGTACCACCTGAGACCCAGTCAACGATCAGCGGGAACCGGCCTGAGCGCGTCTCGGCCAGGGCTGTCAGAGCCATGTTGCTGAGAATGAGGCTTGGTCGCATGCTGCTGGACCACCCCTCGCCAGAGATTGGACATGATCCAAGTCATGGTAACCCACCCACCCACCCACCCACCCACCCACCCACCCACCCACCCACCCACCCACCCACCCACCCACCCACCCACCCACCCCAACACCTGGCCAGGGCCATTTTCATACTCCCTCGTAAGGCAAGCAGCTTGCTACTGAAGTGGGCAGTTTATCCCATGATCCGAATGCTCAACCTGCCTGGCTCAGCAATGCCATGGATCCGCGCCACTCTCTGGCGATGCCCATGCTTTGCATGAGGCCAAGTGCCGCCAGAGACTGCTGCGCATGCTGTGCCTTTGCGCTGGGCAACTGTTTTGCAACGCGCATGAAGCCTGGACAAGTTCGGGCTCTCACCGGTGCATGGTAACTTCATGACATGGACCATGGAACAAACATGAGGAGCAGGGGAGGCATCAATCAAATGACTGTCACATAATGTCGACCCCGGGCTAATAAACTTGGCAGATGAGTAGGTTCCCCCCAGTGAAGGATTCCTTCTGACATAGGGCACCTTCTATAAACCAACCAAGGGTTTACATTTTGGCATTGGATCGCAACAACCAATGATGCTGGAAGCTAAGACCGTCACGATGCACCGATTGACAATCGACAAAGCCGCACTCCATGTGCACGAAGCGAGGTAAGACACAATGTTGTTGCACCTCGGGCTCGAAGCGAAATGGGTTTGCCCTTGTTTAGTTGCAGTTCATGAAATTCTCGCGCTGGAAAGGCGGCGCAACTGTACTGAAGGAGTTTGGGAAGGCTATCATCTGGCTCCCTGTCTACTTCCAATGACTACGTACGTGGAAGCTGGGCTGTTCAAAATGGAGAGTTGGCCAACTCTGCTTGTTAACGAGAGCATTCGATATATCCAATGTGTCCCTGACTTAACTGGGAATTTGGCAACCCCCCACCCCAACATGTTGGTGAGTAACAGAGGGGCGAAATGCTTCCATAACCAAAGGATTGAGAGGAAAACCTCCTCTCCCACCATGCGGGGTAGTCCTTTCAACATCTGCTTTGGGAAAAGATGGGAACACCGTTTTGGCTGGGTCGCACTGTTGTTCAACAAGGCAATCCAAAAAAGCCTATCCTGCCACCATTGACGTGCACCTGTGCAGTTTCCAAACGAAAACTCGTCTTTCAGGGGCAACTGGGGAACCATCACGGGAACCCCAATTAAAGCAGGGAGGAACCGAACCTACTTCTGTGGTGCCCTTTTAGAAATTGGCTTTGGGCGCTGAATTTGCCATTGAAGCCCTCAACTGGCGGGTTTCTCTCCATTTAACCCCCCCCAAACCAAAAAAGAACACGTCCCATTTCTCATTTCCTTGTAGGCCCAGCAAACCACCACCCCTTGCCTGAGCCTAGAAAGCACCCATGTCTTGGCCATTGAGCTCGGGCACTGGGCCAGGTCTCGCAACGCGAGAGTGGCCGCCCAGGCGACGCGTGGCGGTGCCGCCCGTTTTGGGCGCGCCTGGCTTAGGTAACAGCTATGGATGAAGAACCCTCCATTGGTGGCTTGGATTCAGACCTTGGGTTGGTGGCAACTAGGTAAGCCTCTGGTGGCTTGGATTGGTTGGGAGTTTAGGGGCGCCGTCCCCACTCGGTTTCAACAAGGCTCTCAAAGGTTCAACTTGGGACCATGACCGATAAATCTATCCTTCTTCTCAAACTGAAACTTCAAGGTGGCGGTCCCTGAAGCGGACAAATCTCACAAGTCCTGCAAATGGATTAACAGGGGGCCGACCTTTTTGGAGGAACTCCTGTAGAATAATCCTCCAAATACGCTTCCTTAGGTGCAATGTTGGGGCGAGGAAGTACATCGCGACCGGTGAAAATCACAATAAAAGCTCAAGCTCCTCTATCTATTTGTGGGGGAATCTACTTTCGAAGACCTTTCTAGGGATGTCATGGGATTTCCTGATCATTGCAGGGGGGGGGGGGGGACTCCTGCAAATAATTGCCTGGAACTCAGCAAGCGTGTCCAATTTCAACAATAGTCTGCCGACCGAAAACACAACGCAAAGGAGTCACGCGAAAGTGATCTGCAGAACGGCCGGGTCCGAGTTTCAAAGATCTTTTTCGGCCTGCCCCACGGGCGTTCTTTCCGCGCGCGGCTCCGGAGCCCGCGCCCATAACGTCATGAGCCATGTTTCAGGGAAGGCCGCCGGCCGAACATCCGATCGCCCAGCAGCGCAGTGGGGCAAAGGGCTCCCTACCCCGGTCTTGAGCCAAGCTCAGAACGGAAGCTCTCACATGGGCCAATGGGAATGTGTCTGTGCAGCGGCTTGGGCGGAATTCTTCCACATTTGGGCACCTCAAGCGCCCCATCGACATATTCCCAACTCCAGCGCAACTTGTCTCAGACATCCCGCCACTCTCTGGGGCCCCTACCCAGTTGTTTCCGAATGCTTGGACCGGACGATGCCTTGCCAACTTCCCGCGGAACACATGTATAAACAAATGGCCAGGGTTCCATTGTTTGATTGGGCCCTCAAGGTGGGCTTTACCACAAAGTAGGTTATGTCCCCAACAGGAAAAATTGGGTTTCACTCTACCTTGGGAAAGTCCAACCAAAATGGAGCTCTGCCACTGAGCTTTCCACAGCACGCTGGACAGGGCCGCCATCTCGGAACCTCGGAGCGCCGAAAACTCACTCACGACGGCCGTTGGTCTGATTTCAGGTCCCGGCTGCCAGCCCAGTTGCCTTCCCGCCCTGTGGTTTGCATGTACCTGCGGACAGCGCAGTCTGAGCCGCCGTGTGCTCCCGTTCGCTGGGCCACTCGTCCGCGTGTAGCAGCACAAACTCGCACTTCTGATCCAAGGTGAAGCTTGATACAACCTCCCGCACCTCTGCCGCATGGCGTTTCGTCACTATCACTGATTGGTGGCCTGCCACCACCCTGCAACACAATACCCAACGCTCGCCCAAGGGCCTGTTCAAAGACATACGGGTGTCTTTTCTTTTGAGGCTACTGTACCCCTTTTTGGTAGGTGTTAAAATGTGTTAAAGGGAAACCAAAAGGGACACCACGCATCTGTTTTTGTTTGGGGCGGGCGTCCCTTTGCTCCAAAAGGGAGTGCCCCCAGGTAAACCACACATTTTGTTTGGGGGGTTCAGTTTCCCACTCATTGGAGATTTGGTGGTAAAGGGGGGGTTCAAATAAAAAATTAAACCACCACCTAAGGTTTACCTGAGGAGGGGTCCCTTACAAGAAACCAAAAAAAAAACGACACCCCTCTTGCAACCTCTGCCCATGGCTTCTGCGCGCTCCGAACCGCGAAGTCAGAGCACCGGACTCGGCTGTAGAGGCCCTGGCGGTCCCACCTGGCCGAGAAAACAACATGCGAGAAGACGGAAACCGCCACTGGCAGCCCTAGAGGATGGGGAAGGTCTCCTCATACGGTTGTATGGTGTTTTATTTGTCCAGTCCTTCTGGGTTTGTACTTTAAATGGCTTAGCCAATTAGGAATCAACCATTTTGGAGACCCCCAGTTTGAGAAACTTGCTGTGGATGGTTGCGAAATCCACAAACGCACCATTTCTCAGAAACCCAGGAACTTCTCATTCGATTCCCCAAAACAAATACCAACACACGTTATGGTTTCAACCATGGTTTCAAAGTGGTGGTGGATTTCGTCCATCCATCCGCAGTATTTCCAGCATAAACGCTTCGGCCCTTCGGCCCGCCAAAAGGACACTCAAACAAAGATTGGCAACCCCAAAGGCGATGTGTGAAACCACCAAAAGAGGAAACAACAAAACACCTGCAGAATAAGGTGAGTGTACATATGTTTGGGGAAGCGATGTTTGGTTGGGATTGTGAGACCTGGGCAATTTTGATTGTTCCTCTGAGTACATAAGAACATTGGATTGTCGCCCCGGTTTAAGGTCCAAAGCCTAGCCCCGGAAAAGGAAACAAGACACATGCTTACCATTGCACAAACAAACGCCCCGGATGTTCAACAGCTGGAGCATGGCACAAACAAACCGAGGGATCATTTGGCCATGCACATGCTTTGACCATAGATTCTGCAAGTCTTCCTATAATTCCACAAGCTGAATCAAAGGAGACCCCAGGCAAAGGACCTTTATCATGGTGAGCTGGTTATACTTTCAGGTGACCTCGCCACTTATGCAAATAGACGATAGCCCCAAATGGAACTCCTGAATGCTTTTTTACCACCGGCCGCGTTCAAGCCACCACCCGCAGTCAAGTGCGCCCGCAGCGCCCTGGGATGTTTGCCGCCAGCTCCGTCTGGTTGCTGGATACAAACTCCTCGGCCATGTCCTAGGCTCGGAAGGACTTCGACGCCCGTCAGGTCTCGGGTCAGGTCTCGAGATATCGGTCGGAAGGAGAAGCTTTAAAACAAGATGCATGCTAAACCAAAGAAAAAACACCAACAAACGGCTTTGGCACAGGATCTCAAGCGGTTGCAAGTCTGCAAGCCTGCCGCCTAAGCCCAAAGGTGGGGTGAGTTGGAGGCGGGTTGCTGGAAGTTCTTTGGACAACTCATTGCGCTCTTGGCATTGGATCTGTTGACCCCGGATTGCCAACAGATCTACAAGAATCTCACCACTCATGGTCCGCTCTTGTAACACCCAGCAGGCCCAAAAAGAATTACCAAATCGAACTGCGTGACACACCTTTACTCTCGTGGAAATAGCGTGGACCTTCCCAAACCAAAAAAGGACACACAGGCGAACCTCCTTGTGCACACCCTCTTTGTGGATTCCATGTTGGTAAGCAGGGGGGCTGCCCAAAAACGAGGTAAAAGAATTGGCTCTTGTGGCTCATAGGGGGAATCAAAGAAAGAGTTCTTCAGGCATTTTTAGGAACTTCAGGCGTGGCTGATTGGAACCATCGCAAACCAAACACGCAACTTCCAAGCGATGGGACAAGTCATCTGAATCGGCGAGCTCGTTCTAGATCTGGAGCTCACAACTCTGAAGGTTGGTCGATCGTCCTTTTCAGGAATCACTATCATCTCCATTGTGCTTTGCAATTATCTGAGAAGGAAAGAGTGGTGGGCAGTACCCACATTGACCCATTGTTTGAACATGTTTTAACACCACCTGGTCACCTGCTGTCGATTCAATCAGTTGGGATACTTGCACAACTGTTGCAACCAACCCTGAGATGTATAGCTACCCAAAAGCTCCCGACTACTGCCGGGGCCTTCCGAAACAAGCCCGTGATTTTCGTATGCACGCGCCTATGCGTGTGTAATTGTAGTTGTGCATGGGGTTGTTGTTTGTTTGTGTGCGTGTGCAACAGGGGTCGGTCGGACCCTCCCGGTCGAAGGGTCTGTGAGCTGGATAGGACCATTTGGACCATGCCCCCCGAAACCAAAAAGAAGCAGATGCAGGTGGCTGAGGACTCAAGACTCTCAAAGGCGAACAGGGGGATATTTCGCCTAATTCGCCAGCATCTGCACATGCAGAGCAGCACATATATATATATATATATACATATACACACACACATATATATATATATATTATGTATATATATATATATACATGTTTACCCGTGTTTTGCAAGCACTGGAGCTGTAAAACGACATCCCTGTGAGCACACACCCCGTTCTGAACCATCGAAAACAAAGCGCTTGGCCGCCCGAGCCGCCGTAAAGAGCTCTTCCAGGCGCCACATGAGCGGCGCTCGAAGCTGCTCCCCCCGCGCGCGCAGGGCGGCCACCTAGGGGTCCGACCACAAGGGGCCTCGCACTTCCCGGGTGGATGGCCGCAAAACAAAGTAGCCATACTTGTTATTTGCCACCAAGCTAGGCTGGAATTAGGACCCCGGCAAATATACATATATATATATATGTATTGCATGTTTAGTGGAAAACAAAGGGAACCCCAAAAAAGCAAAAAAGCAAATCCAAAAGGGAAGTAATTCTGGGGATGGTCCTTGCAACAAGTATAAAGTCCAGGAACTCGGGAAGTGTTCAAGCTGCATTTTTCGTCACCAGGCGAATGCTAAAAAAACTCGCTCGGCATCGAAAGAACTCCCGAATTCTGGAAGAAGTGTGAGAGGAGGCACAAGAAACTGGGTGGGGACGAGTATGCCCAGCACATTTGGGGCCAGTTTTGACATCATCCTTAGCAGCTGACTTTGTAAAGCAAGTGGCTTTGGATGTTGTGATTCTTAAAGGGAACACTGGGGTGAAAACTCCAACCATGTAAATGATGCTCAAGGGTTGCCAATTAAACATCCCATCCAGGTTCTGCTCTTCGACCTTTTATGTGACCCGCCTCCGCGATGAACTCAGCCTCGTCCAAGATGGCCTCGCGCCCAGGAGCAACACCGTCTGATGCTCAAGGATGGCTTCCTGGCTTCCCTTCAAAATCAAAATCATCCCTCAGGGCACCAACTCTAAAGGAACCACGGCCATTGGTCGCAAGGCTTCCGCGCCATACTCTGGGCTTCCGCGCCATGCGTCGGAGCAAGGATGCTCTGTCGCGAATCGACAGGTCCTGCCGAATTTAAGGCACACCCAGTGCTCAACTTCCCTCTTGGTGGTTTGGAGCCAGGGCTTTGTAGGTTGAGGGTTGGTTTCACATTTACCCAACAGTTCAAATCCCCACCACCAACTCAAGGGTACCTGACAGGCTGCAACAGCAAGACACAACTTACTTTTTCACAGTAGGGGCTGCAAGTGCCTAGTGCCCAGTGAGGTCCATCGGGGTCCATGGGAGAGCTTCCTTTGCGAGGCGGCAACCATAGGGATCTTCAACCTACATTACTTAGGTTGACTATAATCTTGCTTTATAAGCGATACAGGGAGGAGTTGTCATTCCCACTCAATATGTCTTGGGTTCTCAGGGAATATTCGAAGGGGCTTGGGAATGCGAAGGGGGCCCCTTCAATGAAACAGAGCATGGATGTTACGGATCATCCCCTCATTCCCTACTTCAGAGGCTCAAAAACTTGCTGGTCCTCCGGCTTCCTACCTCAGCTTTCGTCCCAACAGTTGGGTGGTTCAGAGGCCTTATTAAGGCCATGTCACGGTTGTGCGAGGGTTAGGGGGGCGGAAGGGGGAGGGGGGTGATCACCAAAAACCTGGTGGCCGCCGGCCTCCCAGCGGCTCAGATCACCGAGAGCCTCTGCCTGAAAAAAATCACCGAGAACCCGTGGACCCGTGGTGGACACTTGACACCACGCGCATCCATCTGAAACCCCGGCAGCAGAAATTTTGTTTATTCATAGAGTGGGGGCCCCTCCAAAAGTCGTCTGAAACCCCGGTAAAACCAGGGGCACACCCAGATTCATGCAAAGGGGTTTATTGATCCGGGGTCGACAATATGGCACCCAGGCAATTCCCAAGCTCAGGCGCAGTCCCATGCAGGTGACCTGGCGATTAGCAAAACATCTCCTGCCTCTGCTCTCTCCTGTCTCCTGCCTGGCCGGCAGGTCATAGACATCTTCCTTCCGCACTTGCGTCGCCATGGAAAGGAAGAGGCAGTTGCCATTTGCGCCTTCAGCCAAGCGCAAAACAAGCGCAAGCCCTGCATGACTCACTAAGCTCTGCGCCCATGTCCTTCACTTTCCAGCCGCGTCTCTCGTTCAGATTATCAAGGATCTCCTGCACAAAACAAGCTTAGGTTATGAGCAGAATAGACAGGCAATCATGCAAAACATGCATGCCCCCCCCTTCCCTGTGTAGTACGCGAGTTCATGTGCATTGGGAACTGGTTACATTTGCCTGGCCCGGCCCAACTATCCTTGTCATTCATCTGTCGGCTTCTACACGTTCCAGTGCAGGTGGCAACCTGGCCATCTGCGCGGGGTTGGGATTCATGTTGCCTGCGGGAGTGCAAACAGAGTCCTTCGAGAACAGCCTCCGTTGGATTCCACAAACTTCGCAAGTATACGCGCCTGATGTGATGGCCCAGGCGCTTGCTGATGGACCAACTTGCGAATCTCATAAGGTATCCAGTTTTTAGGTAGGGATGTAGGCGGGTGGGTGAGTTGAACCCCTTCCGCAAACAAGCTACTTCGTCTGGACCAGCCTGGAAAAATATAACAAGTACCCACCCACCCACCCACCCACCCACCCACCCACCCACCCACCCACCCACCCACCCACCCCCAAAACAAAACGCATGGGCGTGTACGGAACAGCAAGCCGTGTTGCATCTCTCTCCCCCACTTTGCCTCCTGGGCATTCGTCACACAAGGCCGCGCCTGGGAGGCGCAGAAGTGGTATGTTGAACCGAGGCTTTGGCTGCGTTTGATTTTCCCCTGTTGGCTTTCAAGGGAAGTCACTGGATAGTTGTTGTTGTTTATATATATATATATATAAACGTAGTGACCCATCAGACTGGTTTGTCAGGTTTGTACAGAAGGCTGGGAAACCTCATGTTTTCGGTGCCAAAGTGGAAGGACACTGAAAGCCCAGAGCGGCCTGCTCTCCATGTTAAGTTTGGAATGGCATCGAGAGTTGCTGATGATCCGGCCCACCCACTTCACCAAACCATACCTACTGCTGCTATTCTTTGGCCTGAGTCGGATGTGATACCAACTTTCCCGTACAGACAGGACCTGGATCGCCTCGTTCTTCAGCGTCAGGTGACAAAATGACCCCTTAACCATCCCTTTTGTTTCCCCAGGCAACTGCTTGGCAAGGGGAATTCCCATTTTGCACATCTCCTCGTTGCAAAAGCAGGATGGAAACCAAACAGGGGGGCCCCCAAAACATGATTTGGGGGTTCCGTGTCAACCGAAACCATTCTCTGAGAGCCGGGAAAGAAGTACTTGACCCGCTCCGAAGCGACCGCCTTTTTTGTTGGAACCACTTACCTTCTATGTAGCTTACACAAATGCGCATATGTCACAAAACAGGGGTTTCCTGAATGAAACCACCCCAACATGAGTACCGAGCTTGAAAAAAAAAAAGAACATCCCCAAATGCTCCCATCTCCCATATCCCACGTTCTCGTTCTGAGCTCCTCGCAGATGGCTTGCTTCGCCGCTGGGAGCGCCACGCCTCGGGACCCCATGTTAACATCCAAAGGAGGCAACCCAAACCAAAAAGCAAAAGTTGCCCCACCTCCACGCGCAGCTCATGAAGACTTGCCGGCCTCTGAGCCCCGAGCGCAGCAGCGTCCTGGTCGGTCACTTGGAAGACAATCGTGGGTATGGTTGACAAGGGCCCCACAAAAGGCCCCGCAAATCCCAATATAATGGGGGTCTGTTTTTCGCGCCTAAGGTCCATCCCCTGATTGTCCATGGTCGGGAACAACTTAGCATTTCAGCCCACCGAAAGGGCCATGAAAAGTGTCTAGTTGAACCAGAAGAGCCGCCATTTCAGAGGTGGTTGGCTCAACCATTTCAGCATCCCTGTTTGCCGGGGCTTGTGTCCAACGCATTGGATGTGGCTTGCACTCGCCTGCGAACACCAACAGCCCGGTGCCCGCCGACGTCTTGAGCAGGGCACCCTTGGCGGCCGAAGGCCCCAAACAAGTTTACAGCTCGGAAGCAAGGGAAAATGAAGGAACACCAACTGGTGCCAAACAAGTCTAAAACCTCAGTTGCCCAAAGGGCAACCAAAAATAGAAGCTGATTTTTTGGGGGGCCACTAAACATGTACCAAACATGGGAAACCAAAGTGTCAAACGGTCGATCCGCTTTGCGCAAGTCACAGGCTGAGGCGCTGGCAGTGCGCGCCCCGACCGGAGCACACCTAGCAAGCCCCTCTGAGAGGCTGCCATGCTACACGTGCCGCGAAATCCATTTCGCGCCACCTAAGAAACCCTTGGAATGTTGATTCCCCTGTATTTACCAACGAACAGTGGTTTCAACCATGGTTTCAAGGTGGTGCGAAATAGATTTTGTACGGTAGCATCTAAATATGTCCTTTAAAAGCATTTTGTTCAAGGGCAACGATGTGACAATAGCGCAGGGCGCGGGAATCGTCCATGTACGTGTTGGTCAAGAGCATTGCTTGTCTTTCTTGCTCACGCTCTGAGTGGATTGGCCTTGTCTGTAAACAAGTTTGCTTCTGCACTGTATCCCTGTCATGCCGGGAGCTAGGTGTATATTCTTCTTTCTGGCATGCATTCGAACGACAAACAATAAAATATGCTACAACCTTCAACCCGCCTTTGTAAGCAATCTTTCGTGTGTCAGTAAAATGGTCCAGGCCCAAATAGTTTCTAGGGTACAGAAACTCAAGAAATGAGTATTCGGCATCTATGTCATCTTGGTCCAAGGTGCTCAGAAACCCGGTCTCTTGCAACTTCACAGCATCCTTGTTTCACCTTGGGGTTGTAAGACACTCTAAAACATGCTCAAGGAAAAGAGGTTGCATGGAGCAAATCCGGCACTGCCCTAGCCCAACACTGAGTTACCTCTTGCCACTTCTTGGTGGTTACAACGGTGCGGGAATTCGTCCATCCAATCTCGAGCTCTTTCGGGACAGGAGCCTGCTATCGCCCCACTCGGGTACCTCATGCATGCTATACCGTTGGGTTTCTCATGGGTAGGAGCTTAATGTCTGTTTACACCATCACTTTCTAGAGTTTGGACAACCTTTTGTATGTGTCTTACCTTTCAAGGCGACCAGAGCCTTGTGAAAAAACATTCGCCAACCCTGGCCTGGCTGTCAAGCTTCCAGAGCTGCGTTGGAGCTCGGACCGCCCGCTGCTGGCCTAACGCAGGCCGTCATCTCTCTGGGAAAGCTACTACTTGAGAGAGGGCGGACCAAAAGCTGGCACCAGTTGCCAGAAGTGCCAACGCTGCTAACAAGTCCTCTTCGTAGGAACCCCCCTCCCCGCCCACCAACGTCAAAAGGGCAAATCTAAGCAGGCGGAAATCCGTGCGTCCAGGCAAAATGCAACGGCAGGTGGTGGCAAACCAACCCAGCCGGAAAAAACAGCAACGTCGAAATGGCAAGTCAACAGGCGGCAAAGCATGCACCCGGGCAATGTGTAACTAATACGGAAACGGGGCTGTCAGGAGTCAGGCCCACTTTGCACGCACCTCGCCCCCAGGTACAACCCTCAAGCAACGCCTCTTCAAAGGCAGCTTTTGGGATAACCCGTCAAACCGAAATAAGTAAAGCCCAAACGGAATTCCCCCCACAGCATGAAATTCCATCGTCCCTTCGCGTTGCGAGTGAAACACCTCAAAGGCAGCACCCGAATGACCAGGTTCGTAGCCTCTCAGGCGCGAACCCAGAAGCGCTGCATGGGCTGCACCCCGCAGATGCGCATGCAAAGGTTGGATGCACAGAAGGACCTGACTCTGAAACTGCATCTTGCTTGGGCTCTTCTCTTCCCTTGAGCCACTGCAGCCGCTTTTGGTCAACTTCCACCGCCTTTTTTTTGTCAGCCGAGTCATGCCGGGGCAAAAACCCCTGCCAGCGTGCATGCCGCAAAGGCGCATCTTTTCAAACATTGGCGGTAGCTTGGTAGCTTGGCTCATCTTTGGGTGCAGCCACCAGCGAGAGCTGCAGACTGAAGCATGCCCATCCACTCGCCGAGGCTGGTGACTATGTGCCAAGGCACAAGAGAACGACACATCCGTTTCAGCTTATTCATCCTGGCCGAAGTGATGCCCGTCACTCATGTCCACATAATCGTGGGATTCATCCCCCCTTGCTCTCCTAACCACCTCCCGCCCCGCTCAACAAGGCCTTGTCACATGTCAGAGCCCAACTTTGGAGGAAACAAAGGAAAGGTGGGGTTAGGGTGGGGGAGGGGGGAGACAAAGCTTTTCCCTGCCTCGGCTTCATCTGATGACTCATAGCCACCCAGCAGGGAGCCACCAGCAGGCGAAGAGGTGGGGGAAGCTGCTGCCCTAAGAATTCCATCTCCACTTCTGGGTTGAGCCAACTACTTTTGGTTTCGGCATGAGGCCCTCGCAGAATAACATGCCATCTCACCGCGGGTTTAAAAAGGACGCCGATTATTAGCCAAATATTCCTATTGAAGGGGCCCGGAGACTGGTTGTTTCAACACGTTTCCCCCGACTCTGTCCCACTCCGCCCTTAACCTGGCGTGGCCCACCTTCAATGGAAGCGGCCACTTTGAACGAAACATTGTCTTGCAGGGCAAACATTGCGCCAGTGGGGGGAAACACTTGGACATAGAATGCTTTTTGAAACTGCTTTGCTTTTGGGGGATCCCCATCTTCCAACAAGCATGACGGTGCACAAAATCCATCTGGACCACCATTTGGGTGCTTGCCTTTCTTACACCTTTTGTTGGGATAAAAGGGAAACCAAGTGGAAAACCGACCTCCTACGCCCATATTCCGTTTGTTGGGTTTAAAGGGAAGCCAAGAGGAAAACCGACATTTGGAGGGTCCTACGCCCATATCTGGACACAACCGTTTCTCTTTTCCTTCTTTCATGGGGCCTGGGGGGAGGGAGGGGAGGGAGAGGGAGCCCAAATAAGCCGTTATCAAGTTATTACGCCCCTATTCAGCCTTTATTAAGGCCTTACTTGGGGTATATTTGGGCTTCCTTCTCCCTCTGTACCAGCGCCCATGACTCTTGGAAGGCGAGGCTTTGCGCTTCTAGGCCTGGCGGAGACCTGTGCGGAACGACTGAAGCTCTGAGCCCTCAACGCGCTCAGCGGTGCTGCGGCATCTGCGGTACCTGCGCGGATGAACATGGACCTCCCCAAAGAAACATCATCTGGGTGCGTCTTGTTTTGGGGGACACCCAGAAATGGCAGTTTCTCCTGTTTTCCTGAAAACCCACAAAAAAGCTCTACCTCCCAAAACAGAGACCTCCACCTGACCAATGACTGTTGGGTGGGTATTTGAGCCAGTTGGCTCTCCATTGGCTAGGGATGTCAATCATGCCTGGCTCCTTAGCTTTCCCAGATTCCCCCAGAATCTGTACCTATCATTTACATCCCTTGATGGAGGAGTCTCCTTTTGAGAGCCCCCCCCCCCCTTGTTTTGGTTCCATGTCAACTTGCAGCAATTGGCAGCCCAGACAGCTTTTCCTGCACATGGCAAAGTTGCGATGCGTCCTCACGCCAACTCTCTTTCCAATCGCCATGGAGGGCTGTCAGGTGTTGCCCTCGGATCTCTCAGATTGCACTCCAGAGGGGTCCTTGTGCTCGGAAACGGATCCACCTTCAGCGATGTCCTCTGCGAAAATAAGAAGGCAGTCCAACCCATTTCTGCCCCTTCCCTCGCAGGTGGCGAGCTCCAGCGGGTTCCGCGCCGAAAAACCCGATCGAGCGCGCGAGATATCGGTAGACATTCAGGGCGAAAGGAGTCGCAGCATGCTGTAGCGATGGGTGCTGCTGGCTGTCGCCACCATGCCTGCTGAGGTCAGACGGCCTGCAAGACCTCAAGCGCCAAATGTGTCAAGCGCCCCGGAAGACACGGCTCACACCAATAAAGAGACACCCAGTGGATAAAGACTGGTGTGGTTTATGAGTCAGGGGCTCAGGCTATCCCAGAATACCCTCAGAAGCGCAGCTGAGCCACAAAGTTGCTCCTCCACCAGCCGTGGTGAGGAGTCCTTGCCACGCAACCGGGCACGTGAACAAAAGCGAGTCGGGAAAGCCAAATGGGGTGCCATCGCATGCATCCCCGACCACAAACTCGTCTCCCGGGTCTTTAATTTTGATCCGCACCCAGGTGATTCTTACCAGCAGTCGCTATACGGTGGATGGAAGAAATCTTGCATGACTTTTGAAACACATCCACGCCGTCTTGCTACGACTCGCCCCGCGCCTCCTACTTAACATTGGCTCTCAATTTGGCCAAGTTGGGTTGGGTCTAGCAAGATTTAGGTCACCGCTCAATGTTAAGTAGGGGCCGCGGGGTGGTAAAAATGTAGTCCTATAAACTCATGCAAGATTTCTTCCATCGACAGCATCTCTCCATGACTCTCTAATAATAGGGTTCGTCAGGAGAAGAGTCACCACCCCATGTTTAAAGGGTGCTCCAAAAAATTGGTCAGTCCCCCAAATACAGGGTCATGACCCCATGTTTAAATGGGGCGTAAGACTCCAGAAAGGTCTGCAACCGAGTCGCAGGATGCAACACCGCGATCAGAGGCCCTGCCGCCAGCTCGCGCAGAACGGCTTCTCCCCGCAGCATCGCCGCAAAGCTCGGCCAGCCAACGCGTTCACATCTTCTTGTGGCCTGAGCTATCCCTACCTTCCGATGGGGGACCCCCGGATAGGGGGTGTAAAAGGATAGGGGGTGGAAAAGGAGTCGGGTCACACCCCACCACATGTGTTTAGCATTGGAGAAATGAGATCCCCCCAACGCGGCTTTGAGGTAGGGATTGCAGTTTTAGCTTTTGGGAAAGCTTTTCCAGCGATGGAGATCTCCAGTCCAAATCCCACTGCCGTTGTTAACACCAAACCCCGGCCGAGTCAGCAAGGTGACAGCCGAGCGGCGCAGGCGGCAAGGACCTATGCTGCACGATCGAAGCCGCGCAATGGGGGGAGAGATGGGAGGGGGGAAGAACCATGACCAACTTGAAAACAACAATCATCACACCACAACTAACACGTGCAATACGATCTTGTACAAGAATAACCACGAAAGACTGCCGGTCAAAAAAAGCCCAGGGTGTATCTCCAACAGCCCCGGAAGCCCTTGCCCTCCAGACCAATTTGTGCCTATCGGCGCCAAAACTTCCCGCTGTTGGGGGGGAATGGGGCTTACCTTAACACCTTTGCAACATGAATCAACAATGAAAATTGTACAAGAGTGATGGTGTATGGAAACGTCCGATTTGCTCATCGTTTTATGGAAACTGCTAACAAAATAAACTCTGCTCATTTGCTCGTCTCCAGACCTAGCCAACAAACAAGACAGAAAACCCACGGGTCGCTTGGGCTAGGTGTCTTTTTGGAAGGTACCCCTTGTTGCCCTGTTGTAAAGCGAAAACAAAGGGAAACTCACCATCTTTGTCCCCTAAAGAAAAACCATGAAAAACCGACCCAGACAACCCACCGATCAACAAAAAACAAGAGCTCACCTTGGGCTAGGCCACATGAGCAGCTTCCTGTGCAACGTCGAAGCGGCTCCTTAGGCTCAGAGCTCAGAGCGAGCTATGGCGCGCGTTGACCTCTGAGTTGGAAACCCCGTTTCAGCCCTAAAGGGAAACCAAAGGCCAAGACACAAGATCAAAGGGAAGCCACAGGGGAAACCACTTGCAGCCTGCAGCTTGCCAGAGAGGATTGTCCTGAGCGAGGTCGAAAAGCCACTTCATCTGTTTCCAAAAAGGTCCAAGGAAAAACCTCGGGGTGGGAAGACCAACCATGAGACGCCCTTCTTTCCGAGCTGAGGCTCGGGTGCTCCGAATCGGCCCCCGAATCAGCCAGCAGCGGCATGCCAGCGGCCATGACTCGAGGCCGCGCGTGCTTCAGCACCAATCGGCCTCGACGGCCACTCGACGGCCACCCGGGTTGGGTTTTGACAGCGAGCCACTTTGGATACAAACCTTCCACAAGGGTTCGTCTCAAATTTTGGGAACCCCCAAAAGATGGCAGGCTGCCTTTTCGACTGACCCCAAAACAGGGCCAAAAACAGACACACCCATCAGGACTTTTGCTCAGGGGTTGCCCCCGAGAAGGTTCAAAGAAAGCTTCGAGTGGGCAGTGACGTGGGTGTTTTGTTAGGGTCCCCCCACCCCCACCCCCCCCACCCAAAATGGTGGCTTCAAAAAGACACACCCACATGGAACAAGTGCTCCTCGATAAGTTGGATACCCCCCCCTTGTTTTGGAAGAACAACCTGGGGTCTTGCAGCTCTGCCAGGAATGCAAACGCATCCCTTCTCCTTGCTTTTTGGCAAAGGTTGAAACCAGCCGCTTTATCTTGCTGGTGCGCTGGGTATGGAATGATTGTTCCGGATGTTGGGAATGAACTGGAAGGGGATTTCAGTTCAGGGAAACCATAGGGGATGGTTTATAGGGATCATTCCCTCATTCCCTCCTGAGCACCAGCTGCTTTGTATGATTTCACCTCACAACGAGCACTTCGCAGCTTCACGGGCAAAGGCATGTCCAGGCCTCCCTCCCAATCACGCAAGCACCCCAATGACGATTTGGGACTACACTTCTTCAGATGCAGATCAGTTCCCATAGAACCTGAACAACTGAAGACAAAAAAGAAGAAGAAAAATTGGGAAACAAACGATTAGATGAATCTCCTTTGGCTGCCTTTCGAGTTCCACGTAAAAGCAGGGGGTATCAAGCCAAGGGGCCAATGGGTGTGCTCCCAAGAATCATGCCGTCCTGCGCACGGCGCAGCATGGCCTCCGAGCCTCCCCCTTGGCCTCTATGAACATGGGATTTCGTTGCCTCAACCTTCTTGGAGGTGGTACCGACTCATAAATTTCATGGCCATGTCGCAAAATCATGGGGGCCCAAACCCTTTTGTCAGCATTATCCTCCCACCAATTAACTTGGAGTCTGACAAGCGGGTCACTTGAAAAGGAACATGGAGTTCCAGGACGCCATCAGGTTCCATGTCAATTGGTCGGGTCGTCTTCGAATGTCAAGTTGCCCGAAAGGCAGCCAAGGAGCCTTGAGGCTCGGATCCCCGCGAAGCAGCTCCACCGGGAAACGGCGAACTCCCAGCTTCTCAGCCTGGCAGCAAATCACGTCATCCAGCGCCAAGCTCAACGAACTGGGCACCAAGCGCCCGAGCCCCGTCCACTTTTTGCCTTTCGCCCGCGCCTCTGCAGCATCAGGAATAAGACCGAACCAACTCATCAGCCATTCAAGCTGCGCGGCTGGAGCTGCAGCCAGCAAGGGAGGTATGGGATTGAAGGTCTGCCCATGTCGCTGCACGTCCTGATCTTCCTCTTCTTCCTTAGACTTGCGCTCCTCAGCTCCCTCGGCTTTCTTGCGGGCTTGCTTGCCATGGCCGAGGGCATCCCGGACTTCGGCGCGCGCTGCCTTGGATTCCTGGGCTCGGGCGTCCACTTCGGAGCCCTTGGCTTCGGGTGCCGGCCGCCCGGCCGGGCCCGGCGTCACCTTCTCGAAGAGCGCGCAGAAGAAGCCGCCGAAATCCCCGCAGGGGGTGATGCGGACGCAGCGCCGCAGGCTCGCCGCGACTTCCTGACCGGAAACCCGAAGCACTAAAGACAGTGAAAGCTTCAGTCATAGTTCCCGACTTTAGCTTGATTTGGAGCGGGTCAAAATGCAAAGAAAGTCGACCTGAAGTCTTGTTCTCCAGTCTTTCAGGGAAAAGGGCTGCATCAAGGGTCTTGTCTTTCTTGAGGGTGGGCTTTTTGGGTTGGTTTCAAAGGAAAGCCACACGAACCAACCAAAATGCGGCTTGGCAAATGTCGCTTCCCCTCCAAAGTGGCCAATACATAGTTGGTTCTGAAACGATCGCCACTTTTGAAGGCCCATCTTGGATCACGACATACCCATCAACCGAGTGCGGCTTCGCCTGATCCGCTGGCGGGAACATGGTAGGCGCCAGCGGCCCGCCCTTGGTGCACCACAGCTTGGGATCCGCTGCCTCCCGGTCTGTGCGGTGTGTGCGTGGGTAGGTGGCGTGTGTGGGTGTGTGTGGGTGTTTGCTGTTAGGGATCCCTTGTTACGGGTTGTTTTAAAGGGAAACCAAAGGGAAACCGAGAATGTTCTGGTTATCTAGTTTGAGACAATCCCGTTTGGTAATTTTCATAGCCTTCTTGGGAAAAAAGGGGGGGGGGGTGCGGGGAGGTCCCATTTGATCACCTAGCACGGATTTAACTTGAATCCGAATGAACGTCCAATTTAAAGTTCAAGCCCTGCAATTTCGAGCTTGCAAACCAATTCCTTTCACGGGCCTTCCAAATTAGGAGGAGAAACAACCCACGTGCCTTTTCTTATTGAAAAAGGAATGCCATGTCAATGATCATTGAAAATGCAGTTTAAACGATTTGAATTCTAATTAAAATACGGTTTAAATTTAGAGCGTTGCGATTGTAAACTTGCAGGCCAATAGAACGTTGAACTGCATGTTCCTTGAGTTTCTATTGGTTGTCACTCCTTTTGGCATTTTGAATTCTAATTCAATTCCAGTGCCAACCAGGAATGAAAAGGAAGATGTTAAGAGAATTGCGGCTACTCTGGATTGAATGAGCAGCAGCAACTAGTAGCCTGTTAAAACAATCCGTGTAGAGGACCCGCTGGGTGCTTCACAACTCGCAATTAGAAACAGTCCGCAGCAAGGCAAGCATAGATCAAACCTGAAAATCGCAAACAAACCAAACAAAACGTGCACAACACAGTCCCCCCCAGTCTACTGTCTTAATGGTACCCTTGTTGAAGGGTGGTTCAAAGAAAACAATCAAACATATTTGTTTGCTGTTTTGTTGCGGGTGCCCTTTTCAGGTTCAAAAAGGGGCAAAAGGAACACCACCACAGCGGTCCATTCCCCATTCTGAGACATACCCAAATGGATGCTTCAAGCCACACCTAGGATTTCAATCTTGTCAACCACCATCAAATTTTAGCCAAGCGCACAGATGTACATGGCACCAAATGCCACATGATGACTCAGTTTGCATTTCTGCCCAATCCCAGTGGATCCATTTACCTGGTTTTGTAGGCAACCAAAGGCTTGCCACCCTTCAAAACCAAAAGGACAATTGTTGGTCGCCTACTATATGGTTAGCTGGGATCTGGGCACGGTTGCTCACATCAGTCGCCCCGCGGGAAGTCGAAAACCCGGGAAGAGGGACCCCCCCGCCTCCACCTCCTTTGCGCTCCCAAAGCTGCCGGATCCATCCGGCAGCGGAACACGCCAAACTGTGAGTCCCGGCGCGTGTCGCCACTGCTCCACCGACAGCAGGCGAATCTGACCGCCCAGCCTCAGCGACAAATGTTGGGTGTCTTTTTTTGGGGAAACTCGTTTGGGTTGGTTTTGGGGGGCAGCCAAAAGAGAAGAAAGCACAATCTTTGAGGTTCCCTAATCTTTAAGGCACATGCATGTTGTTGCCTTCTGTTCAAGAAAAAGGAGAACAAACAACTGCAGGAAGGAGCGAAAAACCGCCATGTAAAAGGAGAAAATAGAAGATCGGAAAAGAAACAACCGGAAGATGGGAAACAGGACGAAGATTGGAAAACAAACATACTAGTGTAGAAGGTCAAAACTGCAGTTGTAAACTTTGTGCTGGATATGTTGATGAAACGCCACGCGGGCGCGGGCTGACACCCTCTTTGCTTTACGTGACGCTAGACGACAGCACATACCGCATTACGTACGCGCATGCATACACAAAAATTACTTAAACGCGCGCATCCGTATCTCTGCGCATATTTCATGGCGACTGTACAAACAAACAGGTGAGGCCTAAGCAAGCAAGCAAGCAAGCAAGCAAGCAATCAAGCAAGCAACCATTCAAACAAACTAAAGAAACAAAGAAACAAAGAAACAAAGAAAGAAATAAACAAAGAAACAAAGAAAGAAAGAAAGAAAGAAAGAAAGAAAGAAAGAAAGAAAGAAAGAAAGAAAGAAGAAAGAAAGAAAGAAACAAAGAAACAAATAAACAAAGAAAGAAAGAAAGAAACAAACAAACAAAACACACAAACAAACAAGCAAAATAAACAAACACACACAAACCAACAAACAAATAATCAAAATAACCAAACAAACACAATCTACGCCAATGTAAACAAACATGAATACATTCGGCCGCAAGAAACAGACAAACAAACTAACAACCAAACAAACAAGCAAGCAGGCAAACGAGGAACCAACCACACACAACCAACCAACCAACCAAACAAACAAACAAACAAACAAGCAAACAAAATAAAGAAACATATGCAAATAAATAGATACATGACTAAAATTGACTAAACAAAGAAATGACCCAATATGGGCGAATAAATAAATAAATAAATAAACAATCAACACATGCTACAATACATGTATATCATACGTGTTGAGCTTATCGGTATATCAACTTTGGAGATGTTTGGGGCCCGTGTTTGGCAGTTCTTGGAAAGGGTACTCTCCTCTTCAAGCTTGGGACCCTAAAGGCCAGCTTAACACTACATCTTTCGGGCCCCCCTTTTGGCATGTAGCCGCGGGGTTTTTGTTTCAACTACATCTTTCTTTCTTTTTTCCCGGAATTGGACCAGTGGTCGTAACACCTCCCAACAAAGGCCTTTCGGGGGATGCCACCATGCCCCCGTTTCCGGGGGCGCATTGGAGGCTGGGAGCTTCTCCAAAGCAGCCGCCACCACTGCCTCGTTCTCCACCGGGGACATGCTGCAGGTGGAGTACAGCAACCGGCCCTGCGGCTTCAGCATGGCGAGCCCTCGCTTCAAAATGGCGCTTTGCACCTGCGACGGCCGGATGGGTTTGGCTGGGTACCGTTTGAAGCTATGTACAACTTAAGAGGCGTGTTAACTGTACAAGCTTGTGTGGCAAGTATACAAGCATCCGTACCGTTAAAACTCATACCTGAAAAATGCCCTTTCGCTTGTAACAAGATTGACCCCCAGATGAATAAACCTTGCGGACCAAGACAGGGGGTCCCCCTAAGAGTGAAAGATGCCCTGTGACATTGGGCACCCGATTCTAATCCTGGGTTCCGATTCAGGGGGACAAGATATAACCACCTAAGCCCAAGACCCCACCCGTACTTGTCAGGGGCCATCCCTACAATCGGGAGGAGCTCTGTGTAACTTACTCAGCTCCTTGGTTCATTGGTATTGCAGAAAGTGGACTACAGGATTCATCACAGTTGGATCCTTCAAATTATATAACCCCCCTGCCTCCAGTTGCCCCAGTGATCCCCAGTTGCCTTTAAACTAACCTTACCCAAACTGTCCACAACCACCTTCCCCCATAGATTGTGCTTCTCGCGGGTGCCATCATGTTGTCTGCAGGGGGCTGAAGGCAACAATCCGCGCTTGGGTGTTCAACCAACTTGGTAGGAATTTCAGTGGGGAATCTGGTGTTAGTCCGTGTCCCCTTATCACGGTAACCTCCAGTACTTACTGGGTAGCTATCGGCTTTCCTTTAATTGGTGGATGGGATCGGTGTGGGGGTCCTTCCCCATTTGGTAACCTACCCTGCCACCAACTAACCTGGGTTTGTGCAGGTGCACCCCCGTCCAAGAGAGAAAAGGTCGTCTTTCTGCGGCCCGTCTCGGCAACCCGCGGACTCGTCGGTGGTAATGGTGACCCAGGATTAATAAACCCGTCCCATGATCAGGGCGGTGTTCCCTCCAAAAGTGATGACACCCCACTAAAAGGGGGCACCCCCTATTATATAATCAACCAGGGGTGTATTCATCCGGGGTTAACATGAACCTACCCGACCGTCGAGCCCCCGCGCGGGGCTTGGGGCCCCTGGCGTAGTGCATCTGCAGCATGTACCGCGGGCGCCAGGCGGCCCATGCCCCGAGGCTGCGGCGCAAGCGCCCGTCGCCTGGGGAAAAAAAAACAGGCGGAGGCCGTGGACCTAAGGTGGTGGAGGCATTCCATAGGCATTCCAAGTTGAGACTACTTGAAACCAGGCCAAAAATAGGAGAGCAACCTAGGGTTGTCCAATCCAGCCTTAGAAGGGTTCTGAGAACTTTTCGGGGGGGTAGCTGGGGTGTGGGGGGCCCAAACGTTTCTTTCGACAAAAGGTGCAGCCACATTGTGATGGGTGCCCTTGCTTGAACCCAAAACAATTGGACTTTCTGAATCAAAGTCCGGCCCCATAAAGAATCAGTAAAGGGGGTCCCTGAGAAACACGTTTACGTCCTTTTCCCCTATGGTTAGGGTTACCTTGCCCCGCTTCTCAGTTAGAACAGCTCAAGCTGCGCGGTAGAAGGCCGATTGAAATGTTCAGTGCGCAAACTGGAGTTGGGTGGAACAAAACTTGGACCTCAAACTCTATGGTTTGATTTCATTGAAAAATTGTTGGGGACCTCCGTGCCTTCCGCGAGTGGACACACAAAGGGTACCCTTCATGTGCGGTTTGGCTTCGTGGTTTGGATTCTAGGAGGTGCCTTCCCATCTGGCTTCAACAGGGATGAGTTTCAAATCCCACACCACCAATCCAAACCACCAAGAAAGGGTTTCCTGAACATGTGGTAATTATTATACATATATATATATACACATAAAACCACATATATGTATATATATATGTATGTATGGAAGACTGGCAGGCGCAAAACCAGCCTGAGCAGGGAACATCGCAAAGGATGCGGTCGAAGCGTATCTTTCTGGCTCCGCGTACCCGGCCAGCAGAGTGGTCGTGCAGCGTAGGGAACTTAGTTGGCCAATTGTCCACGACTCGCATGCGATCTACTGAAGGACAATAACATGGGTGTCTTTTTAGGGGACCCCCCACCCCCAAAAAAGCATAAGCTAGGATAAACATAAACTAATAGTACAATAGCAATAAACCATACTAATAATAGTAATAATTATCATTATTCAACAATAATTAATAATCATGGTGGTGTTCCTCTTGTTCCCCTTCTAAAACCAAACATACATACAACCCACAAGCTCAATTTTAGAGTGATCTTCCGGGGGCCCCCAGTCAGGTTCTACGTTATTGGGTGCGAGAATAAAAACAGTCTGCCCCTCAGCCTCATCCCAACTGAGTCTAGAAAATGGTTTGGATGTGCTTCTTGTGTAGGTTCTTTTTAGTACTATTTTAGTATATGTTTATTCTCTTTTAACATCCTATAGGGGAGGATCCACAAAAACCGCATCACAGTCATTTCCTAGAGAGAGCCTCGGGAAAATCGAACCGGGCGGCTTCGCGTGCATCTCCGCAAAGCCAGAGTAGAGGAAGATTCTGGGGATGCTGATGCCTGGGTTGCTCCAAGCTCCCCCCTGAGCAAAGGTCTCACATGGTTGTAAGTCCCCTAAAGCCAGGGTTACTCACCATTTAGCACCATCCAGGGGGCGATTCGGTCGCACCAAAGCTTGGTTGACGTTGGAAGGGGAGCAAACAATTACATTTTAGCTGAATAAGCAAAACAAACAAACAAATATAGGAGTTCAGTGGTTGGATTTCAACCACTAAACCACAATACGCAAAATGTAACCTGTTTCCCAACAACCACGAAAGGCCCGAGATGCGTGCGCCGCAGCGCGCTTGCGCATCGGCTCCAGTTGTCGTCGTTGGCCACCAGCAACCCGGGCGCCACTTCGCCTCGCGAACTCCGCGCGCCGGACACCTGACCTAGCGGTTCCTTGGGTGCGTCTGGCAACAGAAGGCACCCACGAATTCGTGTTTTCTTCCATTTAAGCAACCCCAAAGGAGGGCACTGAATGCCGAAGCTCAACCAAGCTGACCTGAAAAGGACACCTGAACAGAAATCGGTATGAGACCTGCATGGCAGCATCTTGGCCTCTATCGCTTCTGGAGGTGGGGCAAAAGACCCTTCGTTGGGAACCTGGAAAATTGATCGTGACTCGCCTGCAGAACCTATGCTTCTCCGGAGGGGTCCTTTAACATCCAGCGTTGCTTCCGCCAAAGGGCATCCCCCCCAGGAGTCCCAAAAGCAAACTCAAAGTTGATTCTCGCCTGGTCTGGCTCCGGCACTCATCACGTCCAGCAGCTGCAAGGTCTTCGAAGCAGGTGCTGCGCACATATCAGCTACATAATGGTGAGGCTCAACCTGCAACGGGGCTCGGCTTCTCTTTCGACGTCCGGTGGACTACCATCCTCAAAAGATCTCCCTGCACCCTCCGATGCAGCGCTCCCTGTGCCCCGCGAAAGTTACAAAGTGGAAATGAGGTGGGAACCATTCAACTGCAACGGAAAACGGCATCAGTTGCGCATAGTATGCCGCGCTCCTTCAAATGCATGCATCCCTGGGTGGCAAAATATGGATTTGTAAATTTCAACCAGTGCTCGTTTACAGTTCTCTACCTTTGGCCTGACTCGCGCAGCAAAACACAGAGCACTCCTATGATCCAGTTGGCAGAGGTGCCTGGTATGAAGTGCCATTTTGGACCATTGTGGGCTGGAAGATGAACATTGGTGAGTGCGAGAAGCTTTGTGTGCGAGCTTTCGCCACCTCAAGCAGGCCAAGTCAGCATGTGTCAAGGGCAGCCAAACCAAAGTGAGTTTGTGTTGCTGGTTTAATGTATATATTAATAATAATAATACTACTAATAATAATAATGATAAAAGACCCACAGGACTCCTTCCTGCACCGCCCGCCTCCAGCAGCGTGACTGGTACCATGCTGGAGGCCTCTTGGCGTTGGAGGGCCCCACAGTCCTGAGGCTTGGATTCAAGCCCTCAATGTGGGTCTGTCTTGTTTTGACGGTTTTGGGGTCGGCTTAACGGAAAACCAAGGGACACCCACCATGTTAGGGGGTCCCCAAAAGAAAAACACACACAAACACACACACGTTAAGCATTCCTGGTAGGAAAGGGCGCCTTCTTTGAGATTCATTATGAGTGGGCAATAATTATGAGTGGGACAGACCATACAAAAAGGAACGGTGCCACTGAACAACTGGGCTACTTCGCTTAGTTTAAAGCGCTTGTGCAAAGAATTGTGTAAGTTGCTTCCAACCTCGTGCATCCATGTTTTAACCCATCGTTTCCACCTTTTGGATTTTTCCGGACTCAAACCCACGGCCGGCGCCCCGCCTGCGCTGTCTGCAGGAGGCCCCACACAGACTCGCCCGAAGGAACCTCCGCGTCCAGCGCCCAGCACTCCAAGCCCACCACCGGCCGCGCGCGCGGTTCGAGCTGCAGCACCCTGGCGACGCGACGCATCGGGGCCCTGGCGACACTTACTATCCCCGCCTGCAAAAAACATGAACAAAGCGAATATGACGCATTCATCCGCCCATTTGTTGTTTCACCGTCATCTGCCGAAATTGTATTTTTTTGTTAAGCCAGTATGGTTGTTTGCCAAAAAGAAGACTTGACAACTCGAGACATTGTTTTTGTTCAACCGCCATGGCCAGTTGCAGGTGACAGCAACAGTCAAGTAATTGACTCATCAACCCAGAACTACGCAATTGACAATTACAACAAACATAAAACAATGGTGGTTTCCGTTTGATCTGAAGGAGATTCGTTGTTTCAAACGCCCAACTTGGCTCGTGCTCCCGCCTGTCCAGGGCCAAGTCGCTGAGTGGACTCGCAGGCACGCGTTTGAAGCAGTGGGGCAGCGGCTGCCGCATGAGCTCACGGATCTTCGAGAAGTCTGGCAGGTCTTGGTAGTACAAATCCCAGGCCTGGCGCTTTATGTTAGAACCCATGGAAAGTGGGGCAAACAATGGAGGGGAGAACATGGATGTGTGTTGGACCCAAAAAAAAAATGGGCAGAATCACTGGGGTGGGTCTGTGTAGGAGTATCCCCCACCAACTTGGAAGAAGCGTCTTGCAGGTACCAGTTGGTTTTCCCTTTATTCTACCTGGCCCTGGACCGATGGGTGTGTGTGTGTGTCAAAGAGGATTGTTGGACCCCCCAAAATGCGGTTGGTTTTCCTCTGCTATGCACCAACGTGAAAGACCTTCAAAAGCACAAACCCAAACCATGATGATAACCACTGTTGCTTAAACATGTTTACGTAATCGCCTTTTGGATTTTGGTTTCAGTTGTCAAGGGGGCCCAGGCTCTGGTTGAAACACATTTTGCCCAACCCCTTGCTTGCTTGCTTGTTCGACAAGGGGGGAGCATCCCTAATCCGAATCAGTAATGCGCAGTGGGACTGCAACAAGGGAAACCACTACCGTCCGGCAAAAAGATCTTGTGCATTGATGTTGAACAGCCGAAAAGAGCTTCTCTGAGGTTTCCCATGGTTCCCCCCTTTGATTTTGAGCGGTGAACCACAGCACCACAGCCCAGCCTTGCAGCCTTCCTGTTTCTCAGGCGCCTCGGGTTCCTCGCTCTTTCCGGAATTCTTTGGAGCGCCTTCCACGTAGTGGCCCAGGCTCTGCACGTGCCGCATGAGCTGGTTCCTTGAGGAAAACTCCTTGCAAGAAGCGCGCCAGCTGCCAACATGGCGTTGAAGGTTAGCCTCTATACATATACTACCACATATATAATATATATATATATATCATATGTATGAACATGTATGCTATACAAAGTACACGCATACGTCTTTAAGAAAAAAAGGCTTGCATAGGCCTGGGCCCCTCTTTGAAACTAGGGGGGTATACGGCCCACCAATGCTCTCCTGGCCGCAGCGCCCGCAGGTGCGATCTGGCGCCAACGCAGAAGAGAGCTGGTGCGAGTTCTCGCAGATGCGCAGCTTCAAGGATCCGCCTGGATCGGTCGTGAAAAAGCGTGCTTGTGATACCAAAGAAATACTTCCCATGCCCTTGACTGTTTATCACTTGAAACGGGACTCATTAATCACGAAAAGGGACCTAAAACCCGATTTCCGCAACCCTGCCTCGATCACAACGCGATGTCTGCCAAGCCTCGGTCTTTCATCTACCGCTGGTCCGGTGATTGGGATCAAAGTACGGGGGTCCAGCCTTGTGGGATGTTCAAAAACAAGTGTTGCCATGAATCTGACGTATCCAATCAGAATCAACCGGAATTTTGAGCCTTGCCTTTGCAAAGGAGGCATCGTCGCAGATCTGGGATTCCCCATTCTTGTGGCGCCAAACGAAGCGGATGTCCGAAGCGCCTCGGCGAGCAAAATCGACTCTCAAAGTACGTCTGGTCCAAATGGCCTGGTTCACCGGGGCTCCTCCTCAGCAGCTTCTCAATGCCTCCCTTTTAGCCACAGGTGACACCACAGTAAACATTCCTTTCTAAGTTCCGAAAACTAACCAGCAAGACGGATCAACCAACCGAAGGAGCTCCCAATCTCCGATCCCAGGCACTTGCCCAAACCCCCTCAAAGACGGCGGCGACCTGGCGCTGCAGCTCCAACACGCTCGGGGCGTGGCAAGCGAACAGCCGTTCCGAGCTTCCGCTGGCCACGCAAATTTGGGCCTCAGAAGGGGGCAAGCATGTGTCCAGTGCTGAGCGGGTGCACTTGAGTGGGTTTTGACAGGCCTGTTTGCAGTGCTGAGCTGGCGCGCTTGGGCGGTGTCCAACCATTTAGCAGGCATGTGTGCTCAGTGGGTGCACGTTTGGTGAAAACTCGTGAGACGCGGGTGCGGCGCGCCCCGCGAGATACGTGACATGCCATATATGAGCTAAGGTGCGCAGAGTAAAAGCTGTCGGAAGTGCTGCGCAGGCCACACGAACCGCATTGGTGAAGCGCGTTTACGTCCCGGTGGACCCACAAACAAACAAACACATTCATATAATAGAAGATATAGATACACGCGCACACGCACGCGGACACACCACCACAAACCGGGACACACTTGCTGTGTCCAGCTGCGGGCTCCATCTTCCTCAGGCTCTCAGGGTCTACATCTGCGCCATGGCGGCCATGGCTCGAGATGGCAGGATTCAGCAAGCATGCTAACCTGCCAAAGGGGCTGTGGGACAGAAAGGGAGAGAGAGAGAGAGGAGACACAAAGAGCGAGAGAAGGAAAGAACGAAGAACGACAGAGAGCAACAATAAGAAAATAGAGGGAGAGAGATGTGTTGGTGCTTGGGTGTATGCGTATATGTGTCAAGCTGCAGGCAAGTCCCCAGGCGCACCTTCTGTGCGTGGCCGCTTGCTATCAAACTCCTGCGCCGGCACGTCACACGCTTCCGCTTTTGGGGTTCCCCTACATGAGCAGCGCCCAAAGCCCGGGCTGAATCTTAGTTCTACCAAAATGGTTGCCAAGGTTGATCCAGGCTCCTCCGGAGCCACAAGACCAAGTAGCAGAACACTGCTCGGCAATCGGAACCCGGAACCCCGGAGGAAGGCGGCCCGCTTCTCCTGTGCCTCATCCTTCCTCTCGTCGAAGGAGTCTTTGCTCTTCACCTTCAAGAAGTTGGGCACCCGCTTCTTCGCCTGGCGATTCCCCTGAGAGCGCAAATGGGCCCCTGGCCAAGAGAAGGGGGAACCTCATCAACTGTCCGCTGAGAATCGGTCCAAACCAAAGCATATGGAAACCAAAGGAAGCCACCAAAGGAAACCAAATGAAGCCACATGAAGCCAAAGGAAACCAGAGCAAACCCAAAGCAAACCAAAAGAAATCAAAAAAGAAAGAAACGGAAACCTAACCAACTTTCTCGCATAGTTTCTTTTTCAGTACTCGTTAGCTCGGAGCCTTCACAGCCAGCCGTCTACTCCTCTCTTTGCTCCGCGCCTGTGGGCCGAGCTCGGGTCTGGGCAGCGGAGCTGGCGCCTTGTCCACTCTTTTGATGGTGTGCTCGATCCTCGAGCACAAAATGGCAATGGATGGATGGCTTGGCGGGGGGGGGGGGGGTTGGGGGGGTGAGAAGTGGGGGGGTCCGCGGGTGGGGCGGGGTGGGAGGGTGGGTGGGGGGTGGCGGGCGGGCGGCGGGCAGTTGAGTTTATGGCAATGGATGGATGGGGGGGGGGCAATTGGGTTCGGGTTTGGTTTGGGGATTTGATGTTGGCCACTTTCCGTGGTGGCGATTGATGCAGGCCAATCTCAAGTAGAACCCTGTGCAAGAACAGTCCTCCACCAATGAAAACGAGCGCCGTGAGGTTTGGGTTGGGACCATACGTGCACAGACCCTCTCTTGGAAGACGAAGCCTGGGTGCATGTTCTTGTTTGAGGGTACGTCTTGCGTATTGTGCCTTAAAGGGACACCAAGAGGGAGACCGCCCGTAGGGGGCGGAATCTTTACGAGACAGGCCCACCTGTTTGAAGCAAAAGCCCTCACTTCCACCTTTGGAGGGTACTCACTCCGGCACCGGTTTTGGGCCGGGCCGCTTGTGCGCAGAAGCCGCCTGCCGCCACTCATTTTGCTCCTCGGGCGAACGATCCAACAGCATGCATCTTTTTTAACAGAGTCCTTGCCCCCAAGTTCCAAAGGAGGTGCACCAAACAGTGTTGGTGTTGACCCCTCTGCAAAAACTAGAGGACGATTCGCCCGAAAGCATTTTCCCATTGGTGCTCATCCAGCTGCGGAGACACCTTTTTACATCGCTGCGGCGAGCGTGTCTGCGCGCGGCGATGCTCAGTGTGTATGGTCACATGAGAGCTCCATCTCATCATCCTACTTTCCTCTCGAACTGCGCCGCGCGATTTCTCACGAAAGTGGTCTGCGCAAGCTGCATTGTTCCAGGCTGCTGCGCGCAAGTTGCTCTCTGCAAGCTGCTGCGCGCAAGTCACAAAGCACTTGCGCAGAGCAACTTGCACAGACCAACTTGCACAGAGCACATGCGCAAAGCGCTTGCACGGAGCAACTGGCGCAGAGCCCTTGCGCAGAGCAACTTGCTCAGAGCACTTGCGCAGAGCAACTTGCACAGAGCAGGCGCAGAGCAACTTGCACAGACCAACTTGCGCAGAGCACATGCGCAAAGCGCTTGCGCGGAGCAACTGGCGCAGAGCACTTGCGCAGAGCAACTTGCTCAGAGCACTTGCTCAGTTGCTCTGCGCAAGTTGCTCTGCGCAAGTGACTCTGCACAAGTTGCTCTGCGCAAGTGCTGCCGGAGCTGCGGGGGTGTGCTGCGCGTACTACGTTTGTACTTAAAAGTTGCGATTTTCCAGCCTGAGCTGCGGGAGCACGCTCCGCATACTACGTCTGTACTTAAAAATTGCGATTTGCAAGCCGGAGTTGCAGGAGAACGGACCGCGTACTACGTTTGTACTTAAAAGTTGCGATTTTCAAGCCGGAGCTGCGGGGGTGTGCTTCGCGTACTACGTTTGCACTTAAAAGTTGCGATTTTCCAGCCTGAGCTGCGGGAGCACGCTCCGCACACTACGTCTGTACTTAAAAGTTACGATTTTCCAGCCGGAGCTGCAGGAGCACGCTCCGCGTACTACGTTTGTACTTAAAAGCTGCGATTTTCCACCCGGAGCTGCAGGAGCACGCTCCGCGTACTACGTTTGTACTTAAAAGTTGCGATTTTCAAGCCGGAGCTGCGGGGGTGTGCTTCGCGTACTACGTTTGCACTTAAAAGTTGCGATTTTCCAGCCTGAGCTGCGGGAGCACGCTCCGCACACTACGTCTGCACTTAAAAGTTACGATTTTCCAGCCGGAGCTGCAGGAGCACGCTCCGCGTACGTTTGTACTTAAAAGCTGCGATTTTCAAGCCGGAGCTGCCGCGGACCAGGGGGGAATCGAACCCGCGACCGCGGGATTGCGAAAGCAGGCGCGCAAACCACGAGACAACTTCCAAAGGCCGTTTCGCGAGCAAGAATATTGCACGGCGCCACAGCGAGAGCGCTTCGACACGCACAATCTCCGCAGAGGGTTCGCCGAGACTAAGACAAATTCGCACGGCGCCACAGCGAGAGCGCTTCGACGCGCACGATCTCCGCAGAGGGTCGCGCGCGCACCGCAGAAATCGTAAAAAGTCCTCAGTTTTTGAACCTCGACCACGCGAATCTCCGCAGAGGGTCGCGCGCGGCCAGCAGAAATCGTAAAAAGTCCTCAGTTTTTGAACCTCGACCACGCGAATCTCCGCAGAGGGTCGCGCGCGCATGCTAGAAATCGTAAAAAGTCCTCAGTTTTTGAACCTCGACCACGCGAATCTCCGCAGAGGGTCGCGCGCGCATGCTAAAAATCGTAAAAAGTCCTCAGTTTTTGAACCTCGACCACGCGAATCTCCGCAGAGGGTCGCAATCCCGAGCGACGATCAAACTCCCGCCCCGGCGCCTTAGAAACCTAAACTAACTTACATAGCTGCTAACGCCGAAGCTCTAAGCTCTACCTAACCTTGGCTCTATGTAACTTGGCTCTATGTAACTTGGCTCTATGTAACTTGGCTCTATGTAACTTGGCTCTATGTAACTTGGCTCTATGTAACTTGGCTCTTGGCTCTATGTAACTTGGCTCTATGTAACTTGGCTCTATGTAACTTGGCTCTATGTAACTTGGCTCTATGTAACTTGGCTCTATGTAACTTGGCTCTATGTAACTTGGCTCTATGTAACTTGGCTCTATGTAACTTGGCTCTATGTAACTTGGCTCTATGTAACTTGGCTCTATGTAACTTGGCTCTATGTAACTTGGCTCTATGTAACTTGGCTCTATGTAACTTGGCTCTATGTAACTTGGCTCTATGTAACTTGGCTCTATGTAACTTGGCTCTATGTAACTTGTAACTTGGCTCTATGTAACTTGGCTCTATGTAACTTGGCTCTATGTAACTTGGCTCTATGTAACTTGGCTCTATGTAACTTGGCTCTATGTAACTTGGCTCTATGTAACTTGGCTCTATGTAACTTGGCTCTATGTAACTTGGCTCTATGTAACTTGGCTCTATGTAACTTGGCTCTATGTAACTTGGCTCTATGTAACTTGGCTCTATGTAACTTGGCTCTATGTAACTTGGCTCTATGTAACTTGTCCAAGGGCTCCGCACGGAAGAACCCTTCGCGATGCTTTCGGGAAAAACAAAAACTTTTGTGGGTTTAGTGGAGAACCCCTTGATTTCCCAAAAAGTTAAAGTCTAAAGATCCAACCCAATAGCAGTCAAGAAACAGAGTTTGTTGGCACCCTTTATCAAACCCACTTGTGGGTCTCAAATCTTGAAAGCTCCTCCTTTTTCAGTGCTCTTTCCATGAACTTTTCCTTCTCCTTCTGCGCCTCGACAGCCAATCTCTTGTCCGAGCGCCCCCTGAAACCATCCAACCGGGTGTCTAGTCTATCCATATTAATGGAGGGGTTCAAACATTGGGAAGGTTCAACTATGTAGATGTGCTTCATCAGTGTTCAAAATATGAAGGAGCCCTCAAAACTGGAAAAGACTCCTTCTAGGCGGCCTGATCGGACACCATCCAAGACTCTAAGCTTGTTTCCAGCCTCAAGCGTACCCACTGGGGTTGAATGAGATATACAGCCACATGGCCAGAATGTAAAGGGTATATACCGGCGACCCAGGAAACCCTCTGACTTACTGCATTTTACCACCCGCATGGTTTACTTGCAAAATGGGAGCAACCACCACGGTTTGGGGGGGGGGGTGGAAAGCGTACCTGAAATCCGCCTGATAGGCCAGGTCCGCTCCGGCTGCCCCGGGGCCCATGTAGGCTCCTAGGCTACTCATTTTTGGGTCTCGAGAAACCGGGGAACCCCTGTTTGCACTCTTCCATATGGAAAAACACACACACATCTTGTCCGTTTCTTCTTTTCAGTGGCCCCAGTTAATCACGGACAAACTGAAACCACACGGAGGAATCGCCGTGGAAAGCCGGCGTCACCAGACAGGATGCAAAAAGAGGCCATATGTTTGACCCCATCTGACAATCGTCCGACATGGGTATGAACTTTTCGCAGGGACGCTTCGGCATTCCTTTTGGGTGGGGATTTATGTCCACCAACCACTCTGCCAGGGTTCCCTGCAAATTTTAATGATTAGCCACATGTTGTATTTTCGGGGGAGGCTCAAAAAGTAGAGACAAACTCGCCCAAGAGGAGCAAAATGAGAAAGGATAACATCGCTTCCTTTCCCAGACGATGAGTTCGGAGATATCCCCGCGCTGGGAGTGCACAGTCCGAGTCCTCCGTCGAAGGAAATCACATCTTTGCCCAACAGGCCTCAGGTGTGCGCGCTTTCGACTTGTCTCGTACCAATTTCCCGTGCCCGCGCCTTTGCTAACGCGTGAGCTGCAAACAAATCTGGGCCGCTCTCTTCCCAAGAATGCCGACACAAACAAAGTGCCAGAGGTCACATAGCTCGTAACGTCGTAGCCGCGCGGCGGTCCATGAACAGGTTCTGATTCTTCGATCCTGGCAGGTTCGGGACATACACGAGTTACGCTGGCTCGGGCGTTGGCCCTTGGCGGCTTGGCCTGAAGGGGTCCCCATGGCTACAAGATCTGTCCCAATGATGTGAGCGAAACTTGCGGCGTGCTGCGGTTGAACGCATTTCTGGCTCTTCAGAGTGTGGCTCGTCCAGCTTAATTGGGTCATCAGCTCATGGTCTGCCAGGCGCTGGTCTTGAGCCAGGCGCTGGTCTTGAACCAGGCGCTGCGCGTATGGATGGCACGGATGGCCTCCAATCTCTAGGGAGTGTCACTCAAAAGACATGGTCCTTGGCAGGCCCGATCAATGAACATAACCAACCAATGAGCAGAACCAAGACATGACAAGCGTGTCAACAGCCAAGGGATGCCCTGCGCACTGCATAACTCGACGCGATTTTCGATGCGTCCACTCTTGGGCTGTACAGCTCGGATGGCCTGAATCCAAGCCCGCGCTGCATGCCTGACAAACCACGGCCAAAAAAGCAACCAGGCGATTTATATGCGAAATAATATCTATAATACATATGCATACAATATATATTTGTACTAAATATATTTTTTTGTGCTGCTGAATAATTTGTATGGTTTGATTCTTGGCTGTAGAGCTCGAACGATCCATCCAAGAAACCCACATTGACCCCTTGGCTTGCCCAGGCGGGCAAGCATGGCGAGTATTGCCTGGCCACGAGCAACTGTACAAGGAGATGCCCAGCGTCTAATCCAGAGGCTGCTCAGCCTGAAAGTCGGCATACTCGGCATGGTGTGGAGGGCACCAGCCCTTGCCACAATGCTGCATCTTGGTGCGTCCCGCATACTCCTGTCGACTCTTCCCTTGAAACAAATGCAATGCTTCCCGGTTTTCCCTCCAGGCCAGAGATGAAACACACAACTATTTGGTGTTCTCAGCTGTTCGCTTGTGCCTCTCAAAGGCCAATCCAGCCAGAATAAAAACCTTGAAGGGGCATGCCCAACATCCGACGGCTCAAGAATCAGAAGGGTGGATATCCGCGCTTTGTGGATGGGACTGTCGCCTACCAAAATAAGGCTACCTAGGTCTTCAATCTTGGCGGCCCTTACGAGCCTGCTCGCGCAAACAGGGTCGTGCTTTCCGGCCCTGTTTTGAAAGTGCCTGAAACCAGGGTTCAGCTCGTAAATCAGCCAGACTCTTGAAAGTGAAGCCAGAAGGAGCTTGTTGAAACAATGATGGTTTAAACATGTTTAATGTCAGCAAGGTGTTGGCCCCTTGACTGAAACCCTAACCCTTTTTGAAGGTTCGCTGATCGACCCCGGTCCTTAAAGACACCGTAGTCGCGGTCGTGGGTGAAAGACAGGCAAACTTTGTCCGGGGGCCCAGTCTCGCGCTGGTACCCAGTCGAGCGGCTCTGGAGATTGTGTCTGGACCAGTACCGAGACCGTCGGTACTCAATGTTACCTTGGTGGCTGATGGATCTGTTCCACGCACATTTTTTGGGACATACACAAACAGTTCCCAAACTGGGCCCCGTTCAGGACCTTATTGGCAATGATTGGGCATGTGTGTCTGATCCTGCTTGCACACATCCGCTCCAATGGGCTGGATGGTCTTGAAGAACGGGCCTTCAACCCGCCAGCCGGACTTGAGGCAACGCTGCGAGCCGTGTGGCGTCGCAGGCTTTGGCAGAAAGCTGGCCCAAGGGAAACTTGCCCCACCAACCAGCATGGAACCCAACCCAAGGTCTTGGAAGACCATTCCCCGCGAAAAGGTCTTTAAACGGGTTCCATGCTTGTGGATGGGAAGATGTTCTGTGTGCGCCAGTTGACGACAAAGCCGTGCGCAAGCTCGAGACTTCACCCGGTGTGAAAAATCCCTGCCTGTGATACCAGGCCATCCCCGTGACTACTCTATCACTTCAAGGAGGATTCTTTTGGTGACACAGAAGTTGCCCTTGCGACGGGAAATGTCAAGATTGGGTCCTTCACAAGTGGCCTTTAGAGCAAAGCCTGGACTCTTGAAATAATACCACAAACCTGCACGAACACTCTCAACAGGAATCCTTGTTGACTGGATCCGTATTGAGGGCTTGATGACCCCCCCAAACCAAATGGGCGTCGTACCCCCTCTCGCTTGGCCTTCAGAGTTAGAGTGAATGGGACCCAAGCACCACCAACAAAATAGAAACCTTTGCCATTTCAGCGCACCGATCTTTGCGCTCTCAAGATAGGAATCAAAAACCCTATGTGTGTGTGGGCGTGGTAGTTTCCTTTTGGAAGTTTCATCTCAAGACGTGTCTCCCGTGTCTCCAAAAATCGAGTTCAACCGCTGGGTATCCCAACCCAAAGCCTCAGGCGCACATTTTTCCATGCGAGGTTTTGGTGGTTTTGGGGTTTTTGATGGTCTGTGGTGGTTCCCTGCGGGATTCTTGATTTTGCTTTTGGGCCACGTGCCAAAACGAGCCGCGGGTCCAGAGGATGAGGTTCAGGCGCTCGCCTTCCGTGATGTCGTCCGCCCCGTGGCGACGGTGGCCCCGGTGCACCACGCAGCGCCCCAGCTGATGCTGGTAGCAAAGGCTGGCGTGCCTACGTGAACCAAAGCTTGAAAAACCAACGGAAACAATATGAGTTATAAGCTTATAATATAAACATGTGTGTTGTTGAAATATGTGTTTAAGGCATTTAGCTTATTAATAATGATGAAACCAAAGGAAACCAAAGGAAGCCACATTTGCCTTTGGTTTCTCACGGGAATCTGGTGCTAGATTGCAGCTCCGAAAGAAAATCATCTCGGAAACCCTCTGGGGGCTCCCGGTGAGGGTTCTGCCCCCTAGCTTCAAGTACCCAGGTTGTTGTTTTTTCTTGACTGAGGTGTACAAAATGGAAAAAACACCTCGCATTCCTTGAAAAAAACACTCCATCTCCCCCTCTCTCTCTGCCTGTCATTCTCCCCTTTGTTGGGGGAGGGAGGGAGTAAACCAGAAGTAGGCTTCCTATAGTATACAGTATACAATGAAACCACAAACCATCCATGTACCAAAGTCACCTCACCTATGGTTGCCTGACCTCAAAAACTAGAAGGTGTCCTTTTGATTTCCCTCGCAGCCCCAAGTGGTGGGGTCCTTTTGCCGGCCCTTCTTTTCAGGCACTCCTTTTCCGGGGTTACATCCAACCCCCCTTTTTCCGCCACGCCTGTGGTCCGGTGCCCCCTGGTTGCCGCAGAACTGCAGGCCGGCACCCTTGAAGTCCTTCCCCAGGCAAACATTGAAGGTGACGTCGCTGTCATCGGTGTGCATATCCTTGGATCGAAGATGGTTTCCACTACCCCCAGACGACACCCAGGGCTTCAGTGGGATATAGATGTTCCCATTGGGTAGTGGTTCGGGCAGCCTAACCATCTTCAAATCTGGGATCTCTCTGTCTCTCTCTCTCTCTCTCTGCGATGTTGCATCCAAAAGGTCCCGACTAAACGAGGCAACGATGGATGGCGATTCTACTTGTTTTCCAGACACCCAAACTGTCCGGACCCCAATTACTCTGGGGATCGATGAGCTTTTGCAGCTGATGTCACATTACCTGCCCACCTGCAAAACTCCAAGGTGTACCGTAATACTGTGGATGGACAAAATCCTGCACCACTTCAAAAAATCAAAACCATGGGGAACCATTGTTTGTTGGCAGTTGCAAGGGAATCATCATTCCAGGGGTTCTTAGGTGGTGCTGGATTTCGTCCATCCACAGTAAAACGCAACGCTGTGCAGCATAAGGCCGGAACTTAGCACCGTGAACCTCACCTACCCGTACTCTACATAGACCAAACGTGAAGAGGTCGCAAGCCAACGGGCTCCATGAAAGTGAGAGACCCTCATGAAACTCCAAAAAGGTGGTTAAATATCAATCAATTCAAAGTGATCTCGAATGCCCCCTCAAATGATCACCTTGATGGTGCTCATCTTTAGGGCCACCAGAATGGTTCTCAGAAGCTTTCAGAGAAGTTCCTCTAAGAAGTTCCTCTAGGGGTCCTAGGATGCTCCCAGTAAACCGATCCACGGTTTAGGTGATTTCGGCGTCTTTGGCCAGAGCATCCAGGCCCAAATCCTCGCCCACCTTGTAGCGGACGACGAAGGTGTGGTGCCGGTCAACGTGGGACCCCACGCCGCGGAAGAGGTGCTGCGCCACCGGTTGCAGAAACGTGTGGACCAGCCTGGGCTCACGTCTAAGAGCTAAGAGTCGTCAGACCTTTCGGAGGTTTGATGCGGAGAAAACAAATTGGTTTGCTTCCAAAAGGTTGCGGGGCCGTCTTGGGGTAAGGCCGGCCAAGCAACTGGTCCAGGGCTGGCTCCATGCCGATCTCATTCACGACGATGCCGTAGTTGTTCCTTGGCCAGACTCCAAGAAAAGCTCAAGTTGGTTCTTGGTGAAAAAGGAAAAACCGGAAAACCAAAAGGGCAAAGCTTTCGGAAAAAAGGGCCGCTAAGTCTGTCAATGAGTCATGCTGTTCGGGCGCCGGGCGGGCAAGCCACTGCCATGGAATGAGTCCATCTCTTCAATGAAGGCGGCGCAAAAGTCGCGGTTAAACAACGGAAAGGAATAGACTTCGCTCGCTTCGGAGGTCATGATCGCCGACCAAGCTTCCGCCGTGTTCTCGGAAAAGGCCTTCAAGAAGGGTTGTTCCAAGCCCCCTGAGAAACCGGTCGATCACCTTTTGCGATGGAAAAACCATTTGCTTCCCAGTCCAGGGGGCGATTCGGCCACACCAAAGACCAGCCTGAGAGAAAGAGAATAATCCCTCGGTGGCCGTCCTTTGAGGCATTCCATAGCCCACAAATATTCAACCGGGTTCACTGAAATGTCCCATCCTTGACCCAGCATAAAACAACCCTACAAGCATCAACGTTGGCCCAACACGTGGATGTGCAAACCACTCAAAACGGGGAAAACAAACTCTTTCCAACAATCATGGAATTGGGCAGGTCTTTTCGAGAGGACCGATTAGCGTAAGGGAAAGTCGGTGCTCAAGCCTTCGCCTTCCCCCGCAAATACACTAACATGGAACGCAAACATGGAACGCAACTGGGGGAGCCAAAAGGAGATCCCTCGAAGGGCCAATGTTTATCTGGAGTGGGTTACATGGCTTCAAACTCCTTTACAAATGGAAGCATCTTGGGTCCTGTTCCATGTCTCTTCCTTGTTCCTTGAGCCATCTTGGCCCCACTTGGGTGCTCAAGCTGTATATACAGAGTATGTAGGTTATAACCATCGTTCCAAGAGGGCTCACACTTCTAACCATGGTTATATCATGTCATGCCCTACCAAGCAAACTGGTTGAACACCCATGCCTTCCAGAACTCCGGATGCAGCGTCTCCGCCGAGTAGGCGTCCAACTCGAAGAGGTTCCGGTGCTTTCGCAGGTGGCTGTACTGCGCCACCACCTCGCAGCGCTGGCGGTTCGACTCCGCGGCATCCTCTGCCTCCTAAGTCAACGACGGCTGTTTGGACAGCACCGGTTCAGCTAGGGAAAAAGCAACCATTTGAAAGGGGTCCTTCCAAGAATTGTAGTGAGGTTTCCCTGATTTGTGTCTGCGTGTGTGAAACCAATGATATGGTCACCTACAGCCATGAGCGCGCACCTCTTTTGAGTTCGCTCAGGGAGGCCAAAAGGAAAACAGAAGGGAAATCACCTGGGCCATTGAAAAGCGATATGCACCTGGGAGAATATGTTTTGGTCTCGTTGTGAGCCTGGAGGTCCCTAAGCACGGGATTCATAGAGGGTTCCCACAAACATACAGCGCAAAATGTTCCGGATGATCGCGCCCCACTCCTTGCTGACTATTGCTCTTTGATGTTGCAGTTTTCTGTTTTGCTTTGGGGGGGGGGTGCAAGAAAAAACACATCTCCACCAAGTTAAAGGTTGAAGATCCGACCAAACAGAAGCCAAGACTCCTCCTCATCGATCCCCGGCGCACTGAGAAGCGCCCTCGCCGCGCGCAGCGTGCGGCACAGCGGAGAAAGGGCATCGCTGTGGTCTGCGAGGGCCTCGGCCAACGCAGCTTCGTCCAAGACGCCCTCCTGGCAAATGGAGTGTGTCTCCAGCACCCGGGTTCGTCTTTTCTTTGAGGGAACCACACAATAGTTAAGTGGTGTCCTTTTGGGTTCTCCCCAAAACGAAAACCAAAAGGGCACGCCCCCCTCCCCACCACTGCTTTTCTCCATCTCCAAAATCCCAAGTACTGTGCAGTTGTTGTGTCCGTCCGATCTTTTCCTGCTGTTCGTTTGGAGGCCCTTCAAGCTGTGGGACATACCCCCCTTGTGATGCCTCTATGGGAGTCATCCCCGTGACTACTTCATCAGGCCTAACCCCCCCAGGGTCTTGTCGAGGGCTCCATCCTCAGATCCCAATCATCCATTGGCCCTCCATTGCTTACGGGTTGAGCCAACCCTAGCCCAAGAAGATGTGTGCTTCCCTTTGGCTGGCCGCAAACACCACCCCAAGAAGGGGAATCGCCTGGCACCCTCCAAAAGCGAAAAGGTTACACGCCCTGGTTGCAACAGGCCGGTTTGAAACTCAGGAACGCCTCGACATGCTTTCACTGATTCATGCGTCAGTTTCAAGTAAGAACGGCTTGTCTCAAGCAGATTTCAACACATTCCATTGCCTCAAAAAGGGATTCCCCCCACCAAGAAAAAACAAAAGAAAGAGTGGTTTCCTTTTTGTTACCACGCTAAAAAATAACACCAAACTGAGTACCCTAAAAGAAGACGCGCCCATATTAGCACCACCGCCAATCTCCGATGTCCTTGCTGATCAATGGGTTGTGAATCCAACTGTGGACGCGTACCTCTGCTGGAGCCTGCAGGGCTCTTGAAATTCAACACTTTGCTGGCCAGCCCCTTACCCTCCACATGGCACCCGTCCCTTGGAAATTGAACTTCCAGGTACCCTCCCACAAATGCGATGTGAATTAGTGAACGGAGGGATGTTTAAACGTGTTGAAACATGTTGAAACCGCTGAAACACTCTCCCGTGACTTTCCCAACAGCTTTGCATCTCCCCCGGCCTTCGGCCACGCCGAGTTCGCTTTGAGCTGCAGTCGGAGGTATGCCTCGTACGCGGTGCCAGTTGGGCCTGTGACGACCAAAGTCACGGTCCAAGGCCCGGTAGACTCTGTCGGCACGAAAAGCTCTGCACCATCCTCCGGCAGAAGTCGGGGGGTCCCCCGAAACATCCATCCAGCGAAAAACTGAGGTAAGAGACTACGAACAAAAGGAAAAAGAAAAAACAACTCGCAGGATTGCACCTGCGCTAAGGCTACACGCATCTCCAGGCTTCTAATGGGCAATGCGCATACGCGAGAGGCTGGGGCGCGCTTGCCAATGAGTGAGTTGCTGAGCCTCCGTCTCATGTCCGCAGCATAGCAGCGACTAATCAAGTTACAGTAATTGGGTGTTCAATTTGCCAAGTTAGTTTGTTGTTGGCCACCTAGGTTATAACTCCCTTAAAGGTGCCCCTAAGTGGGGTTAACCTTGTTATTAGCGGGTTATAACCCAGGTGCCAACCAGTTAAAAGTACTAGCTTGGCTCGCAAGGCCCAAGGACTCGCCGCGATCAAGGCAGCTCTCTGCTCCCACACCTTTTCAACTACACAAGGCTTCTCAACTGAGTGTAGCTTCTGCTGCGACGATCTCAATGTCTGAAGCATGGAGCCCAAAGGCCATATGGCTATGGGTCAAAACCCCGTACCCCCTGTGAACATCCCAATCCCCACTAAAATAGGTTCTAAAAATGATTAAAAATGGGTGGTGCACCGAAAACCCCCCAGAATGGTGCCATTGGTGTGGACCCACGGCCATATCCCACTTGAAGAGGTGTTCGAACATACGGCACCTCCCCACCCCAACAGCTCTCAGCCAGAAGCCCCCGCTCCTCCGCCACAGCCATGAGTTCCGGGCCAAGGGCGCGCAAGACACCGGGCTCCTCCTGAAGTCTGGCCACCTGCTCAAAGCGGGGGATCCAACATCCGTGGATCCGAAGACTACAACAAGGGAAACCACATGGGGTTACTTCCTCTTTTTGCAGGTCCCCCTTTGCAGGCCCATTTGCCAAGGGGCCCCCGAATTTGAGATTCGGGATTGACTTTGAACAACCTGGCCTCAGAGCGCAACGCTTCCACCACTTCGGCCCCTGGCCGGGCGTCCTGGGGATGCGGACAAGGCGAAGGCAGCAACGCTCGCGCCACGACGCGGTCCGCTTGATTTGAGCTTCAGCTGCCTCGCAAATGCTGTTTGGGTTGGCCCGGCGACACGGCTGCGTTGGAGCCATCAATGGACCAAAATGATGTCATGTCAGGGGTACTTGAGCGACTCAGAATCCATGGCCCTGCCAAAAATGTTCCGACCTCGTTTTCGAAACAGAGCTTTTTTCAAGCAACGGACATGGTCCTCCCTGCTTTGTGGCTTCCTTTAAGGGGATCCCTGGGTAAAGATTGATGTTGAGATGTGGGTTGCTTCCGAAGCTTGTCATGAGCAGGCAGCCTGCTTGAGCCTTCCAAGCACTTGATGGATTTCCCGGTGGTTGAGGACGACAGCACTTGGGGCTTAGAATCTCGAAACGCATTGAAGCACCCCGGGCTTCGACTTGTTCCTTCTCCTCCGGCAGTGAGAAGGTGCTGGCCAGTTCCTGGCGGATCACCCGCGCCACGTCCGCGGGCGCATAGATCAACGCGCCCCCGAAGGAAGGGTCCAGCTCCACCTCGCACTGCGCTTCTTGTTGCGTTTTGCTTGGCGCAAAGGGAAAACCGAACAGGACACTGGGCAACTTGGGGATCTCCTGATTCTGCGGCAAACCAAGTGCATGCCCATGTCCTTTCATGGGTATCCGAAGGATTTCCTTGGATTGTTGTCGCTTTTCCAAAAGGGAAAGCAGGAAGAAACCAACCCGGTTGGTTTTGCTCGCGGTCAAAGTTTGGGAGAAATGAGAAACCAAGTGAGTATGAATGTTATTTGGTTGGACCCTTTGGTGACCTGGTGGGCAAGTTTTCAGACATGGTCGGATTTGTAATTTGCGGAGGGTGTTCCAACCATGAAAGTTCACATCCAACTCTTCCAGGATCTCCACCTCAGCGCAGTGGGCTTGTTTTTTCTTGGACTGCAACAGCTGCTTTCTGTGGATGTCAGTGGATGATGAAAGTTTGGCTCCAACATGTTCCAAACCAACGCTAAGAAAGTGCTTGCAAGCGGAGGGAGCTGGTAGTGGGGCGGCCGGTCGCATTGGCACATTCCTGACCAAAAATCTTCTTTACATGCCTCGGCAGTGAGTGTCACACGAGTTGGCTCGAATTTGGCAGTCCAGGGCCAAGTGATGAGGACTTTTGGTGTTAAACCTACTTGAAGTGCAGAAAAGGATTTTTCCGCTGCAAACAGTCGGCGCTTTCGATTTCGCCAGAAGGGAACCACATCGCCGATTCTCACGCGCGCCTGGTATGGTGCTTCCTTCCCGGGCGGCCAGTGGTCCTGAGGGCGTCGAGATATTGCGCGTGGGGACGTTGGGATCGTCTGCCCACAGGTGGTTGTTTGGAACAATCGATGGGGTTTCCCTGGCAAATGGTTTGCAAAAGGAAACCCCCCCCAAAAAAAAAGAAAAATAAAAATAACCCAGTGGCTTGCCCGTCGATTCTTAATCAAACTAATCTAGAAAGGACACCTAGAACTGCCAACATTCGTTATGGCCCGCTGCCATTGCTGGAAAAAGAGTAGAGTTTGCCACCGTCAATTTGAGACACCCCAGTATTTGTCCCGGTTCTTTGATCTCCCTTGACGCCCCCCAAAAGGGACACCTCACACTGCGCCCAGTCTTCTCCCTCCCCCCCCTCCAACCCTAAGCCCGGTTCCTCCCGGTAGTGGAGTGCCACCACCTTTCCGTGGGCCCAGCCCTGGGCCGGGTTGAGCAAAAGGCCCAAACCTACTTCACCTTAGCTAAGTTTGGAGGGAATGTGAGGGGGTGTCTGGACACCTTAAGGATTAATATGGCCCAACCAATGACACTTCTGTGCGTCTTAACCTTACCCCCAATTGGTTGTGTGGATTGAATGCCAGGTTCCCCAAACCAATCCAAACCATCGGGGTTCGCGCTATCCTCAGACCCGCCAACTTGGAGAGTCATTGGAAGAGGGTCCTGGAAGACAACCTGGGTTCCATGTTGGTGGACAAGGTGAATACTGTAGGTTTAAATGAAAACACGGCTTGTTTCCGAAACACAGCGGAAACCAACGTTGAGACCAAAGGGGGCCCTGTTCGTTGCTCCCAGCTGATCAGTTTGGAAACCTCCAGCTTACCTTGTGGCTGTGCCGAACATGAAAAAACTGGGGGTCAAACTCGAACCAAACGCTAGGGAAACCGGTTGAAACAACTTGGTGGTGCAAACGCATGTCAACTTTCAACCCCAAATAAAAAGGGAAGCCAACAGGCGACTTAAACAGACACGAGATGTGGCTTGAAGCAGAAGGTTGGAAAAGCAAAATGGTGCTCTAATCAAGACAAGGGCTTCAATCCCCCCCCCCCCTCCCCCCCACACGGCCCGAAACGGTTTTGAAACACTTCGCCTCGGAGCCCATGTTGCAGGAGACCCGGTCGCCCACTTTGAAGCGCAGCGCGCGGGTCTCCGCCATGCCACTGATCCGGCCAGCTCTGGCGAGGGACCCACGCCCGCGAAAGAAGTCTTCGACGGAAGGCGGATGGGAGTTGGGTGGGAAAACGTGGGCTAGTTGCTTGACCTTGCCAGAGGTCTGGATGTGAGAGGAGCCAAAGGCGGCAGTGTTCACCCCATATGAATCAACCCCAGCTTATTAAAAATGGGGCGGTGGGCGCCCCTGCAGCAAGTGCTGATTCCCAAACCTGGGGATACCCCCTATTAATCAACTGGGGTTGATTGATTTGGGGTCAACCTGAAATGTGACGCAAAGTCTGCAAGAATGCACAGGGAAGCTTCTTGCTAGGCACGGTTTTTGCACTGTACTTCCCTCCAGCCTGCGCACTTTGCAGAGCTGCACGCTGACTAGTAAACAAAGGCTTGCTGACTGCATTCGCAGACATCCGAGCCAGGTGGTTACTCGCAATGGGCCCTAACATGGTTGGCTCTCTTCTGGATTCCTGTCAGAACCAAGCACATTGGGTTCGAAATCCCATTTTGAGCAACAGGCATTCCAGATTCATTCGGTCTGGCAGGCGTTCAGCCCGCCCGACCACTCACAGGCCTTCGCAGACCTGCGCTGAGCTCAGGGACGGACACAAAAGGAGACCGCAGAGAATCGCAGGCAACTGGCTCCGTTGAAGTGAACGTGTTGAGAGATTCTCAAACTGGGGTGGTGAACCTTCAAACCACCCCTTAGAGTAACTTTGAGGACGAGAACTGGGGGCACCCCGCCTGGAGCTGCGCGAACCTTTCGGACCACGCGCTTGCGCTACACCTGCCGTCGTTCTCCGTGCCCGACGACCCTTGCCTCCCAAACGGAGGCCCCGACGACCCGCGCGGCGTAGACTCTTCTGCTGGCCTTGCTGAGGAGCTCCACAAAGCGGGACTTGTCCCAGTCGCCCTTCAGAGCCTTTGCCTAGCTGAGGCAAAAGCTAAGTGAACTACCCGAATGCGCATATCCCCCAGGTGTGAGTAGTTGACCCTGAATGCGAAGAAGCATCTGCAGTGACCACAAATTTTGAGCTGGGAGGCCCATGTGAATTAGGAGGTCATGCAGGCAGCCCTCTCTGTACCTCATGACTGCGTGAGGGATGGACCGAGCCTTCATCATCCCCAGCCGTGCCAAGCTGGCTTTGTCCAAGCTGGCCGTGTCCTCAAACAGGCCACCCAGTCTCAACCAAGCCCTGGCCCTCGCTGGAAGCAGGACCCGAAAAAAGCGTGAGCGGCAAACAACCACCCCCAACAGAAGGAGAACAATATAATGTGTGCAAAAGGGCCATGTCCACAAGAAGGGCAAGAATTGCAAGCACGACAGGAAGGCCAGGACAATGATTTGAGGTGGTGATGTCTCAAGGTCATAGCCACGGTCATGGTGATGGGATGCTGGGATGGAAGCTGGAATGCTGATGATGGGATGCTGGGATGCTGGTGCTGGTGCTGCTGGCATCGTGGTGGTGATGGCGATGGTGATGATAAGCCACGAAAAGGAAAGGGAGACGGAGAGAGAAAGCGGAGAGACAGAGAGAGAGAGAGAGAGAGAGAGAGAGAAAGAGAGAGAGGAAGACAGAAAAAGCAGAGGCAATGGAGAGAATAGAGAGAGAGAGAACTCACAAAGAAAGAAACACTGGAAAAAGTCGAAGGAAGAGACAGAGTAGGACAAAAAGAGGAATACCATGAATCAAACAACGAAAAATGAATGGAACAAAAGGGGGAGACCAACCATTGGTGAGACGAATCAACCGCGTGAAGCATCACCTCCAGGTGATGTTTGAACGTGCTAAGGGCAAAACTGGGTTTGTCTTCAAAGGGCCCCATAATTCCACGGTGGTGTTCATTTTAATTTAAACCGACCTAAAGCAGCTAAGGAACCCTCACAGGTGCCCCCCTCTTCCCATGGGCAGCCCGTGCACTGGGAGCCCCACCGCTTCCAGCGCTGCAAAGGCAAGCTCCACTTCCTGACGTGCCGGCCAAAATTACTTGGCTGGTGCTCAGGGGATGTGGCAATAAACCTGGGGGTCCCCTTAAAGGAAGCCACAAGAGATGGTTTGTAAGGGTCATTCCCTCATTCCCTGTTGAGCACCAGCAAGATTAGTATGGGGCAGCCCTTGTCGCCTGCAACTTCACCGTAAAAGTGTCTCTTGAAATTGTGGATGGTGATTGGTTGGTGGTTGGTTGGTGGTTGGGTGAAGGTAGATGGCACCATCTTCCAATTTAAATTAAGTTTGACCGTTACTTGCGCGTAGGAAGGGAATAGTTCCATCTACTAGTGGACCTAGTATTAACACTCTGGTACAGTCGCTTTTTCATTGAGCCCCCTATCGCCTTCACAATTTACATTTGCAGAGTCCTTCCTACCGGTTCGTGAAAGACCCTCTTCCTCTAAAAGGGACCTTCGGTGGCCCCATGTTCGCGCTCCCCCCCCCCCACAAGCTGGTTTCCATGTTGATTTCCCCTTAAACCAACCTGAAAGGGGCACTGACAAACACTTTCTCGCACACTCTGTCATGATAAGTATGGCCACATCTGTGCAAGCCACTCTCAGCACAGCAATCTAAAGTGGCATCTACCCTCAACTCCCTACCGGGACCCAATGGGTTTAGGGGAAAGCCACTACATAAAGGGTACATCCTTGGCGCCCATGCAGCACCACCTACGCGGGGCTTCTGAACTGCTTCCGCTGTGCCGAGCCCGCAATGAAGTGGGTTAGCACCCCGGATGGGTCACTCTTTTGTCAATCGCTATGCCACACATAGTTGAACCCCTGTGTATGCTTTTTGTTGACTTGGCCAGAATCATATAGGAGGGTTTAGCTATCGAAAAATGAGCTGTGGACGCTGACGGGAGGGTTTTGGAAGACCTTGTTGGGCTCTCTTGGCATCGCTTTGTCGAGTGCACCCGTATTGAAGTCGACTAGGGTTTTTTGCAGAGTTGGCAAGTGGCCCAACCCCTCACAAAAAAAAAAAGCCCAAAAAACACAGCGGAAGAGGGGCTGGCCGGAAAACCACTAATTTGAGCAAGCCGTTTGGGTTGCAAAGCAAACCATGAGCAATTTCTGCAACCAACACTCCTCTTTTCCCACAGAACATGCCCAAATAAGTCTTTCATGGTCGATGATAAACAACTTGCGCAACCCGCCCTCTTTACCCACAGAGTAATGCCCAACAAGTCTTTCAGGGTCTGTTTTAGGCAAATGTTACAACCAACCCCCTCGAATACTCCTCGAACAATGCCCAATAACTCCTCTTGTCAATGGTCAATTTTAAGCAACTTTCTCGTTTCCCGTAGACTAAGGCCGAAACAAGGCCTTCATGGTCAATCTTAAGAACATTTTACAGAATAAGGCCCGCAGAAGCCCTTCATGGTAAATGTTGAACAACTTTTGCAACCAGCTTTTGCAACGAACCACCCCCTTTTCTCACGGAATAAGGCCTGGTTTTTACCGCCGTCTCTCTTGCCTCAAAATAAGGCCCAAATCAGTCCTTCATGCTCAATGTCAAACAACCACCCCCTCTTTTCCCATGGAAAAAGGCCCAAAGAAGTCCTTCATAGTTCTTGGTCTATTTGTTCCGCAAAACAAAACAAAAAGGCATGCCGCCAAAGCCGTTGCCTCTTTCACGGGTCCTCCTTGCTGGCCGCATCCTTCATGACGTTCATCGGCGCATCCCAGGCGTCGGCTCCCTCCTTGCTGCCGCTGATGCCCTGGATGGCCTTGCAGCCATCGGCGTTCTCCACCTGGCGACGCGGTCGTTTTTGGGAGCCCCAAACGCGGGTGGGTTTTCCTTGGGCGCTTAACGAAAAGAGGAGCTCCTGGGTGAACATGTATTTGATGGTTTTCCCATGTGTCTTCCTTCAATTGAAGTGTGTTTTGGCTTTCCTTTGGGCACTCCCTTTCAAACCTGTGGCAAAAGGTAACTACCTGGGTGTGTATGTGAGTGCGCCCGTGTGTCTATGGGTTCCAGTTAAAGGGAAATCAAAAGGATCACCAATTCATGTTGACGGCCCCCCTGTTTTGCGTGAACCGGTGCCTTTGCATTGGAGATCAGGGTTGGGGCCCCTTGCTTCACATGTTTAAACCATTGGCGAAGCGACCTCTTTTTGGTTTCCCTTTGCAGGGGTCTGGCCCGTTTCAACGAAACTTGCCCAACTCTGTTGGAGACCTCTTGAGGTTAGGCTGGAGAGTTCAAAACGGGCCTGAATCCCAATCCACAACCCGTCTAAACAGCAAAGCTAAGAGGCCTCCCACATGTCCCTGTAAACCATCACACCGGGTGCAGTGTCCCAAAAGCTGATATTAAAATCAGCCAGTCAGACAATTCTACCTGAAACCAAACCATATAGGGTCTGTGACACCCTAAACAATGGTTGGTTTCCTTTTGGCTTCCTCCAAGGGGACCCAGACTCTTTACAAAGCTTCAGTCAGGTTCGAGGGTAACGCTGACCCCTTAGGACAGGGCACTAGTTGGCTGCTCGAAGCTAAGGTATCCCAGAATCTCCTTGTGGGCTACCAAGGTCAACTGGCAAACGTTTCCAGCATGGGGAGCCCCTAATTTTGAGACATACTGTGGGTGGATAAAATCCTGCGCCACTTTGAAACCATGGTAAACCATAGTTCACTGGCATTTACAGCAGAAACCCTGAGGCAGTACGGAAGGGAATGCTGAAGGGAATGCCATTGAGGCCTGCAAAAGCCCGGAACCATCTGACTTTGCCTGCAGGAATGCCCAGTGGAGAATGCTGGGCAAATAATCTTGCAAAATGCAGAATGGGTTTGCAAAAAGTTCAGGGCTTGCTGGCTGGCACAAGCGAAAGTAGCGGAGCGACAAAGGGAGAGTTTTTTTGGTCCTCCTTCAAGGCATGAAAGGAACCAGGCCATCCCAACCCGTAGTGGGACACCGTAACTCGGGAAGCCACTGCCATCTGGCGTAAGGATTACGGATAGAAGGTGACAAACCAGGGGTACCTTCCCCATTCTTTTCAGGCACACTTCTTTCTAAAAACCCACCAAAACTCTGGGGAAACAGCTGGATTTTGAAAAGAACGATGGTTTAAAAGAATGGGGAAGGTACCCCACCAAAAAAAAACACTTTGAAGACCAACACAGACTGGCTACATGGCCGCCCCGCCTCACGCTCAGCACCCTCATCAAGGAGCAGCTTGGAAATGAAATGGAAATCATACCTGGTCGCTCTGCCCAACGCATGGCTTCATTGATAGTCGAGCCGGGATCATTTCAACTCCCTCAAAACCTACCATCGACCAAGTTCGACTTGTAGGACCATTGGTACTCCTTGTGGCAGGGCTCGTCCATGCAGTTTTGTGGTTGACATTTAGCAAGCTAGTAAGTTCCCCCGAACCCTCTAGACAAATCTGGACATGTTCACCGAACCTCGTTGGCTTCCCTCGCGTTCACTTTAGTTCTGATGCGGATCGAGGTGCTTAAGCCTGGCCTTTCGGAAACGTACATGGCATTCGCTTGTCTCACCCTCCCGTTCCCCATTTATCCTCCAGACCCAGGGCTTGAAATTCCCAAACCACCAATTAAGAGTCACCTGTGTTTACTTGGCCCAACCCCAATTATGAATCCACCAGATCAATCTGGCGTCGACATCATGTTCAAAGTGACCTAAGAACAGCCTCCGACGAACATGAAACTAGTGGACCTATCTGACTGGTTGGTGACCTTTCTGCTTCTCTTAAACTGGGCCGTTCAAAATGGAGGGTTGGCCAATCCCAATCCACAAAGCAACCCCCTTGCATAACCCAAGGTCAGGAACAAGGATTACCTTTCAACAGCCCAATGAAACACCACCCCGAAAAGGCTACCCTCCAAAAGAAAGCCCAGACCCCGGAACCCCCCTCAAACCCTCCCTGAAAGCTGCCGCAAACCGCCTATCGACCACATCCATAGCTTTCGGCTGTTGAGGAAAAACCAAACACATTTGGATTCCGTTTAGGTTTCCTTCATACCTACCCGAAAATCGGGTGCCCGCAAAAAAATCCAACAAAAAAAACACACCTCCCATCTTTCCAGCTGGAGGTGACCGATGTATTCTTTCCACCTACGGCGGCTCCAGGGGCCGCTTGAGATTCCGCTTGAGCTTCCGCTTCAGCCGCTGCCGCGCCCTTGAGGCGCGGGCTCCACGCTCATGTGCAGCGGCGTCTGGCCCTTGAGGTTCTGTGCCCTCACCTGGCGCCATGGCGTGCCGATGCTGGGGCCAAGCGGCGGGCCATGGCTATGGCCAACAACCGGTTCAAGGCTGAAAGACGAAAGGGAAGGGAACCAAACACAAAGCCACCCCGGAAAAGAGCCCCTCTGCTATAGTGGTCTGGTTGTTTGCGCTGTTTTGTTTTTGTTGTTAAATGGGACTGGTTCTGTGTCAATTGGGGGAGTACTACTGACAGGTTCATCAAGTTCCCGCCGGATGTAAGTAGAACTGGAGGTTCCGCGCAAAAGTGAGGGATCGCCAGTCTGAATGGAATCCGCTCTGACCAACACAATCCTGTGTAATGCTTGGCATCAGGATTCCATTGTTTGATTGCCCGCAGGGGGGTGTTGAGAGCAAAGGGTCTCGTTTTAGTGGAGATTGACAAACATGTGGGTTCAAGCCTACCTGGGGAAATCAACCACCCGAACCTTGCCCAATCGGCATGTGGGTGCTGGTGACCATGGCTGCCCCTGCTTTTGGTGGATCACTGTAGCGGTTGAAGAGATTCTTCTTTCGCACGTTCCTTCAAATTCATCGGAGGCTGGACGGAAGAAACGAAGTAATTTGTTGCTCCGATTCATTCAGGCGAGCGCCTTGCCAACCCCTAAATTTTGTGCGGAGATGCGCGAGCGAATTTCGCGCTGAGCTGCCGACATCAGCTTTCCAGGTGATGAGCATTTCTGTAAGGGCGCGATGGCCTGGGACACTGCGCCGATGGAAGAAACCGGGCGAGTCATGGAATTGCTGGTGCGCCCCCCCATCAGCATGTGTTCCCAAAATGGTTGTTCCCCTTTTCGCTTACCCTACACAAACACGTATCTATACAATACACATATAATCACATATACACACATACACACATACACACACACATATATATATATATGGTGTGTATATGTACAGGTATATATATATATATATATCTGCATCCAATGGATGTCCGGGCACGCGGCCATTCTGCACCGCAATGTGAAGCGCGTGGTTCCCGGTCTTGGGATCCGGAGCCCCTGGGCGCCGAAGCGACGTGCCTCCCAGGCGTTGGTCGCCCTTCGCTACGTTTCCTTTTTGGGTAACCTGGTCGCTGTAGCGACCCCTCTGAAAAATAAGCTCAGGTGATGTCCCCAACAGCATGCGGTGCTCTTTTTAGTGCTCGCACCACCCCGCAGCCCTCGCAGAACCTCGTGCAACCCTCGTGGAACCCTGGTGGAACCCTGGTGGAACCCTCGTGGAACCTTACCTCAGGGCCGCCCCGGACCACCCCGGAGCCTATCTGGGCTGAGACCCCAAAGCTTTTCAGCTGTTGGGGAAAAACAAAAACAAAAATCCGGCTGTTGGTGGGTTTAATGGAAAGCCTAAAAGTTTAAGAGTTTGTGGGCAAAATTGGAAAAAGCCCTTGATTTCATCCAAAAAGTGAACATGTCTAAAGATGCCAACCCAATAGCAATCTCCAGTTGCAGGATGCTATCAAGCCCTTGGTTACCTACATTCTATTATGCAGGTACATGGATCTGGGCACCCTGGAGCTAGGTCCTCCAGTAGAGAGGCTAGAATAAGGGTACCTTTTTTTCCTGCAGTTTACTTTAGTAGGGGAGCCCTGCCCAAAAAAAGAAACGGTAAAAGGGCACCCAGTGGGGGACCTAGGGAACCCAAACCGAAAACGCGCATGGAGTTGGAGGCATCTCAAGGCCATGGCTCGCGGCGGCGGCTGTGGACCTCAGCAGCAGCCATCCAGCTGCCCTGCCGTTGGTTTGGGTGGCACTCCCCTGCATATTACAACTATGGAACCAAAAAACACACACGCATGTTCTGTGGAGGATTCTTTTTTTGGGGAAAACCACATTTTTTGCCTAATTTGCAGGGGGACAATTGGGCTCTCCAGTTCAAAAGGGATGTCTAGCATGTTTAACGTCCCCGCCAGTCCAACCGCTTTGCAAAGGAGACTCCAGATGGAGAGTTCCCCCTGCCCCCAACTCTCTATTTTCCATCTGGATCTGAGCAGCCCACGCGCCCCCATCCTGCACCAGCGAAAGCACCTGGAGGCGCATGTCATCGCCAAACGCTGCGATTGGCAGATGCGCGGAAGCTTGTTGGAAGCCCTGGCCTCGTCCTGCGGCTTGCCCCACCCTGCGCCAAGAAATCAAAGGCCGTGCCACGCTTGAGCTGGGCTGTCTCTCTCTCTCTCTCTCTCTCTCGCGCTCTCCCTCTCTGTCTCTTTTTGTTTCGCTCTCTCGCTCTCTCTCTCTCTCTCTCCCTCTCTCTCTCTCTCTCTCTCTCTCTCTCTCTCTCTCTCTTTCTCGCTTTATTGCTTTCTTGCGGTTCTTTCTTTTTCCGTCGTTCTTTCTTCTTTTCCGTTTCTTTTCTTTCTGTCCCTCTCTCTCCCTCCATGTCCCTCAGCCGTCCAAAAGCAACATTGTGTAACATGTTGAGGCGCTTTCCCAGGCAAACTTGGGGCCAGGCTCAAGGCGGAATGAAGCTTGCCTCGGAGCAGCCACACGCCGCGACGTGCATGACGTGCATCCCTGGAATCCGTGGAACCCCTTGAACCCCTCAAACCCGTGGAACCCCTGGAGCCCCTGGAAATCAGGTGCTGGCCAATCAGTTCTGGAGCGACTTGGGCATCAACTGGCGTTGAGCTCGGGCTCTCCGTGTCACTTTTCTCACTCTCGCCTTCCTTTGAGGTCTTGACGTCGGCCTCTTCCTGTTTGGACTGGGAATCCTTCATCTTCTTGGTCTCCTTCACCTCTTCCTTCTCTTTTACCTCCGTCTCCGTTGCCTCCTCTTCCTGCTTTTGCCCAAAACGGGCATATAGAGGAATTGCTTGGGGCAAGCCCGGAATCAAAGGGGATACTTGAGTGCTCGGGCTACTTAGTATGTAGGTTTTGACCATGAGTAACCATGGCTAAGACAGGGATAACCCCAATTATCAGTTATAAACATGGTTGCCGACCTGGCGTTGAACACCCAAGTCGGGGGAGTTGGGCCATCGGTTTTTTCAAATTTTGGCCCGGGCCAGCTTTCCCTTCTCTTTGCTTTTGCTCTTCTTCCTCAGCCGCAACGTCACTTGACATGTCCAGGACAGGGAGTGAGCCAGACATGGAGGCCGCCCAACAGCCTTCCTTTTAGGGGCGGGGGGCTTGAATGGAACAGGGCTCCCTGAAAAACATAGTGTGTAAAATCGCCTCCTCGTAGAAACCCTTAGGAAGCAGTTGGTAAGGGTGGTTTGTAATTGCACCAAAACTTGGGTGCTGTAGATCCCCGGCCAAAAGTTACACTTTTTGCTGGAGAAAACATGAAACATGAATCCAAAAAGGTCAAGTCTAAAGATCCAACCCAATAGCAGTAGAAAAAATGTCGCCTTTGCGAGCCCTGTTTGATGGGGACGCCAAAGGGAGCCACCCCCCAACCAAATGGAACCCCTGCGGAAGCGGCCCCTTCTTCTTCTCCGGCTTCGCCTGTGCCGGGATCCGATTTTCGATTTTCCCCACGGGCACCAAATGAAAACCGACCCAAGAGGTGGGGCTCAGTTTGGATGCCAGCCTTTTCGAGCTTGGCTTGACAGCCACCCAGCTAGTCCTCTTCGCTCCTCCCCCCCCCCCCCCCCCCCCCCGCAAAAAAAACACACACAAAAACACCCACACACACACACAAAGGAACACCACCCATTTTGTCCTCCTCCCCCCCCCCAAAAAAAAAAAGAAGCCGATGAATCAACTCAGTGGAGCGCTTTCCTTCTCAAATGGGGCACCCTAAACCAGCGGTTTGTCAATGGGTCAAAAAAGCCAAGGTTTCCCCACGCTCGGAACATCCGGGATGTCCCCCCTGCAACTTGGTCGGCTGCTCATATGGCCATGGGTCAAAAGCCGTAACCCCAGTGAACATCCCAATCCCCACTAACGTCCCGACTAAAATGGGTGGTGCACCTACCCCAAAACGGGATCCCATTGGTTTTGACCCACAGCCATATGTCTGCTTCAGTTGCCGGAAGGGTGCTGCAGGGTTTGGGAAGCTGTGCGGCCACGCTTCGTGCGGGGGCGCGTGCAAGTCGGCAGGCAGGCCGATGCAACACGCACGGCTGGCACGTGATTTGGTCGTTTGTCTGCTGCTCGCAGTCTTCTTGTTTTGAAAAGGAAAGCAGATTCACAAACAGGCTGTTGAAAGTTGAACAGAGAAAGTAAGGTGACAGGCAAAGGTAAACCGGTGTTCTTTTTTGGTCAAATTGTCAGATTGGTTCAAAGGGAAACCGAAAAAATAAACCAATCCAATCATTTAGGACCCCCCCCCCCCCTAGTTCGACACATAGCCGACGGCTTTCTTAGCCAATGTCTCCCATTGCAGGGCAGGCCTCTGGCTCAGACACAGTCTCGGGCTGGGCCCGCTCTACGAAGCAGCAGCAAGCCTCGACTCGGCTCGCGAAGTCCCTCTGACGATGGAAGCAAAACAGGAAAGCTCAAGAGGAAATACGGATGGACACAACCCACCACAACCCACACCAGGCACCAATTGGGAGATTGGTGGTCATAGGGGTTCATCCCTGCCAAGTGGTGGGATTGGATTTTGTGTCTCTGCCTCAGGTTTTCTAAACCCAAGCCCCTTCAAAATCTGCCAAGCTTTGATATCAGATCTTAAAAACAAGGTGTGCGGCCCCAACCATTTTGTTTGCCTACTCCCCCCCCCCCCAAGAAAAGAAAAGCACACAATCGTTCAACCGGTGTGCTCAACAAAGGCCGGTGACCATGTTTAGTGGACAGCGTCTTGGCGCCATCATTCATGTCAAAGGAAAACACGGAAAATGCGGAGCTTCCCACTACCGGGCACTTCCAGGACTAACCAGTACTATAAGCAATGCCTGACCAATACTGTGCCAGCACCAAAGCAATACTAATTAAAACACCGACTGGTGCGGGGATTCGTCTATCCAGAGTATGTCGCATGACCACATCCCAGTCCCAGTGGTGTGAGGTTTAGCATCGAGGCTCTGCAATTCAAGGTGCCGTGTTGGTGTAAATGCTCCACGCGCGAAGCCACACTAGGATGCATTCATCTTGAGCACAGCCGTGCTTCGAGCAAAATGGGCGGCGTGACATGTCACATTTGCTTGCGCCAGGTCGGGCAAAACTTGACCAGACAATCAGGCCCTTGTCCCTGCTGGGGAAACAACACCCCTGGAGCACAAGGCCTAACCTTTTGCAGGTTTCATGGTTTGAAAAGGCACTTGTTTTCAAAGGTCGAAACTCCGGGGTCATCCAGTCACACCAAAATCCCGCATAGACCAGTCATGGCTTTCAACGGGTGGAAAGGTCGCTGAAAGCTTCGACTCTTTCGCTTTCGCGGCGTTCAAACTCACGGCTCCAGTTCCAAGGTGAAACACACACACACACAGACACACGGCAGTCTTCCATTCCCCTGTCCACTCGATGTCCCTCTGGGTTCGGGTCTAAATGGGGGAACCCCCAAATGGCGGTTTGCTTTTGGCTTCCTTTTAGGGGCTTCCTGGAAAAAGACAGACCCATCAGAAACCAAAACCATCAAATGGAAGAAGTCCAAGGCTGGACCGTCAAAAGCCACGTATTCGCCTGGACAACAGCCACTGCGATGGGCAAGCTGAAGCTTGCGCCACAAAACGGTGAGACCAAAGCACCCTCACCCCCCCACACCGGAGCTCTGCTGCGGTGCAAAGGTGAGGTCGTTGTGCGACCCTTCGGTTCGAGTCATGGTACCCAAAAAACAAAGCAGTGCCTAGCACAATGTGTGCTTTGTACGCTTCACATCGTATGCTTCGCATTGACGTGTGGGGCAAGCCGTAAGCCCAAGCCTGTCCAAAAGAAAGAACATCTTCGCGCTGGCGATGTTTGGGTGCATCTCCAAATGGGAACCCTCCCAAAAATAAAAGGTCGCTTCTAGGTGGCGCGAAATGGATTTCGTCCATCTTCAGCAGTTTGCCCTTGAGGGATTCGGGCTCCGGCCGCGAATTCAGTGAATGCCGCGCCAGGACGGCGCGGGAACTTTCGTCAGTCGTCGTCATCCTCTGCTCCAAGGGCCTTTGATTTGTCCAGCCTGGGAGGAGCGATAGGTGGGTTCGGAGTTGATTAGGGCCCCCCAATTGATCCGTTAGGGCTTTCTTGGCCTTGGGCCTCAAAGGTGCCGCAAGTTTCAAATTGGGGGCATTCCAGTCATTCAAATTCACATCGCCCCTGCGAAGCCCTGCTTGCGAGGAAGCAGCCACTTCGCCATGGAACTGGGGATGAAGTCCCCACTCAAATCCATCTCCTCGAGTGTGGGTATGTGGCTGTGGGTCAAAAAAAAACGGAATTCCAAAATGGCTTGCCCAGGTAAGTGGAAACATAGACCAAAATCTGCGGTCCCTTGTTGGTTTAATTTTGACCGACGCCCATGTGTGGTACGGCCTGTCACTACAGTTGTCACAAACGTCCCACGGAGAAAAACAAAAAACGGAAACAAGCCTCCGATTGTGACTGTCTCATGTGCTTCTGGGAACGTAGGCGCAATGGTTGACACAAACCCTTGTCGGGTTGGGCTGCTTGCAACCCAAAAAAAGATGGCTGAGCCCAACTCATCGAGGGGGGGCACCAGGGCCCCCGTTTTCAGCCGCTGGTAAAGTGCCCTGCATTCCTTATGGGGGTTGCAACAGTCTCAACCTGTGCCATGCTGGCAGCTTGCGCGCACGACCAAGCATGCAGTTGCTGAAGAAGCGCACAGGCGACTAGTTGAGTCCTCGCACGCAAGGAAGCACTGCAACGTGGTGTCCACTGCAAGGCCAAATACATTCCTCAGTATCGGTCAAACGGCAAACCTATTGCAGGCTGCCGGACAGATCAAACATCGACCTCAAGTGCAGGATAGACTCATGAAAAGCTTGGCCACCTCAGGTTCAATAAGCATTGCATCCGCGTGAGGCAAGAACATTGTCGTGGGACACAATCCTTTGTCGGATTATCACTTCAAAGGGGATCCTTTTAGCATCACAGAAAGTTGCTTCAAAAAACCAGTTTCCCACCATGTGCAGCAAAACTGATGGCGTGGCCTTCAGCTTGCCACTAGCACACTGAGCAAGGCGCCATGTAGGCACACACGCCGTAAATCACCAAGCTCACTGCAGGGGCCACTTCTGGGTACAGCCCCGTGAGGATGAGGTAGCCCAGAGCAACGCTAGCAGCAATAATGAACAGGAACCCGATCGCATGGATCACTGCCTCGGCAGCTTGCAGCCTTTAGATGGTGGATCGGCCCCTCAAACCAAACTTTGTATCACTTCGCGGTCACCCTTGTCAACAACGAATGGCTTCAGTTGACTGCGCTATCCAAACGCTCCTTGTCTGCGCAGAAAGGCCATGAGCTCAAGCCGTTCAAAGTTTCTAGCGCACCTTCATCAGCGAGGCCCTCGATTCTTGCGCCGCTTTCTTCACTACAGGCCCATTTGCATCCACATAGCTATGCGTCCCGACCAGGCCAACCAAAGAAACAAACAAAAACGAAACGCCCCTGTGAAGTCCAAAAGCCGCAATCCCACGACTGACCCCCCCACCCAAGATCCGCCCAGGGGCCCCCAAGAGCGCCACGGTTCCAAAGCGGAAGGCGTTCCGCAGAATGAGGAAGAAGGCCTTGGGTACCCACCTCCCCTTTGGGTGTGACTGTTTTTAGGGGACCGCAGACATGGGCCCAGGAATTGGGGGTTCAAACCATGTAAAAGGGATGCCGAAAAAGCTGGTCCTACTTTGGGAGGAAGTCTGTTCCTACTTTGGCAAAGGCCTGCCGAGAAAAACCCGAGGATAGGCACTGGGTTAGGGCGTTCTTACCGGGTGCCAAGTGGCCTTCTTGGCGGAGGTGCAGAAGTTGGTGCCCATAAGCGCGATCTGGATGTACGCGTTCCTCGCTCAGAAAGGCCAACCAAAAACCAACCTACTACCAAGACACACACCAAAAAAAAAAAAAAAAAAAAAAAAAAAAAAAACAGCAAGCGAGCGAGAAGCAAGCACGCAAGCAAGCGAACGAGCGAGGGAGCCAACAAGCAAGCGAGCAAGCAAACAAGAACAAGAAAGCGAGCCAGCAAGCAAGAAAGCAAGAAAGCAAGCAAGCGAAGCAGGCACAAAGACAGACAGACAGACAGACCGACAGACCGACAGACCGACAGACCGACAGACCGACAGACCGACAGACCGACAGACGGACAGACCGACAGACAGACAGACAGACAGACAGACGGACAGACGGACAGACGGACAGACGGACAGACGGACAGCGAGAGAAAGAGAGAGAAAGAGAGAGAGAGAGAGAGAGCGAAAAGAACAAAAGAAAGACAGACAAACAGATAGACAGCCAGACAGATCAGACAGAGACAGAGACAGAGACAGAGACAGAGACAGAGACAGAGACAGAGACAGAGACCGAGACACAGACACAGACACAGACACAGACACAGACAGACAGACAGACAGACAGACAGACAGACAGACAGACAGACAGACAGACAGACAGACAGACAGACAGACAAACAAACAGACAGACAAACACACAGACAGACAGACGGACAAAGAGACAGACTCACAAGGCAAACACGCCAACATGGAAACAAACAAGCAAGCAAACAAACAAACAAACAAGCACAGACACATAGCCAATCAACCAACCAAACAAACAAAGAAACAAAGAAAGAAACAAACAAACCAAACAAGAAAGACAGACAGACAGACAGACAGACAGACAGACAAACAAACAAGATAACACGCGAGCAAGCAAACCCATAAAAAGACAAAAAGGCTGGCAAACAGGCAAACAGGCAAACAGGCAAACAGGCAACAAAAAGACAAACAGAGAGTGACAAGGAGACAGACAGACAAACAGGCAGACAGACAGACAGACAGACAAACAAACAAAGGCAAACACGCCAACATGGAAATAATCACGCAAACAAACAAACAAAACACAAACAAACAAAGACACACAACCAACCAACCAAACAAACAAAGAAACAAACAAAACAAACAAACCAAACAAGACAGACAGACAGACAGACAGACAGACAGACAGACAGACAGACAGACAGACAGACAGACAGACAAGCAGACAAAAAGACAAACGGAGAGACAAAAAGACAAACAAGACACAAGCGAGCAAGCAAACACATAAAAGACAAAAAGGCTGGCAAACAGGCAAACAGGCAACAGAAACAAAAAGACAAATAGCGAGTGACAAGTGACAAGCAGTGACAAGCAGTGACAAGCAGTGACAAGCAGTGACAAACAGACAAGCAGAAAGGCAGCCCGACAGACAAATAGTTGGACTCACATACAAACAAACAAACAAACAGATCAACAAGCAAACCAACAGTGACCAAAAGAACAAAGGGCAAACAAAGCCCGCTTGAAGCTGGCAACCACAAAGGCTTCCTACCAGCTACCCTCCTACCCACTAACATGGGACCTACCAGAAACCATCGTTATGATACATGTATATATGTTTCTACATATAGAGATATAGATTGGAATATAGATAGATATGCATGGGAGGGTAAGTGGCCCTTCCATGGTCTACAGTCTGCTTGTTGAAACAGCTGCTGCACACCTCTGCTTGCAACCATTCGGTTCCCTTTCATTGCCTTCGACCTGGGGGTGGTGGGCCCTCGGTGGGATCGAGGCCCAGCCTTTGCATACTATCTAAAATTGCCAAAGATCGACCTGCTGCACCCGCTTCTCTGAGTGCATTTATCTAAGGAATCGATCCAGAAATTCAGATAGCTTGACCTGTATTTGTTTACTGCATTCACGTGTGAATGAACGCCTACATGTCTGTCTACATGTACTTTCTGTTCAGGGCCATTTGAACTCTGGCCGCGGCCCACGCCCTATTGATTGCAGGCGAGCGGCTTGTTCAGGAACTTGACCTTGGGCAAAGGCACGCCCAGATTCAGACGTCCAGAGAAATGTCCGGCCCCAAACAAAACCAGGTCCTTGCGCCCAGTCCCTATCAAGAGGATCTTCCAGAGCAAACCAAGCCGCTTGTTTAAAGACAGTGCTTTTTGAGAAGGGGTGCCAAAAACCACATGGCCGCCTGCCAGCTGCCCTTGCTGTTGCTTCAAATAGGTGCAGCGGGTATTTGTCAAGGATGTCGCCTGTCTTGACCCGGGTTCCACTTGCTTGTTGGGAAAAATGGGGGCCCTCCGGCTCCTGCCACAACTTGGTGCGAGTTTTAATTCGGGACCGTTCGGTGGTTCCTGAATAATAGAAGTCGCTTGCCTACTGCAGTCGGAAGGTTGTAGTGCATTGGGCATCCAATGGGGCTGTCGGTTGGATCACTCTAGGTAAACAAAACATGTCTAAGAGTACAGCTCGGATTTACTCCCCGGCTTAAACCCCTCATGGCATTGACCCGGCCAGCGGAAGGAACGGTTGGTCAAGATTCAAAATCTGTGGCTGGGGGCCCGGCGCATTTCTCGAAGCACCAGATGATGCATCCACAGATCCGCAAAGTGAGCTGGAGCACCCGGTTCTTGGCGGCTTTGGCTTGCTTCCTGGCTCACTGGCTCAGCCCCAGATTTCTTTGCCATGTCGCATGCCAATGACTCTTAGGCAACATTTCAGACGCCCCAAGTGTGGATTTTAATAAACAAAACACACTTTTGCCACTCTGTCATCGCTCTGTTTCAGCCTTCCCGGCGCGTTTGGGCCTTGAAAGGCCCATTGGGGCCGTGCGGCAAAGCGGCTCGTAGTACTTCATCAGGTATCTGATGAACTGAATCACTGCGATGATGAAGGAGCCAAAGGCCACAGATCCCAGGTGGTACCGGAACACGTTCCTGCGGCCAGTCGGCAGTGCGGTGTCTGAGTGGCCCAAGTGCTGGGAAAGAGCTCGGGGGAGGCCCTGGTGTCACAAGTGGTCAGCATGTGGCTCTGAGCCAGGGCCCTGGCAATGCTAAGGCTTGTCCGTACAACCCTCTTCGAACCAGTGCAGCGTCCAAGATCTCTTGGGCCTCTTGGGACTTTAGCGCGCGCACTATGGCACTCGTGCCCTCCCACACCCCCCCCCCGTCACAGGAATCAAGCAAATCAGCAGACCTGCCAGCTCCCCTTCACCAAAAGCCCTGCCATTGAGCCTAGCATTGAGACGCTTTTGAACTGAGGCCCCGTATGGAGCCCCAACCCTGCAGCCAATAAAATTCAATGCTGACAGGCGGCCACGTTGACTGCATGATTACCTGGGCAAGCGAATCGGCAAATGTCCGGCAGGCGGCGAATGTGAAAAAGTCTGCACCAACTGCTACAGCAACCATCATCGTGGGTGGGCCCGCTCTGAATTTGCGGACAAATGGCACGGCGTGTTCCCTTGTCCGCGTTGGGCGTGAAGAACCAGATCCCAACAGCGCCAGCGATCAGGCACTGTCCGATTGCAATGTTCAGCGCCTCAGTGCTCAGTCGCACAGTGGAGAGAACATGCTTGCCAGGTGAGGCGGCAGGGAGATGCCCTGTTGGCTCAAAGTGACACTGGGATGGTGAGCCAAACTTCAACCATTGGAAACCACCCACTTTCAACCAAACTGAAAACTGAAAACTCAAAAAGGGCCACCCATGACTCCAGCATGGCAAACGCCCCACCAAAGCCACGAGCAAGGCCCGGGCGTTGTTCCACAGGAACACGAAGAAAGACACCTCGGTGGCCAGGCGCAACCTGCGATACCACTGGAAGGCCCAAAGATCTCATTCAGTGAATGAGTATTCAGGGCTGCGTTTCAGGGCTGCGTTTCAAGGGGATCCTTTTCTAGGGGGAACACCCACAGGTTCACATTGACGCTCTCCTGGTATCCCAAAGTGGAAAATCCCCCTTTCTGTGATACCAATCTGGACCACACTTGTGTCTCCCAGTGATTTCAGATACCATTAGGCAATCAGGGGAAACAACCATGTAAAACCTAAAAAGCAGCGCTGGGTCTACTTTGTCACTTCACTCGAGGAATTCCCTTCATACTGTGGATGGACGAAATCCATAGCGCACCACCTAAAACACCCTAGGAATGATTCGATTCACCTGTAAATGCCAACAAACAACGGCTTCCCATTGATTCAATTTGGTCCAAAAATGGACCTGTCCATTCACAGCACCACGGAAAGCGAGCGGCTTGCACATGCCATGACAACTCATACCCGAGATGCTGCGAAGCGCCAGTCGAAGATGTACCGTGGGGGCGAGCACCTCCAGCATGCGTAGGTGCCGTTCACCAGGTCGCCTGGGCGCATGCAAAAAAATGCCCCCCCCCTATTTTGGGTAAGGAGCCCCATATTTTATGGGTGGAGACTCCAAGTTCCAACTCGTCAAAAGACGCATCGTGGGCTGCAAAAAGTCTCAACTTAGCGACCTAGTGGTGTTGAAACAGACAAAGTTTTTGCGACGGACCCGAGGGACGACATCACCTTTGATTGACTCGACTTTTTGGGGTGGAGGTTGGTGAAACGCCATCAGCGTTCTCTGAGTGGCAGCTCTCCGACTTGTAGACGCCACCCGTGGGCCACTTGTCAGTGCACTTCCCTGGCACCGTGGCCTTGGCCGGGTTACGCGGAGGCCGTGAGCGGAGTCGCTTACAAGGCCCCAAGGGTGTCCAGTGGCTAAAGTGATGCGGTTGGTTCACTCAGTTGCTTTCTGCTCCCCTGCTAAAAGTTTAAAATTTAGTGGTTTAATGAAAAAACCCAGTAGTTGGCAAAAAGTTAAAGTTCTAACATCCAAGCAACATGCGCCAAAGTTAAGGCTTCGATGGCACTGCCCCCTTGGAACTCATTGGGGTCTACGGAAGTAAGCTCAAACTGCACTTGTCAGCTTGATTGGCGAGACATAACGTCACCAAGGCATATGAAGTGACGCGTGGGGAACCTGCCTGAAGGCATATCCTGTAGACCCCCGCAAAAGGCGTGTCACTCGCTTCCCGCCAACTTGGCTTCAAGTTGCTGTGCCATAGGCCTCGTCGTAAGTCGTAAAGGCATCCTGCGAGTCAAGGGCCCTGAGAGAACAAGCTATAGGGCATTTCTTGCCGCAGGCTGATCCACAACTTATGATGCTTTCCCTGTGGCTTCCCTGTTAAACAAAAACAACAACCAAAAGGGCACCAGCTCAAAAACAACGACCTACCCGTCACCCGCAGAGCCACCACCGGGCACGGCGCTCAACAGCCAACAGCAGGAAACTATGCCACGTGGGACCTGAGAAGCTCTTGGCACAAAAACCGCAGAACCACTCTTCCTTAAAACGACCAACTCCTGAAAAAGGCGCCAACTCCTCCAAACAAAGACGCACGGAACCACCCCGCCCGCACCCACCCCCCGAAAAAACCAAACCCATGACCCCCGGAGCCATCCTTCACTCACCCACCCTTCCCCCGGCCCACCCACCCACCCCCTCCCCCCCCCCGGTCCTTGGGGATGTACCCGTCCGGAACCTGCGAGATCAAGAAGCTCGCGGAGAGCGCCCAGATCATGATCCACAGGATGCCCACCAGCGCTTGGATGGCCGGGACCAGCAAAATCCTGAGGCAACCCAAAAACCAAGGAAATCTGAACAGAACATTGATGAACCAACCAGCCAAAAAACATTGATGAAACCAAAACCAAAACTAACCAGGAAACCAAAACCAACCAGGAAAGCCAAACATCAATGAAACCAACGGAACAAGGGCCGAAACAAACACAGAATGGAGTGCAAAACGCTGAGCCGCAAAATCGCTGGGTTCTGGGACAACAACCAAGAGGGGCAGGAGAACAAACAGCTTGGGCAAAAAGAGACAAGGGGCACAAACCGCTATTCAACAAAGCGACAGGGGCACAAACCGCTATTCAAAAAGCGACAAGGGGCACAAATCGCTGGGGCAACCAACCAAATGGGGCACAACCCGTGAGGGAAAAGCAACAACAGCGGCACAAACCGCTAAGCAACAAAAAACACCAACAGGGGCACAAGTTTTCGGGGCATCAAACCAAAGGAACAGAAACCGCTAAGGAAGAAAAAAGAGCGGCAGGAGCACAAAAAGCTGCGCTGGGGCCACGCCGCTGGGGCATCAAAAAACAATGGGGGCACAAACCACTGGGGCAAGAAAAACAAGATGGGCACAAACTGCTCGCTCTGGCAAAAACAATCAACTGTGGCACAAGCCGATGGGGCAAAACAGAAAAGGGGACAACAAACCGGGGCCAAAAAAACAACCCGCTGGGGCAAAAACAAAGAGCACAAACAGCCGGGGCGAACAACTGACAGGGAAGAACAAACAACTGAAGCAAAAACCAACTAGGGAACAACATGTGGGGCAAAAACAAGGCAAACAAAGAATGAGGCCTATGCAAAAACTGGGGCCGTTCGTCAACACCCAACTCAAATTTTGGGATTGCATATTTTAAGAAATATCTCACGCTTTTCGCTTTTGCAGCCCATTCCCTATGTGATCCTAAGGATTCTGCTTTTGCGGGCATAGCTTTTGCCTGTAAGGCCCCAAAAACAATGGTATGCTTGCAATGCTGCAACTACACTGCTCCCGAAAAGAATCCTCCTTAAGCACCACCCCTGCCCGTGCCCTGCGCGTGCCCTCAGCGCAGGCCTGGGGGTTTGCTTCACAAAGGTGGCTGCCACCTGGTTGACGGCAATGGCGAGCCGGATCCTGGCCAAGTCAGCGGCCGGCGGCCGCGGCATCGGGGCCAAGGTGTGCAAGTCATGACTCTGCCGGTAGGCTTGGACCATGAAGCACGGAACTCTGGAAAGCCAAGAGCCAGCTGCAACCATTTCGGCTCGAAAGATCAAACCGAACGGAGAAAATCCTAGTCCCAAGCGAGGACCTTTCCTCGCCCAGTTCTTCACTTTTCTAAAGCCCAACCATCAAAAAAGGTACCCTATTTTGAGAATAAGACAGATCTGGAGTCACAGTTCCCGAGCCACAGGTCCTATCAGCAAGGCAGCAGACCAAGAAGAGATAGATGCCCGCAAAGACCCACAGGACGTATGCGGCGACTTCAAGGACCACCCTGACTTCGTTGTTGGTGACAGCATAACCAGCCTTGCATTCCTTACATCGCATGGCCGCTTGGCAAAGCCGGTCTCGTTTTTCTGACACCCCTCCTCCCTGTTGACCTCCGAAAGAAAGGTCTGGAGCTGAGGGGGGGGGGGGGGACAAGAAGACGGGCGCTTGCCGAGTGCTTGCGGCCTGCGCTTCCCTTTTGGCGCTTCACACGTCCTGCTGACAAGCATCTGGCATGATCACTCCAACCGGGGTACAAGTCTCCCACGTAATGCTCGTATCCGTGGTGAAGCACCAAATCGTTGCTCCCCTGTTCACCGAGCTCGACTGATAAGGATTGCGGCAATAGTTGTTGGTGAGGCCTGCGGGCAGCCAATGCTCCGTGCAGTAAGTGGCATGGAGCGCACGCCCAAAGAAAAAGAAAAGGGTGCTCAAAATGGGAAATCGGCCAATTAATCCTTCATCAATTGAGGCCAGGGCCAAAAGAGAATGCTTAACCCACCCTGCCTGAATTCGGGTAGGTGGTGCTGTTGTAGCCCACAGCGGCACCTTAAGTTCGTTGCCAAGCCGTTTCTTGCACCCCTCAGCTTCCCTCTGATTGGTGGTTTGGAGCCGTTTCAGGAGGGGTTTCCCATTTACCCTCCACAAGAAACCAGAACTCCGAATCCCCAAACCACCAACCCGACGGAAACCAAAACGGCTCGGTCCGGGGCAGCGGCCCTCGCCCCATGTCTCGCAAGAATAGCCATTCTTCGTGCGGCTTTGCACGCCCCGGTAGTCGGCCCCATCCTCAGTCTCTCAGTTGCCACTGACCCAACCCTGAGACCACGGGTTTTTTAAACCAGCGCCCAGCCAGCAGTTCCATGGAACTCAGTGCGGGCTCTGGAGGGAATAAACTCACTGCCTGAGTGGATGGGCCAAGAAACGTACATGTTTTGGAGTGCACTAGCATTGGCTGCCCAATAAGTATAACAAGTCCAGGAACTCAGGAAGCTAGCATCAACAGCTCAAACTCCCGAGATTTTGTGGATCTGAACACGTGTCATCCAGACCCGATGGCGAGTGTGTGCCATGGTAAGAAGCCCTTCCCCCACCCCCAAATTCAGACGCCCACGCAACGGAGCACTTTGACAGTCAAGCACAGTGCGGGCACCCTCGTGCCCTGAAATCTAATGATGATATCCCGAGAACAATCCATGAACTTCCTATTGAAGGGCCCACAAGCTACACCCCCCCCCCCCAACCCCACCCGCCCCACCCAGCAACGCAAAAAGGAGGGTTACCCCTTACTTGTGAGCTTCCCTCTTGGAGGTTGGAGCCTGGCGGTTTGGCGCGGGTTATCAATAGCTAATACTGGAGATGATTCAACACAGGCATCCTTGGAAGTGGGCTTCAACACTTAACAAATAAATAACAGAAGCAAACAAGTAATGAATGAGCCGGACAAAGACACAATACGAATACACAACAAGACAAAATACAAACAATTAAAAACAACCCAACCCAAGACTCGTGAAATATGTTCCTGGCCGTTCCCTTTAGCAGGGTAGTTCCCATTTACTCTCCACAAGAACCAGGGGTTCAAATCCCAAACCATATCCTGTGTTTGCTATGTTGTTTGTGGGAAGCTATAACTCAGGAGATGTGCGAATATACTTAGATATTCAGACATACAGGAGTTGCACTCTCGCAAAACACAGCACACACACACCTATACATATATAGATGTGTGCAGGCGCCTATTTCCCTTGAGAAACGCCAAGGGCTGTTCCAACCCAAAAACGGCGCGAGCCCTGGCGCCCTGCGCGCCAAGCCGAGGCTCTCCCGTCATCGCTTCGCTGGCGGCTTCTGTGCCAGACGCTACGTTGCTCGCCGCCGTGGTGGCTGTCACCTCAGCATCGGCCGCGATCGGCCGTGGCGTTTCCGGGCCTTCGCGCCTTGGGGTTGCGCCCGGGTCCTCCCCCGTTTGTGGTAAATTTCCAGAACGCACTTGACAACGAGCGCGACCCGAGACCCGAGACCCGAGACCCGAGACCCGAGGCCCGAGACCCCGAGACCCGAGACCCGAGATTCGAGACCCGAGACCCGAGACCCGAGACGCGAGACCCGAGACCCGAGACTCGAGACCCGAGACCCGAGACCCGAGACCCCGAGACCCGAGACCCGAGAGTCGAGACCCGAGACCCGAGACTCGAGACCCCGAGACCCGAGACCCGAGACCCGAGACTCGAGACCCGAGACCCGAGACCCGAGACCCGAGACCCGAGATCCGAGACCCGAGACCCGAGACCCGAGACCCCGAGACCCGACGCCCGAGACTCGAGACCCCGAGACCCGAGACCCGAGACCCGAAACCCGAGTCTCGAGACCGGAGACCCGAGACCCCAGACCCAAGACCCGAGACCCGAGAGCCCGAGACCCAAGATCCGAGATCCGAGACCTGAGACTTGAGACTCCCAGACCCGAGACCCAAGACCTGAGACCCGAAACCCTGAGACTCGAGACTCCGAGACCTGAGAACCGAGACCCCAAGACTCGAGACTCCAAGACACGAGACTCCGAGACCCGAGATCCGAGATCCAAGACCCGAGACTCCGAGACTCCGAGACTCGAGACTCCAAGACCCGAGACTCCGAGATAGGACCCTAGAACCAAGACCCAAGACCCGACACTACCAAATGTAGCATGTCCGCACACACGGTAAGAACACCCGTTCAAGTGCACCCGCTTAGCACTGTATCCATGCCAGGCACATGGTAAGAACACCCGTTCAAGCGCACCCGCTTAGCACTGTATCCATGCCAGGCACACGGTAAGAACACCCGTTCAAGCGCACCTGCTTAGCACTGTATCCATGCCAGGCACATGGAAAGAACACCCGTTCAAGTGCACATGCTGAGCACTGAGTCCATGCCAGGCACGTGGTAAGAACACCCGTTCAAGTGCACCCGCTTAGCACTGTATCCATGCCAGGCACATGGTAAGAACACCCGTTCAAGTGCACCCGCTTGGTAAGAACACCCGTTCAAGTGCACCCCCTTAGCACTGTATCCATGCCAGGCACACGGTAAGAACACCCTTTCCGTTCAAGTGCACCCGCTTAGCTCTGTATCCATGCCAGGCACATGGTAAGAACACCCGCTTAGCAATGTATCCATGCCAGGCACATGGTAAGAACACCCGTTCAAGCGCACTCGCTTAGGTTCAAGTGCACCCGCTTAGCACGCCAGGCACATGGTAAGAACACCCGTTCAAGTGCGCCCGCTTAGCACTGCATGCGTGCAAGGCACATGGTAAGAACACCCATGTAGCATGCCCGCACCCGCTTAGCACTGTATCCATGCCAGGCACACGGTAAGAACACCCGTTCAAGTGCGCCCGCTTAGCACTGTATCCATGCCAGGCACATGGTAAGAACACCCGTTCAACCGCACCCGCTTAGCACTGTATCCATGCCAGGCACACGGTAAGAACACCCGCTCAAGTGCACCCGCTTAGGTTCAAGTGTACCCGCTTAGCACTGTATGCATGCCAGGCACATGGTGAGAACACCCGTTCAACTCACCCGCTTAGCACTGCATGCGTGCAAGGCACATGGTAAGAACACCCATTCAAGTGCACCCGCTTAGCACTGTATCCATGCCAGGCACATGGTAAGAACACCCGTTCAAGTGCACCCGCTTAGCGCTGTATCCATGCCAGGCACATGGTAAGAACACCCGTTCAAGTGCACCCGCTTAGCACTGTATCCATGCCAGGCACATGGTAAGAACACCCGTTCCGTTCAAGTGCACCGCTTAGCACTGTATCCATGACAGGCAATGGTAAGAACACCCGTTCAAGTGCACCCACTTAGCACTGTATCCATGCCAGGCACATGGTAAGAACACCCGTTCAAGTGCACCCGCTTAGCACTGTATCCATGCCAGGCACATGGTAAGAACACCCGTTCAAGTGCACCCGCTTAGCACTGTATCCATGCCAGGCACATGGTAAGAACACCCGTTCAAGTGCACCCGCTTAGCACTGTACTGCCATTATGGCCAGGCACATGGTAAGAAACACCGTTCAAGCGCACCCGCTTAGCACTGTATCCATGCCAGGCACACGGTAAGAACACCCGTTCAAGTGCACCCGCTTAGCACTGTATCCATGCCAGGCACATGGTAAGAACACCCGTTCAAGTGCAGCATCCCTGCTAGGCACATGGTAAGAACACCCGTTCAAGTGCACCCGCTTAGCCCTGTATCCATGCCAGGCACATGGTAAGAACACCCGTTCAAGCGCACCCGCTCAGCACTGTATCGATGCCAGGCACATGGTAAGAACACCCGCTCAAGTGCACCCGCTGAGCATCCATGCCAGGCACATGGTAAGAACACCCGTTCAAGTGCACCCGGTTAGCACTGGTAAGAACACCCGTTCAAGTGCACCCGCTTAGCACTGTATCGATGCCAGGCATGGTAAGAACACCCGCTCAAGTGCACCCGCTGAGCATTGTGTCCATGCCAGGCACATGGTAAGAACACCCGTTCAAGCGCGCCCGCTTAGCGCTGGTAAGAACACCCGTTCAAGTGCACCCGCTTAGCAGTGCACCCGCTTAGTACTGTATCGATGCCAGGCGCGTTAAGAACACCCGTTCAAGTGCACCCGCTCAGCGCTGTATCCATGCCAGGCACATGGTAAGAACACCGGCTCAAGTGCACCCGCTCAGCACTGTGTCCATAATAAGGCTCAAGTGCACCCGCTCACCACTCTATCCATGCCAGGCACGCACATTGTAAAAACACCCGTTCAAGTGCACCCTCTTAGCACTGTATCGATGCCACTCAAGTGCGCCCGCTCAGCACTGTATCCATGCCAGGCACATGGAAAGAACACCCGCTCAACTGCAGTCGCTCAGAACTGCATGCCAGGCACATGGTAAGAACACCCGTTCAAGCGCACCCGCTTAGCAATGTATCCATGCCAGGCACACGGTAAGAACACCCGTTCAAGTGCGCCCGCTTAGCACTGTACCCATGCCAGGCGCATGGTAAAAACACGCGTTCAAGCACACCCGCTTAGCACTGTATCCATCCTGCTCTGCGGGGGCAGTGTGCCGGGGGAGTGTGCCCGGACGGTGGAGAGCATGGTAAGCACGCCCGCTCACGTGCACCCGCTCAGCACTGCGCACATGCTTGCAAAATGGTAAGCGCGCCCGCTCACGTTCGCCCGCTCAGCTCTGCACACATGCCTGCCAAGTGGTCAGCACACCCGCTCCTGCCAAATGGCAAACACGCCCGCTCAGCTGCACCCGCTTGCTCTGCTGCCAGATGACAAGCACGCCCGCCCGCTCACGTGCACCCGCTCAGCACTGCACACATGCTTGCCAAATGGTGAGCACACCCGCTCACCTGCACCCGCTCAGCACTGCGCCCACGCCTACCAAATGGTAAGCACGCCCGCTCACGTGAGCCCGCTCAGCACTGCGCCACATGCCTGCCAAACGCTCCCTCATGCGCGCCCGCTCAGCACTGTACACATACCCGAGACCCAAGACCCAAGATCCGAAACCCGAGACTCGAGACCCGAGACCCGAGATCTGAGACCCCGAGGCCCGAGACCCGAGCCCGCTCAGCACTGTACACATGCCTCTCACGTGCACCCGCTCAGCACTGCGCCCGCCAAATAATAAGCACGCCCGCTTACGCGCGCCCTAGATTCGAGATTCGTGACCCGAAGCCCGAGACCCCGAGACCCGAGACCCCGAGACCCGAGACCCGAGATCCGAGACCCCGAGACCCGAGACCCGAGACCCGAGACCCCGAGATCCGAGATCCGAGACCCGAGACCCGAGACCCGAGACCCGAGACCCGAGACCCGAGACCCGAGACCCGAGACCCGAGACCCGATACCCCGAGACCCAAGACCCGAGACTCGAGACCCCGAGACGCGAGATCCGAGACCCGAGACCCGAGACCCGAGACCCCAGACCCGAGACCCGAGACCAGAGACCCGACACCCGAGACCCGAGACCCGAGACCCGAGACCCGAGATCCGAGACCCGAGACCCGAGACCCGAGACCCGAGACCCGAGACCCGAGACCCGAGACCCGAGACCCGAGACCCGACACCCGAGACCCGAGACCCGAGACAGACCCGAGACCCGAGACCCGAGACAGACCCGAGACCCGAGACTCGAGACACAAGACCCGAGACCCGAGACCCGAGACCCGAGACCCGAGACCCGAGACCCGAGATCCGAGACCCGAGACCCGAGACCCGAGACCCGAGACCCGAGACCCGAGACCCCAGACCCGAGACCCGAGACCCGAGACCCCGAGACCCGAGACCCGAGATCCGAGACCCGAGACCCGAGAAGTGTCGGGGAGCCGCGGGCCCATTGTCAAGTTCGATCTCTAAATTTCGTACAGCCCCACCTTTTTTACATGGAACCTGACAGGGGCGCGGTCCCTGAAGGGGAATGGTCCAAGTCCCCTCTGCTTCTTGTGGGATGTCTAACAGGGTCTATGGCATTTGAATCAAAAGGGCAGATATCCACGCCATGGTTTTCACTTACACATGTCTGGCAAGTCCCCCAAGATTGGTGTCACGTCCTTTTTCGGGAGATGCTCGCTGTATTGGGCGCAGGGAAGACTCAGCCCATCCCTGCAACCTTCTTAGAGCAAGTTCTGAGAAGATCTCTGCACGCGTTTCGGTGCCACTGTCTCCCCTTGCGTCGGCAGGAAGGCCCCCATTACTTTGGCCATAGGTGGAACACTCCAGCAAAGGGTGCGTATGTTTTCACAAGCTTGGGCCCCTTCTCTGCAGAGCATATGTGCCTCAAAGACCCGAATACTGTGGATGGACAACTCCATTTCGCACCAGTTGGGACGGATGAAACCCTATGGTCGTGGGATAAACTTTGTGTGCGAAGCAAAGGTTCTCCGCCGGTGCAAATTGCTAGTTTCCTCGGCCTCCAGTGACTTGCTTCCTCGCTTCCTTTTTGCAGAGACCCAGCCGGGGATTCTGCATCCAGCGTGCAGCCTGGGGGCCGTAATGGCCACGGCCGCTTGCTGGCCGGTCTCGAAAAGTCCGGCACCTGGCGGTGCAATGGAATGCTCATGCCAGGCATGCCACCGAAACCGCAAGACAGTTCATGCTGGAACTTGCGACACACAGCAAAACGCTCCTTTCAGGATCACGTTGCCGCTACCACTGCTCAAAAGAAGGTAGTAGAAAGTAAGCTAGATCGCGCCTGCGCACTGCTTGCTGCGGATGAGGCAGAGGCCACCACCCAGGACCAGCATGAGTAGGACCAGGAGCACTGCAAACCTACGCGACATGCCATGCACTTACCACACACACTGGCGTGCATGTGCATGCAAGCCCCCTGCCCCCCCCCCCCAAGCATCTGTGTCTGCATATGTTTCTGGATGTGGATGTGCGTATGCCATGTAGCAATGTGGAATGAAAACATACGCCCGTAGTCTCCTCTCCTTTTCTCTCTTCGCTCAGATGCTCTCGCAAAAGAAATTACCAACAAACAAACAAACAAACAAACAAACAAACAAACAAACAAACAAACAAACAAACAAACACACACACAAACAAACAAACAAACAAACAAAAAGAAAGCAATCAATCAAGCAAACAAGCAACAAGCAGACAAGCAGCAAACAAGCAAACAAAAACAAACAGACAGACAGACAGACAGACAGACAAACAAACAAACAAGCAACCAGACACGCAAGCAAACAAACACAACGAACAAACAAACAAACAAACAAACAAACAAACAAAAAATAAACAACTGAACAAATAAGCAAACAAAACACACACACACCCCTCGCCAACGCGAGGACCGACTGGCTGGCTGGCTGGCTGGCTGGCTGGCTGGCTGGCTGGTTCACTGGCTGACTCGCTCACGCGCTCGCCCACTCTCACTCACTCACGCACTCACTGAGTAGCTGAGTGACTCAGTGACTGAGTCAATGAGTGAGTGAATGAGTGAAAGGATGAGTGAATGAGTGAATCCAGGAACACATGAACAAATAAACAAATCAATGAATAAATGAATGAATGAATGAATGAATGAATGAATGAATGAATCAATGGATGAATGGATGAATGGAGGACTGGATGACTGGATGAAAGGATGAATGGATGAATGGATGAATGAATGGATGAATGGATGAATGGATGGATGAATGGATGAATGGATGAATGAATGAATGAATGAATGAAGGAATTAATGAAGGAATGAATGAATGCATGCATGAGTAAATGAAGCAATGGATGAATGGATGAATGGAGGAATGGCTGAATGGATGGATGAACGAATGGATGAATGACTCAATGGATGGATGAATGAACGACTGAATGAACGAATACAATAATTAATGAATCAATCAGTGAATGCAAGGGATGGATGAATGGATGAATGAATGAATGGATGAATGAACGAATGAATGAACGAATGAATGAAATGAATCAATAATGCATGAATGCATGAATGCATGAATGCATGAATGAATGAGTGAATGAGTGAATGAGTGAATGAGTGAATGAGTGAATGAGTGAATGAGTGAATGAGTGAATGAATGAATGAATGAATGAATGAGTGAATGAGTGAATGAGTGAATGAGTGAATGAGTGAATGAGTGAATGAGTGAATGAGTGAATGAGTGAATGAGTGAATGAGTGAATGAGTGAATGAGTGAATGAGTGAATGAGTGAATGAGTGAATGAGTGAATGAGTGAATGAGTGAATGAGTGAATGAGTGAATGAGTGAATGAGTGAATGAGTGAATGAGTGAATGAGTGAATGAGTGAATGAGTGAATGAGTGAATGAGTGAATGAGTGAATGAGTGAATGAGTGAATGAGTGAATGAGTGAATGAGTGAATGAGTGAATGAGTGAATGAGTGAATGAATGAATGAATGGAGAATGAATGAATGATGACTGGATGAATCGATGCATGGATGCATTGATGCATGGATACATGGATGCATGGATGCATGGATGCATGGATGCATGGATGCATGGATGCATGGATGCATGGATGGATGGATGCATGCATGCATGCATGCATGCAATGAAATGAATGAATGAATGAATGAATGAATGAATGAATGAATGAATGAATGAATGAATGAATGAATGAATGAATGAATGAATGAATGAATGAATGAATGAATGAATGAATGAATGAATGAATGAATGAATGAATGAATGAATGAATGAATGAATGATGGATGGATGGATGGATGGATGGATGGATGGATGGATGGATGGATGAATCGATGAATCGATGAATGGATGAATGGATGAATGGATGAATGGATGAATGGATGGATGGATGGATGGATGAATGAATGAATGAATGGATGCATGGATGAATGGATGAATGGATGAATGGATGAATGGATGAATGGATGAATGGATGAATGGATGAATGGATGAATGGATGAATGAATGAATGAATGAATGAATGAATGAATGAATGAATGAATGAATGAATGAATGAATGAATGAATTAAATGACTGGATGGATCGATGCATGGATGCATGGATGCATGGATACATGGATGCATGGATGCATGGATGCATGGATGCATGGATGCATGGATGCATGGATGCATGGATGGATGGATGCATGCATGCATGCATGCATGGATGACATGAATGAATGCATGAATGAATGAATTAATGAATGAATGGATGGATGGATGGATGGATGGATGGATGAATGGATGAATGGATGAATGGATGGATGGATGACTGGATGGATGGATGGATGGATGAATGGATGGATGGATGAATGGATGAATGGATGAATGGATGAATGGATGAATGGATGAATGGATGAATAGATGAATCAATGAATGAATGAACGAATGAATTAATAAATGAATTAATGAACAAATGAATGAATAAACTGAGTAAGCGTCTGAGTAAGTGTGTGTGAGGGGGGGAGAGACAAAAACTGAACTTCCCAATGCACGCCGGTTCGTGCACATGCCTGCTTTGAACGGTTCAAGGAGGTCACTTCCGCAACCAAGGCTGTGCGCATTCGCAGTCAAGGTGCCAGACGCAGAACTTGATGAGGAATCGCAGCAGGACCATGTAAATGAAGCCGATGAGAAAACTCATAAAAGCCACCTGGACAAGGCGGACAAAGGCATACGGCTGCGTACCCTTTTGGGAGTTGTTCAAGGAACACTGAAGGAAAACCATCATTTTTGGGGATCCCCTCTTGTGATATGCATCCAGCCATGCCGCGTTTCATGCGCGCCGAGGTGCAAGGATGAAGGCCGGCAGCGAGCGCTCGAAATCTCCCATCCACTTGCCAAAAGTCTCCTAACAAGCGCTGGGTCAAATAGTGTGGCACGCAATCCAAAAGTTGAAGATGTCGCACACATGCGAAACACTCGAGCAACGGCGGAAACGGAGGAAACTGAGTCCGTGGAGGAGTCTTGGAAGGACGCCAGGCCGGTGCTCTCGAAGACCTGCGATGCCGCCGAGCCCATTGCGTTCACCACGTCTGCGCCTCGGAAGTCAAAAGGCGCCGGCGAAGTCCGGGCGCCGGGCGCCGGGGCCGGGCGCTGGGGCCGGGCGTGCGCTCAAAACAAACCAGCTGAAGGGGATCATCCGAATCAAATCTGGTGAAGGTGAATTTGGCAGCTGGCCATGTGTGAGCGATGAGGGCTGTCACTGGTTTAATTGTTGGCTACTGCCTGGCTGGTTGGTCGAATTTGCACACTCAGTTTACAAGTTGGTTGCACGGAAAGCCCGGAAACAATTGCAAATTGGCAATCCTTCCGGCTTCCTTTTAGGACAATCCAAGCAATCCAAGGCCATGTCCGGGCGGTATGTCAAGCCACACGTGCATACGTGGCAGTTGTCTGAAACTCCTTGCTCCCACAAACGCGGTCTTCGCCGCGTCTTTGCTGCAAAAATTCGCGGCCTCCGTCGCGGATCTTTCGTGGGGCTGTTTGCACAACATTCACCACAGAAGTAGTACGCGAAGTGCAACTCCGCAGTCCGGCTTGCAAGTCCCAGTTTTTAGTACGACGAAAGTGGTACGCGAAGTAAACGTCTACAACTCCTGCTGGAAAGCCGCAGCTTTTCAGATCCAAAGAAATATACGAAGTGCACTTCCGCAGCCCCAGCTCGAAAGCCGTGCAGCAGCAAAGGAGGGGGCTCGTTGGCCACCCATGGCGGGAACTTCCATCGACTCTGCGGACCTTCCGCCAAACGCTGCCGAACATTTGCTGGGAAGTGGCTCTCAACTTTACCCGAAAGCTTCAAACCTCCAACAATATGCTTTCTGTCGGGGTTTGCTTTGCAGCGGCGCAAATGCTTCATCCTTACACCTTCCTTGTAGCAATAGCAAACCACAGTTCCACAAAACTTGCGCGAGAGAAAACAACTTTCGCGACCTCCATCGCGAAGCTTTCGCGGAGGACACCGCTAAGACAAAAGGTCTTCCCCTTCATCTCTGAATATAAGGACCTTTCAAACGACTCCCATGTGAGTTGTGTTTGAGAACCCTGGCCTTTTGCTGACTGAGCCAAAACACCCGAAAACCTAAGTTGCACTTTGCCCCTGGCTTAGAATCCAAAGGCCGAGCTGAATACACAGCGAAACTGCAAGAAGGCCTCATGGATTGGAGCACTGTCATTGCAGAATGCCTCAAAAGATGAAGACACGGCTTAGATACTTAGTTTCCCCCAAACGTCGAACAGTTGGTGGGCTTTGGCTTCGGCTTTCCGCGTGGCTGCGCCCAAAGCTCGCCCAACGACTGGTCTGAGCCGTGGGCTCATCTTGAAGCTGCAGTATCCTGCATACAGCTCCTCGAACCTCGGTCGCGCTCGTCTTAAGAGGTCTGCCTAAAAGGCCCCCCGCCCACAATCAGGAAAGCACAAGGCTGGGGCCATCCCCTTTCCTCCCCAGGGCGCTCCGGTTGCTCAAACTGTGGCTGACATCTTGAGACGGATCTCCCAGGGTCAGTCCCATCTGACAAAAGCGCTGAGCAACAGGTGAGCCCATCCAATGGATGCAGGCGTGCGGGCAAGGGTCTCCACCCCCGGCATGGGTATGCACTTGGAGGCGTTGTAGGGGCACACGGATGCCGGCAGCGCCTCAAAAGAGACCGCTGAGGGCCTCCAAAGGCTTGTGTTCAAGCAAGTTAGGTTATAAGCATGGTAAGGGGGCCATCACAGCTACCAACCACTTAGAACCATGGTTAAAACCTAGTGGGTTGGTTGAACATCCAAGTGGGATTGGTTTGGAGGTGTTACGGTGGCTTCCCGCTTGCCTTCTGCAAGAAAAGGAGGTTCAATCCCCAAAACCACCCATCCAAGCTTCCAAACCGCCAGTTGGGGGCTACCTGAGAAACAGGGTCCATTGCAAAAAAGCCGGGAACATGCCACAGGGGCGGGGGAAAACGGCAAGCACAGAACATGCGGCGGAGATAACGGGCGCGGCCTGGAACTTGAATTGGTTGGTAATGGTGTCTGTGATGTAGGTAGGCCTGGCAGCCAGTCTCGCCGCATCCGTGTATGGAGGACCCTTATGGGTGGCTTCCTTTTTTGTCTCATTTGCAAACCAAAAGGGGGTGTCTTTTTGGCCCAAAGAGACACACTCATTTTGGTCTTGACCCAAAGGCTGGGCCGCAGGCCCAGAGGATTTCAAATCCTCCCAGTACTTCTTCATGCCGTTGTCATCCGACATGGTGTACACCCACTCGCCTGGCAATCTGCATCTATAGTATAGGAGGCTCAGGCCGGCTCTAGATTGGCGCAAGTCTCAAGCTCCGGGGCGGCGGAACACCAAAAGTGCAGCAATTGAAGTGACTCTGTAAGACCTATCTATATGAATACTGGTAAGCCTGGTAAGCACAACATCCCTCCCACCCAACCAAACGCAACATTTTGCGATAAACCGCCCGGAACCCTCAACAAAACCAAAGCAATGGTCCAGGTTCTCACGAGCCAGTCACAGCCTTCACGGTGCCATGCTGCGCATTCCTAGCCCGCTTTTCACGTCTGCCGGGTCACGGGCGGCGTCGCTGGTGTTCATGGTGGCGAAGTTGTTGCTGCAGCTCGTCATGCAGACCAGGTTGAAGTACTTGGTGGCCTCGCTCCTCGGGATCGGGATGGGATTTTCTCGCTGCCCTTTCTACGGGTCCCTGTTTCCAGTGGGTGACCCGCCCCTAAAGTGGTAGTTTGCATGGCTTACCCACAATTTCCGTGGAGAGAGAAAGTGGATGGCACAGCCCCCTGAACCTTGGCAAAGGGGATGACGAAACCAACATGAGGGAGTTGTGCCAACTATTTCACCCATAGCCTGAAAGACATCCGGCTACTTTTTTCGCTCGGACCTTGCAGGACTGTTCGAAAGGGCCGATGCATCCGATTCATGATGGTCAAGGAGTGCCTTTGAACAGCCCCTGTTGAGGTGCTCGAGCAATGATCTTGCTTCCCGAACTGGAACCCCTACAAAGGTTGGTCCAAATTCCTGATGGGTTGACCATCCCTGGCCCTGGCCCCCGTGGCACCCGTCTTCACGCGCCCGAGCTACCACATGTTGGTGAAGACATCGCCATTTGCGCCACCTCCGGAGAATAGACTCGACGGGTTCGCCAGGCCCTTCATTTCGTCCTGGGCCGCGCGTGTTGCGCGCGAAGGCGCGACGTAGTGCCCAGGTAAAGACATTTTCCCCAGGCAGCACCCCGTAGGAACATTTTGAGCCTTCCATCAAATTGTGACGATGGCACACCCCGAGTTTACTGATGCTGGGTGTCCCACTTGCCCGGCAAATAGAGTCACAGCAGGCACTTCGGAACCCACCCCCTTGTTGCAAAAATTCCTGAGTTCAGTTGCTGGATCATGCCTGTTCATTTGTTTTCCCCACCGGACTGCCTAACCGGGGTGCCCCGTTGTCCAAGCCGTCCCTTCAAAACACACCAAAACTCAAACCCTAAGAGACTCCACAGTGCCACAGAAGTGGACTCTACAGCTGAGTTCTGCTTGAAGGGGCAGGGTACTTGGTACGTGTTTAGTAAGGTTGTAACCCACTTGCCATGGTTAAAAGTTCCCTCAGTGGGTTGTAGCCATGGTTGCGCTGCCGACACCTACCTGACATTCCTGCCCCTTTAAGTACGACATCCGAAGTCTTCCTCATGGGCCCCTTTGCAAAAAGGATGCCAGCTATGTCTCCTATTACGTTTTGCTTGGACAGATGTCACCCCCACGTATGAAGCACTACGAAGGCATGCAGGGATTCGCTTCGCTCGCAACCGGCTTCTTGCCCCTTCTGCATGGGACTTGAAACACAATACTAGGAACCAACTTCTCGGGGATCCCTGCGGGGTTCCATGCAGAAAACAAAACAGCGGGCATCATTGTCCAGGCGCGAGCTTGGAAGTGATCGTGCTTTGCAGGTTGCTAGCGTCCAAATCGCCGCCCACATTGAAGCTTCCTGCCAAACCAGAAAGCGAGAAAAAGCGAAGCACTACGTGAGCCATTGCCCAGAAAGCAGGGGCAATGGCATCACCCCCGCGTTTTGTTGATCCTGCGCTTCTGCTGGGACCATCGGTTTGAAAACCTGTTTGCCACCATAGGCCTGTGCCGTGAGCCTTGTCTGCTTGCGATGCATCGCTAGCTTTTGGCACCTGATGAGTGAACACAGCTAGCCACTAGAAGCCGCACAATGCATGCTCTCAGCCTTTGAACTATCAACGGCCAGCTCATACTTAGCAGCTTCTTGCTGCTTAGCAGCTAAACTGGCAGAAGGGAGGGGTCCGTCCCGTCTCAAAGCGAACAGGTTGAGGCTTTCCAAAAATTACTTTGGGGTCCCGGTGGTTCCCTTCGAAACGCCCGTAAAAAAAGGAGCCCATTTTGATGTCGCTTTAGGCCCGGTCCAAGAGGTACACAGAATTCCAGCTTGCTTTTCCTCCAGGTCTCTCGAACGAACTAGTCAAACTGACCTTAAAGAAGGCCAAGGAGAAACACGTCTTTTACTCAGCCCCAAAACAAACCCAAAAAACATAAAAGGGTTTACCTTGTCGGAGGTCTACCCATGTCCGAACAGAACTGGCAGCTTAGCTTCCTTTTTGAAGGCAAGTTTGGATATCCCCGGCTCCGAGACCGGCTCCTGTCCAAGCACCAGCAAAAGATCTGTGCTAAAATGTTGGGTCAAATCAGCTTTGTTAAACCCAAAGGTTAACAGGCCAAAAAGGTCGGTCTTGGACCCCCGTGCCGGGCCTTCGCACTTGGCGCATGGAACCAAGCAGCATTCCTGGCCGGGTGGGGTGCAGGGAGGAGCGGACCCAAATAGGACCAAACATAGGGTACACTCAGATGCCAGCTAAAAAATGCGGATTTTTCCACTGGCAAGACTAGGGTTCCGCCCTGGCTTGCCCACGTCCTTGCGGGATGAGGGGGCATCCAAAGCCTCAAGGCCTGTAAAATACGTCACATACCCAAACAAGCCCGGCAGAAGCAACTCATCTGTAGTGATGTTCTCAAGCCCTGGCTTTGGAAACCATCCATCAGCACACCCTCTTGCGGCTCAGCTTCGCAAAGGTAGTCGTTGTAGTCCGCACTGGAGCTGGAATAGAAGGTCTGAAAGAAGTCCTTCGCCGAGGTGGAGCAAAGCAGCTGCTTCACAATGAGGTCTGTGGTTGACGTTGCGTTCCTCAGGCATGGATCGTCCGGATGGTCTGTTCAAAAGATTGATGTTGAAGAACCCGTTTGAGTACTCATGCTCCCAAAAAGCAGTGGCCAATGACTGACCGGGCCAAGCTGCATGGTGTAAGTGAGGTACGTGAAGCCTGCGATGTTTTCTCAGCTCACACGCACGCTCACACATAGGCAAGTCAAACCGACGCTCTAAAACTCCCGGAGGCCAACCACAGCTCCTTTAAGCCCGGCCTTGGTGGAACTAATCTTCGTGATACCCAAATACACCAAATCCCCCAGGTCTTTGCAACATCTTCTATCATTTTGAAAGGGATTCCCTTGGCCACTCACCAAAAATGGGCTTCGGCGAAAAAAACCGCCGCCCAGGGCCTCTTTCCCACCGCCGGGTCTTTTCCATCCGGCCTTTGAGGTTCGGTCCTCCGTTCCAATTCGTTTCCGCGTCGCAATACGCGCCGCTGTAGTCCCTGGGCAGGTAGAGCTTGGCAGGCGCTCCGTCTTGAAGTCCTCGCACGAGAATGCTTCTCGCGGAATCGTGGCTGGTGGTTGCTGGTGACTTTGGGGAGGGTAGCCTTTTTGAGGCTACTTTCAGGGACATCATCCTTTTTGGGGGTCCACAACTTTAAGATAGATCCAAGTCTGTGTAGCAACCTCTTCGGCAACGACATGCCCTGCACCCAGAAAGGTTCTTAGAGCCTGCCTACAATGGGCTAGAGTTCTGAGAACCCACACATATAGGGGTTCCTGTCTCTGACTTAAATCAACATGGAACCCAAAAGGAGATTCCTTTCGACATAATGTCGACCCCAAACTTATAAGGGCTTGTTGCTCCCAACAGTGAAGAATCTGGAGTTCACATTTTGATGAAAGGCGGACTACTTTGCACCCGGCTTTCGGCCCCGTCGGCTCCTGCCAGGGTCACCACGCAGTAGGCCATCCAAGCGGCCAGCAAAACGATCAAACACCAGCCATCGGTGCAGCCTCTGTTTTGCACCGGGCCATTGGACAAATCGTTCTCCCCACCTGCGCGATGTTTCTGGAACGCCGAACGCGCGGTTGCGAGAAGGTGCGTGAGAAGGTGCGACGGCGCTTGGCCGGGGGGGAACAAATATTTTGCAACTCTCCACGTCACTCCCTATGTGGTAGGCCAAAGAGGCTGTTTCGGAGTTTCTGAACCCCCCCCCCCGCCCCAGAAATAGTCAATATGCTGCCCCCGGAAATGTTTTTAATTTCGGCATGCTTTCAGGGAAAACCCTTCCAACGAAAAGTAATTGCGCTGAGGGTCTTGGAAGCCGACAGGAACCGACCCGCAATTTCTCCGACAAGGGCCTTTGCAGTACTTTGGCGTCAAACAGCGGAGTTGGAAAGCTATGAAAAGGCACATGCCCTTGTGGTTTCCCTGGGGTGCACCCAAGCAGACGAGCCATTTGGCTCACAAAGTCATGCTTCAAGAAATGCAAGTCCTCCCACAGCAGGCCTTTCTTGAAGGTCCTTCCCTGCTCCTTAGACTCTGTCAGCCGGTGCCGCTGTAAAAGCAGGCAGGACACCCTGCCCCGCTTTCAAAGCAGGACTCGGACACCCTGGCACTGCCAAACTTCACTCACAAAACAGGGAAACCTGGCCTGTCACCTAGGCACGAGCTTGCTTCACCTCTCAGCTTGCCAAGCTTCGTCTTCATCCTTAGCCTTCCCACAGCAGCCACAGCAACCTCCCATTGTGGGCGTAGGCCTGGCCAACTCCCTTCCAATGACACACGTGCCAAGGGCATCGTGGAACATGGGACGCTCAATGGTGCCATGAAAAACCTCTGGAAACAGCGGTTTGGATGTGGTGAATCTGTGGATCCACCCCTCTAGGATACTAACCGAGTACTAAAAGAATACCAAAAATGGACCAACAGGGGGAAGACTAGGCGAAATCCACAAACAACGCGTCCAAACCGTTTTCTAGAAAACTGCACCGAAAGCTTGAGGCATGTCCATGACTCGCTGGTTTGATAGGCAGGGCATGGAATGACCCCAAACTGAACCATCCAACCGAGTGTTTGAGGCGCTCCCAACGTTCATGCCCAAAAGCCCTCTAGCTCCTTGCATTTGCTTAAGCCCCCTGAGAAAAGTGTTGTTTCTTCTTTCTTTTTCGTTTTTTTTTTTTTTTGGTATGTCTAGTAGTGATAGATTCCCTCTAAAAACCAACAGGGGAAAATCAAAAAGCATATTCTTATGCAAATAGATGACTCCTGACCGCTGAAAAAGCCAAGTTGCCCCCAGCCAGGGACCACTCTCAGGGAGCCAATGGTACTCCTCTCTGAGCCCAAGCTGCGACATTCGCAGCGGCGCCCTCCAAAGAAAAACGGACCAAAACCAACATGCGAAGTATCTGAATCGAGCGGTTCAGGACGCATGCTGTGCACCGGGAACCCGTCCCGCTTTTCTGCTGCTCTTTTTTTTTCAGGCGCTTGAAGTCCAATCGCACCGGGGCCGGTCTTCGGCCATGCGCCGTTGCGCCTTGGCAGAAGTCGAAATGTGAGGCTTCCACTGGAGAAACTAAAGGGAAACGCAAAGGGAACCCAAAGGGACCCAAATTCTGACACATGTAAAAAAAAAAAACGAGCGAACTTGGGGCGTCTTCCGACTGCTCTCGTTTGCGCTGTGGCGCAGCGGGGCCCAAGCGTTTACAATTGCAGACTTGGGTGTTCGACCTCCTTGGGTTGCAACACATAACCGTTGCTGGGATAACCGGGAATGGCTGACTTATAATCATATGCTTGAGCAACAGGCAACCCTCGGCGCGCGGACCACAAACAAATTTCGCGCAAACGACACTCCTTATCAACTGAGAAAATAGTCACTGTCCCCACTGGGAAGTGAAGCGCGGTGAGTTAGGGGGTGCCCTCGATTTCGTTCCCACAGATGACTGTGAATCCTCTCGAATACATCCGCCTCACCCTCACCGAGCGATCTCGGGCTGGCCCGCCAGGAAGTGCCTGAGGGCAGAAAGGGCCGTGAAACCCTAGACCTTCCATGAAAGCCCGTAAAGTTTCACGTGGAGATCCATGCAGCCCAAAAAACACGAGGAGTGTAAGCGAAAGCCCATGCCTTGCCTCAGGCCAGGGGGTTCTGCAAAAAATGCCCCCCCAAAAAAAAACACTCTGACCATTTTCTTCGAGGCACCCTCTCCTCCCGCTCCTCCTGCTCCTCCGGCTCCTCCTGCTCCTCCGGCTCCTGGCCCGCCACAGCCTAAGTGCATGTTGGTGCAGCACCAGCCCTTCTTGCCCTCTGACCAGCCGGTGTGCCAGTTGGGGAGCCCAGCATGGCAGTCATACGGCAGGCTCTGCACAGCTGCACCGCCAGTGCTCACTGCCTGCCAAGTCCAGTAGCCATTCACCTACACGTGCTTCCACATCATGCCCGTGCCCGCATCCACTGCAGGTGGACTGGAGCCCTCACATCCCCTGCCCTGCTTGGTGCAGCACCAGTGCTTCTTCTCCGGCGACCAAGCGCGGAAGAAGTTGTTCAGCGCGGCCAAGCAGTCGAAGGGGTCGGATGCCGCGCCGTGCACTCCGCACCCGGCTTCCTGGATGGAGCAGGCCCGGCACACGCCGCACTCCACCTGAATCTTGCTGTAGGCCAAGTTGCAAGCATCGGCCTTTCTGGAGAAGGCGTTCTTGACCGCCCACTGGATGCGGTCCATGCACTTGGAGGTCTCGCCGTTGAAAGTGCAAGTAGCATCACACTTCAGTGGCGACAGCGTTGTGTGAGGGCAGCCCTTCTGAAAGTTTTGACAGCACCACTCTTGCTTTGCTCCGTGCCAAGCCTGAGCCTCCCCAGTGCAGTGGAACTTGACGCAGCCCTTGTTGGCCTTGTCGCAGCACCAGTCCTTCTTGGAATCCGACCACCCCTGCATCCACTTGGAGAAGCCAGCTTCGCAGTTCGGCCATGCGCATGGCCAACTCCGTGCGTGATGTGCACATTGGTGTGAAGGTGGAAGCTGCCTTTCCATGTTCCTGGGCAGCCCATGCCCTGGTGACCACAGCACCATGACACCAGCCGAAGTACCAATTGGAGTAGCCCGCGTGGCAGTCGTAGGTGAAGTGGTTTGGGGGGCGATCATGCACGTAAATCACATGATCGGGCGAATGGATGTAGTGAGTGTGGTAGATCTCGTGTGAATGGGAGGGGCTAGGCACAGGCACAGGCACGTAATGGGTGTGGGAAGGCTGTGGCAAGGGACGTGCGCAACTTTCACCACGTCCTGCTCCTGCGGTGCGCAGCCACGCCCCACCTGCCTGCGGCAAAGGGAGCGGCGCTCCATGGTCCAAAGGTGCTGCCAGTCGTGGTAGTCAGTCACGCAGTCGGGTCCAACCTCAGATTGACCAACCTCAGGGCGGTAGAAGAGGAAGAATGCCAAGAGCCCAAGCAAAACCAGGAGGCCACAGCAGCCGACCGCCAAGCATGCAGGGCGGCAGCGTGCAGAACTCTTCATCACCTCTCGCTCATATGCTCCACGCCCTGCACCCATGAACTCCATGGAGGATTTTTGCTCGTAGGAGCCCTGCCCTTTGCCCTTGTAGACCCAGTGGTCGGCATGCTGGATGGTGGATTCATCAACTTCCAGGCAAGCCTCGTAGCAGCCAAGGCTGCCACCAGCACCACCAGCCCCACCAGCCGCGCCCCCGGCCGCACCGCCCGACATTCCGCCACACAACATGGGTAGGGAAAAACGAAAACGAGGGACGGACGGCCAAGTGACAAGAATCCTGCAAGCCGAAATCCTGGAGCAACTATGCCATTGTTCAACCAAACTCGGGTCTTTTTCGCTTTCCGCAAGAGCTTTTCGGCCTGCATTGTGAACACTCACCTCTTCACAAGAAGCTGCACACATATAACTCCCATGCTCTCTCTCTCTCTCTCTCGCTCTGCCAGCCCGAGGCCCCAATTGAGGTGGTGTTTTGTAAGGGCTGTAGATCTAAACCCCGAACCTTTAAAAGTGCTGTTGGAATGCGAACAAGGGCCGTGCTTGACACGTTGCTGGATCACAAGCGGGGGATCGGCACAAATGTCACCTAGCACTCTGACTGCGTTTTTTGCTGGTGGCAGTTCAACTTGAAAGGGTGCAGGTAAGGCATATTGGCCCTGTGCATTCGTCGATTGATTCCGCGAGCCCCACAAACCCTGGACTTGATCCGTGGGTGCGGGGCTGCGCAACTGACACCAACCGGAATATTAAGAAAACTTGCGCCAAAAGACCACGAAACACTCGGTCCCCGAGCGTTCCGCGCGCCACCTCGAGCGTTCAAGCAACTGCTCCTGCAGACCCGCTTCCTGCTGACTTCGAGCAGTACGGGCGCTTACGCCTATCTAAGCTATGCCGCTCATGCGCAGGAATTGCCCATGTGATGGCAGCACCAGTCCTTCTTGGCAGGAGACCAGCCGGACTGCCAGTTGGAATGGCCGGCAAAGCAGTCAAAGGGAAGATTGCCAGACATGTGGACTTGCACCCAATGCCCTCCTCCGGAAGTGGACCAGTGCCACATCATGCCGCCACCAGCCGCGTACGGCGGGTGACCAAAGCTGCCTCCTCCTCCTGCTCCTCCTGCTCCTCCTCCGGCTCCTCCTCCGGCTCCTCCTCCGGCTCCTCCTGCTCCTCCGGCTCCTCCAGCTCCTGGCCCGCCACAGCCTAAGTGCATGTTGGTGCAGCACCAGCCCTTCTTGCCCACTGACCAGCCGGTGTGCCAGTTGGGGAGCCCAGCATGGCAGTCATACGGCAGGCTCTGCACAGCTGCACCGCCAGCGCTCACTGCCTGCCAAGTCCAGTAGCCATTCACCTGCACGTGCTTCCACATCATGCCTGCGCCCGCGTCCACGGCAGGCGGGCTGGAGCCCTCACATCCCCTGCCCTGCTTGGTGCAGCACCAGTGCTTCTTCTCCGGCGACCAAGCGCGGAAGAAGTTGTTCAGTGCGGCCAAGCAGTCGAAGGGGTCGGATGCCGCGCCGTGCACTCCGCACCCGGCTTCCTGGATGGAGCAGGCCCGGCACACGTCGCACTCCACCTGAATCTTGCTGTAGGCCAAGTTGCAAGCATCGGCCTTTCCGGAGAAGGCGTTCTTGGCCGCCCACTGGATGCGGTCCATGCACTTGGAGGTCTCGCCGTTGAAAGTGCAAGTAGCATCACACTTCAGTGGCGACAGCGTTGTGTGAGGGCAGCCCTTCTGAAAGTTTTCACAGCACCACTCTTGCTTTGCTCCGTGCCAAGCCTGAGCCTCCCCAGTGCAGTGGAACTTGACGCAGCCCTTGTTGGCCTTGTCGCAGCACCAGTCCTTCTTGGAATCCGACCACCCCTGCATCCAGTTGGAGAAGCCAGCTTCGCAGTCGTAAATTCGGCCATGCGCATGGCCAACTCCGTGCGTGATGTGCACATTGGTGTGAAGGTGGAAGCTGCCTTTCCATGTTCCTGGGCAGCCCATGCCCTGGTGACCACAGCACCATGACTTCTTGTTCAGTGACCAGCCGAAGTACCAATTGGAGTAGCCCGCGTGGCAGTCGTAGGTGAAGTGGTTTGCGGGGCGATCATGCACGTAAATCACATGATCGGGCGAATGGATGTAGTGAGTGTGGTAGACCACGTGTGAATGGGAGGGGCTAGGCACAGGCACAGGCACGTAATGGATGTGGGAAGGCTGCGGCACAGGAACGTGCACAACTTGGTCCTGCGGTGAACAGCCACGCCCCACCTGCCTGCAGCAAAGGGAGCGGCGCTCCATGGTCCAAAGGTGCTGCCAGTCGTGGTAGTCAGTCACGCAGTCGGGTCCAACCTCAGATTGACCAACCTCAGGGTGGTAGAAGAGGAAGAATGCCAAGAGCCCAAGCAAAACCAGGAGGCCACAGCAGCCGACCGCCAAGCATGCGGGGCGGCAGCGTGCAGAACTCTTCATCACCTCTCGCTCATATGCTCCACGCCCTGCACCCATGAACTCCATGGAGGATTTTTGCTCGTAGGAGCCCTGCCCTTTGCCCTTGTAGACCCAGTGGTCGGCATGCTGGATGGTGGATTCATCAACTTCCAGGCAAGCCTCGTAGCAGCCAAGGCTGCCACCAGCACCACCAGCCCCACCAGCCGCGCCCCCGGCCGCACCGCCCGACATTCCGCCACACAACATGGGTAGGGAAAAACGAAAACGAGGGACGGACGGCCAAGTGACAAGAATCCTGCAAGCCGAAATCCTGGAGCAACTATGCCATTGTTCAACCAAACTCGGGTCTTTTTCGCTTTCCGCAAGAGCTTTTCGGCCTGCTTTGTGAACACTCACCTCTTCACAAGAAGCTGCACACATATAACTCCCATGCTCTCTCTCTCTCTCTCGCTCTGCCAGCCCGAGGCCCCAATTGAGGTGGTGTTTTGTAAGGGCTGTAGATCTAAACCCCGAACCTTTAAAAGTGCTGTTGGAATGCGAACAAGGGCCGTGCTTGACACGTTGCTGGATCACAAGCGGGGGATCGGCACAAATGTCACCTAGCACTCTGACTGCGTTTTTTGCTGGTGGCAGTTCAACTTGAAAGGGTGCAGGTAAGGCATATTGGCCCTGTGCATTCGTCGATTGATTCCGCGAGCCCCACAAACCCTGGACTTGATCCGTGGGTGCGGGGCTGCGCAACTGACACCAACCGGAATATTAAGAAAACTTGCGCCAAAAGACCACGAAACACTCGGTCCCCGAGTGTTCCGCGCGCCACCTCGAGCGTTCAAGCAACTGCTCCTGCAGACCCGCTTCCTGCTGACTTCGAGCAGTACGGGCGCCTACGCCTATCTAAGCTATGCCGCTCATGCGCAGGAATTGCCCATGTGATGGCAGCACCAGTCCTTCTTGGCAGGAGACCAGCCGGACTGCCAGTTGGAATGGCCGGCAAAGCAGTCAAAGGGAAGATTGCCAGACATGTGGACTTGCACCCAATGCCCTCCTCCGGAAGTGGACCAGTGCCACATCATGCCGCCACCAGCCGCGTGCGGCGGGTGACCAAAGCTGCCACCTCTTGCTCCTCCTGCTCCTCCTCCGGCTCCTCCTGCTCCTCCGGCTCCTCCAGCTCCTGGCCCGTCACAGCCTAAGTGCATGTTGGTGCAGCACCAGCCCTTCTTGCCCACTGACCAGCCGGTGTGCCAGTTGGGGAGCCCAGCATGGCAGTCGTACGGCAGGCTCTGCACAGCTGCACCGCCAGCGCTCACTGCCTGCCAAGTCCAGTAGCCATTCACCTGCACGTGCTTCCACATCATGCCTGCGCCCGCGTCCACGGCAGGCGGGCTGGAGCCCTCACATCCCCTGCCCTGCTTGGTGCAGCACCAGTGCTTCTTCTCCGGCGACCAAGCGCGGAAGAAGTTGTTCAGTGCGGCCAAGCAGTCGAAGGGGTCGGATGCCGCGCCGTGCACTCCGCACCCGGCTTCCTGGATGGAGCAGGCCCGGCACACGTCGCACTCCACCTGAATCTTGCTGTAGGCCAAGTTGCAAGCATCGGCCTTTCCGGAGAAGGCGTTCTTGGCCGCCCACTGGATGCGGTCCATGCACTTGGAGGTCTCGCCGTTGAAAGTGCAAGTAGCATCACACTTCAGTGGCGACAGCGTTGTGTGGGGGCAGCCCTTCTGAAAGTTTTCACAGCACCACTCTTGCTTTGCTCCGTGCCAAGCCTGAGCTTCCCCAGTGCAGTGGAACTTGACGCAGCCCTTGTTGGCCTTGTCGCAGCACCAGTCCTTCTTGGAATCCGACCACCCCTGCATCCAGTTGGAGAAGCCAGCTTCGCAGTCGTAAATTCGGCCATGCGCATGGCCAACTCCGTGCGTGATGTGCACATTGGTGTGAAGGTGGAAGCTGCCTTTCCATGTTCCTGGGCAGCCCATGCCCTGGTGACCACAGCACCATGACTTCTTGTTCAGTGACCAGCCGAAGTACCAATTGGAGTAGCCCGCGTGGCAGTCGTAGGTGAAGTGGTTTGGGGGGCGATCATGCACGTAAATCACATGATCGGGCGAATGGATGTAGTGAGTGTGGTAGACCACGTGTGAATGGGAGGGGCTAGGCACAGGCACAGGCACGTAATGGATGTGGGAAGGCTGCGGCACAGGAACGTGCACAACTTGGTCCTGCGGTGAACAGCCACGCCCCACCTGCCTGCAGCAAAGGGAGCGGCGCTCCATGGTCCAAAGGTGCTGCCAGTCGTGGTAGTCAGTCACGCAGTCGGGTCCAACCTCAGATTGACCAACCTCAGGGCGGTAGAAGAGGAAGAATGCCAAGAGCCCAAGCAAAACCAGGAGGCCACAGCAGCCGACCGCCAAGCATGCGGGGCGGCAGCGTGCAGAACTCTTCATCACCTCTCGCTCATATGCTCCACGCCCTGCACCCATGAACTCCATGGAGGATTTTTGCTCGTAGGAGCCCTGCCCTTGGCCCTTGTAGACCCAGTGGTCGGCGTGCTGGATGGCGGATTCATCAACTTCCAGGCAAGCCTCGTAGCAGCCAAGGCTGCCACCAGCACCACCAGCCCCACCAGCCGCGCCCCCGGCCGCACCGCCCGACATTCCGCCACACAACATGGGTAGGGAAAAACGAAAACGAGGGACGGACGGCCAAGTGACAAGAATCCTGCAAGCCGAAATCCTGGAGCAACTATGCCATTGTTCAACCAAACTCGGGTCTTTTTCGCTTTCCGCAAGAGCTTTTCGGCCTGCTTTGTGAACACTCACCTCTTCACAAGAAGCTGCACACATATAACTCCCATGCTCTCTCTCTCTCTCTCTCTCTCTCTCGCTCTGCCAGCCCGAGGCCCCAATTGAGGTGGTGTTTTGTAAGGGCTGTAGATCTAAACCCCGAACCTTTAAAAGTGCTGTTGGAATGCGAACAAGGGCCGTGCTTGACACGTTGCTGGATCACAAGCGGGGGATCGGCACAAATGTCACCTAGCACTCTGACTGCGTTTTTTGCTGGTGGCAGTTCAACTTGAAAGGGTGCAGGTAAGGCATATTGGCCCTGTGCATTCGTCGATTGATTCCGCGAGCCTCCAAAAACCCTGGACTTGATCCGTGGGTGCGGGGCTGCGCAACTGACACCAACCGGAATATTAAGAAAACTTGCGCCAAAAGACCACGAAACACTCGGTCCCCGAGTGTTCCGCGCGCCACCTGGAGCGTTCAAGCAACTGCTCCTGCAGACCCGCTTCCTGCTAACTTCGAGCAGTACGGGCGCCTACGCCTATCTAAGCTATGGCGCTCATGCGCAGGAATTGCCCATGTGATGGCAGCACCAGTCCTTCTTGGCAGGAGACCAGCCGGACTGCCAGTTGGAATGGCCGGCAAAGCAGTCAAAGGGAAGGTTGCCAGACATGTGGACTTGCACCCAATGCCCTCCTCCGGAAGTGGACCAGTGCCACATCATGCCGCCACCAGCCGCGTGCGGCGGGTGACCAAAGCTGCCACCTCCTGCTCCTCCTGCTCCTCCGGCTCCTCCGGCTCCTCCGACTCCTCCGGCTCCTCCGGCTCCTCCGGCTCCTGGCCCATCGCAGCCTAAGCGCATGTTGTTGCAGCACCAGCCCTTCTTGCCCACTGACCAGCCGGTGTGCCAGTTGGGGAGCCCAGCATGGCAGTCGTACGGCAGGCTCTGCACAGCTGCACCGCCAGCGCTCACTGCCTGCCAAGTCCAGTAGCCATTCACCTGCACGTGCTTCCACATCATGCCTGCACCCGCGTCCACGGCAGGCGGGCTGGAGCCCTCACATCCCCTGCCCTGCTTCGTGCAGCACCAGTGCTTCTTCTCCGGCGACCAAGCGCGGAAGAAGTTGTTCAGCGCGGCCAAGCAGTCGAAGGGGTCGGATGCCGTGCACTCCGCACCCGGCTTCCTGGATGGAGCAGGCCCGGCACACGTCGCACTCCACCTGAATCTTGCTGTAGGCCAAGTTGCAAGCATCGGCCTTTCCGGAGAAGGCGTTCTTGGCCGCCCACTGGATGCGGTCCATGCACTTGGCGGTCTCGCCGTTGACAGTGCAAGTAGCGTCGCACTTCAGTGGCGACAGCGTTGTGTGAGGGCAGCCCTTTTGAAAGTTCTCACAGCACCACTCTTGCTTTGCTCCGCGCCAAGCCTGAGCCTCCCCAGTGCAGTGGAACTTGACGCAGCCCTTGTTGGCCTTGTCGCAGCACCAGTCCTTCTTGGAATCCGACCACCCCTGCATCCAGTTGGAGAAGCCAGCTTCGCAGTCGTAAATTCGGCCATGCGCATGGCTAACTCCGTGCGTGATGTGCACATTGGTGTGAAGGTGGAAGCTGCCTTTCCATGTTCCTGGGCAGCCCATGCCCTGGTGACCACAGCACCATGACTTCTTGTTCAGCGACCAGCCGAAGTACCAATTGGAGTAGCCCGCGTGGCAGTTAGTAGGTGAAGTGGTTTGGGGGGCGATTATGGTAGACCACGTGTGAATGGGAGGGGCTACGCACAGGCTCAGGCACGTAGTAGATGTGGGAAGGCTGCGGCAAAGGAAAGTGCACAACTTGGTCCTGCGGTGAACAGCCACGCCCCACCTGCCTGCAGCAAAGGGAGCGATGCTCCATGGTCCAAAGGTGCTGCCGGTTGTGGTAGTCAGTCACGCAGTCGGGTCCAACCTCAGATTGACCAACCTCAGGGCGGTAGAAGAGGAACATCAGGAAGAATGCCAAGAGCCCAAGCGAAACAGGGAGGCAGCAGCCAGCCACCAAGCATGCGGGGCGGCATGCAGAACTCTTCATCACCCCTCGCTCATATGCTCCACGCCCGGCACCCATGAACGTCATGTTTTGCTCGTAGGAGCCGTTCCCTTTGCCCTTGTAGACCCAGTGGTCAGCGTCCTGGATGGTGGATTCACCAACTTGCAGGCAAGGCTCATAGCAGCCAAGGCTGTCACCAGCACCGCCACCAGCCCCACCAGCTGCGCCCCCGGCCGCACAGCCCGACGTTCCGCGACACACCATGGGTAGGGAAAAGCGAGAACGAGGGACGGACGGCCAAGTGACAAGAATCCTGCAAGCCGAATCCTAGCGCCAGGTGCTTCGCTCCAAGGACAGCACATCTGAAAACTGCATGCCTGATCTTGGCTTGACTTGATCCTGACCGTGATGACACACCTTCCATCAACAACAACTCACGTCCCGGCGTGCTCCCACCCAGCGGCGCATGTCGCAGGCGGGGTGCTGAGGAGCTCCTTTACCCGCCGACGGAAGGTGCTGCACCCGCATCCTCAGCTCGGCCCCGGGCAATTGGAATGACCTTGACGGTGTTTGCCACAAAGCAGGGGCATTTTTGGGAGCCGTGCCGGCGCTGGGCTTCGTAGTGGACACCGAATCCAATTTGCAAGTGAGCTTCACAACCCGGGAAACACAAGCAACAAATGCACAAATCGGCAAATGGCATGGCACCCCCTGCAAAACATCTTGCGCGCCTTGCATCTCGCCGAACCCGCAGAAAAAAGACAAGTTCTTCCCCTGGGAGCCTTAATTCTAAACTTGGGCGCCCATCAGCCCAAAGAATCTGCCAAGTGGAAACTAAGATCCCCATGGCTGTGTATTGCATCACGCGAGCGTTGATTGAAGGGCACTAGTCGTGATGGAAGGTCCGCACTGACAAACCTGTCCAGTACCTGGACCAAGTCAGATTTTCCTGGTTACATTTAGCCGTACAATTGCCAAACAGTGAGCAACCACGTATATTTCTGGGAAAAGTCGCCAAGATGGCATTCAATCAACTGAAGCATGCAAATAAGTTCGTGGGGGCTGCATTGGCCAATGCCACTGCCCACCTCCAGCCCACAATCAAGAGACACCAGTTGCAACTCTGTGGGCCAAAACACAACGCGTTTTAAGATCCGCCAAATGGATCTCCTCTCGTCAGTTCTTTGAACCCGGAATCCGAAATAACCCTTTGCTAGCTTCCCAAACTACCATGTTCCATCAAGGTCCTCAAGGTCTATTCATAGGCAATGCTTGCTTGGCACCCCCCCCCCACTTGTGTGTAAGGGGGTGTGTCTTTTTAAGGTTGCCCTTTTTGGAGTGGTTTTGAAGGGAGCCAAAGGAAACCAAGTATTTTTAGGGGTCCCCCCAAAAAACGACGAGCCACGCCATTTCTACAAATTAGCTTTGTTTCAGGTCCCAGGTCAATGGTTGCCAATTCACCGCTCGAGCTTCTAATGTCTACCTCTGATTAATAAACACCCCCCCCCCCCCCAACTCCCCTCCCCAAATTGTGTTCTGAACTTGATTATGAATTGCGAAGTATTGCACACATATTTTTGTGTTTCAATTGATTTAGTATTGCTGGAGCCTCCTTTTGAGATTGGATTGCAGTTTAGTTTCCAATTGATTTAGTATTGCTGGAGCCTCCATTTGAGATTGGATTGCAGTTTAGTCTCCAATTGATTTAGTATTGCTGGAGCCTCCTTTTGAGATTGGATCGCAGTTTAGTTTCCAATTGGTTTAGTATTGCTGGAGCCTCCTTTTGAGATTGGATCGCAGTTTAGTTTCCAATTGATTTAGTATTGCTGGAGCCTCCTTTTGAGATTGGATTGCAGTTTAGTCTCCAATTGATTTAGTACTGCTGGAGCCTCCTTTTGAGATTGGATTGCGGGATTTGAGTTTCCTATTGGTTTAGTATTGCTGAGGGATTTGAGTTTCAACTGGTTTAGTATTGCTGGAGCCTCCTTTTGAGATTTGACTTGTTGGGATTCTAATTGATTTCGTA